CCAGGCTTATGGTCATGGGTGATTTCAACTTGCCATCTGTTATGAAACGTCTGAGATGGCTCAGGAGTTCACGGCTTCCATGACAGCCATGGACCTGACCCAGTTAGTTCATGGCCCCACTCACAGGGGGGGGGGCACACTCTGGACTTGATTTTTGTCTCTGGCCAGTGGTTGAATGGTCTTATTATAGGGTATATAGACATGGAACCCTTGTCATGGTCAGATCACTCGCTCCTTCGCCTGGATCTTCGAACCGCTACACCCCGCCGCAGGGAGGCGGAGCCAATAAGATGGTCCACCCCAGGCGCCTGATGGATCTGATAGATTCCAGATGGACCTTGGGCCATTTCCTGAGGATCTGGCACACGACTCGGCCGAAGACCTGGTGGTTGCCTGGGATCAGGCGGCTGGTGGGGCCTTGGATCGAGTCGTGCCTTTGCGGCCTCTGACCCGGTGCCGATCCCTCACGGCTCCTTGGTTCACCGAGGAGCTGAGGGAGATGAAGTGCCGGAAAAGATGCCTGGAGAGCGGTTGGAGGGCCAGTCTCGCTGAATCTGACCGAACACTGGTAAGGTCGCATATTAAGACGTACCTAGTGGCAATAAAAGCAGCAAAGTTTAATTACTTTTCCGCTCTTACTGCGTCATCAGAGAATCGTCCGGCCGCCCTGTTTAGGGTGACCCGCTCCCTGCTTCATACAGGAGCGCGGGAGGACCCCCTGGAAGGCAGGGCCGAGGATTTCGGACAATATCTGCATGACAAAATCGCTCAGATCCGGGGGATTTGGACTCTGACTGGGTAGATTCGGGCAGGGTGATGAGGAATAGTCTTGAGAACATTATCTGGGAAGAGTTTGACTCTCTGACCCCTGATGACGTGGGCAGGATTCTGGGGAGACTTAGTGAGGCCACATGTTTACTGGACCCGTGTCCCTCCTGGTTAGTACTGGCTTCCCGGGAGGTTACACGAGGCTGGCTCCAGAGAATTATCAACGCTTCGTTGAGTGAGGGTTACTTCCCCACGGCTTTGAAAGAGGCGGAGGTGAGGCCTCTCAAGAAGCCTTCCCTGGACCCAGCAGTATTAGCCAACTATCGTCCTGTCTCCAACTTCCGCTTTGTGGCGAAGGTTGTTGAGAGTGTGGTCGCACGACAGTTTCCGCAGTACCTGGAGGAAACGTCTTATCTAGATCCGTTCCAGTCAGGTTTCAGGCCCGGGCACAGCACAGAAACGGCATTGGTCGCGTTGGTAGATGATCTCTGGAGGGCTCGGGACAGAGGTTGCTCCTCTGTTCTGGCCCTGTTAGACAACTCAGCGGCTTTTGATACCATCAACCATGGTATCATGCTGCACCGGTTGGAAGAGTTGGGGATGGGGGGCACCATGTTACGGTGGTTCTCCTCCTTTCTCAGACCAGTCGCAGTTTGTGTTGGCAGGGGGGGCAGAGGTCGACCTCGAGGCCTCTCATATGTGGAATGCCTCAGGGGTCGGTCCTCTCGCCCCTTCTGTTCAACATTTATGTAAAGCTGCTGGGTGAGATCATCCGTGGCTTTGGGGTGAAGTACCATCAGTACGCTGATGACACCCAGCTGTACATCTCCACCCCAGGCCACCCCAACGATGCCCTTGAAGTGATGTCCCAGTGCCTGGAGGCTGTGCGGATCTGGATGGGGAGAAACAGGCTCAAGCTCAACCCTTCCAAGACTGAGTGGCTGTGGTTCCCGGCATCCCGATATAGTCAGTTGACTCCATCCCTGACTATTGGGGGCGAATCTTTGGCCCCTTCAGAGAGGGCTCGCAATCTGGGAGTCCTCCTGGATACACAGCTGTCCTTGGAGGAACATCTGACGGCTGTAGCCAGGGGGACTTTTTGTCAGGTTCGCCTGATCTGCCAGTTGCGGCCCTTTCTTGATCGGGATTCCCTGTGCACAGTCATTCACACCCTCGTCACCTCTCGGCTGGACTACTGCAACACTCTCTACATGGGACTCCCCTTAAAGGGCACCCGGAGGCTCCAACTAGTCCAGAATGTGGCTGCACGGGTAGTTACGGGAGCTGCATGGCACTCCCATACACCTCTTCTCCGTGAGCTGCACTGGCTCCCAGTGGTCTTCCGGGTACGCTTCAAGATGTTGGTTATCACCTTTAAAGCGCTCCATGGCATAGGACCTAGATATCTTCGAGACCGCCTGCTGCTACTGATGGCCTCCCATTGACCTGTGCGCTCCCACAGAGAGGGCCTCCTCAGCGTGCCATCAGCCAAACAATGTAGGCTGGTGACCCCCAGGGGGAGGGCCTTCTCTGTGGGGGCACCTACCCTCTGGAACCAGCTGCTCCCAGAGATAAGGAGAATCCAAGACCTCGGTGCCTTCCTCCGTGCCCTTAAAACTTCCTTTTTTCAGCAAGCTGGGCTGACCTAACACTTTTTTAAAATGTTTTTAATTGTTTTGTCCTTGCTTTTAATTATGGAGACAAATATATATATATATATCTTTTTAATTGTATTTTAATGTTTGTAGTTTATGTTTTTACTTTGACTGTACACCGCCCTGAGTCCTCAGGGAGAAGGGCGGTATATAAATTTGATGTTCAATAAAAAAATAAAAATAAAAAATAAATACAGACTACCATTTCTTTTAAAAAAGCATTCATTTAAATGTCTTCTCATATTCCTTTCAATTATGTATCTCTAGAATAAAGGAAAAAAACAATGATTTTCATACTTCTATAATGGATATTTTTAAAAGCTTTTAAAAGTTAATAGGGCTGTGCAATGGTTTGCCTTTGGTTCTAAGATGCTTCAAAAACAAAAAGGTTTGAGTGTACACATAACATCTTTCTTCTTCCTAGTATTTTCCTGCAGGTGCAGAGTCCAATTTTCGTATTGACAAATACAATTCCACATGGCTGGTCCAATAGGATGATTTTCATTTCCATGTTGTGTCCTACCATCTTTGACCTTCTGTACTGGCATTTGTCATGATGTTAAAGGGGTAGTCAGTGCAGGCAACAGTGTAGGGTGCTCCTGGGAGAATATGGCCATACCATTATGGACATTTTCCCCATTTTCTGCTATTGGTGCAATGCCCATTTCTGCCAAACTGTATCGTCAGTGACATGGTCAAGAAAGGAAACACCTAATGACCAATGGCACACGTAATGGAACATCCCCATGGGATGTAAAGGGTACTTAGCACTTTTGGGAGTTGGCCACCACTCAGAAGCATATAGATCTACTGAACAGATCATCATTTTATACTTTTGGTGAATTGGCATACGCCTATCACAGAGCAATTCAATGATTTCTACAACAGTTATGCTGCATTCACCCTTGTGCGCATTGCTTCATTAATGCCACCATATTTTGCAGATGGGATCCTAATTAACACAAGTTTGTTTTCATCACTGCTGACTTGGATGGTGGAGATGTTCAGGCTAGTTTCTAGATACTCAGTCTTGAGTTGCAAACCCAATTGACTAAGAAAGTCATTCCATATCTAGACATAGCACTGCAGATCTTCCCTAATGCCAGCTGTGAGTGGACATTGTCAATGTAGAGAAAAACCCAGTGGGTACTATGATACAAATTTTGTGTGAAGTCATCCATGACAAGAATGAACAGCTATTCTCATTCACATAGCGTCTTTTTGCAACTCTTTAAAACAATTGTGTCTTTTCTCAGCTACAAACTATGTTTAAAAACCCTGCTCCATCCTAAATTATTAGTGAAATTGGTCTTGAAGTACAACCAGATTATAAATTTGTGCAAAATTTTTTGCTTTGCATTTGGAACAAATTAATCTCAACTGTAATAGTCTGATGTTGGTTGTGTTCTAACAAAACAATACTCTAAGCAATTTAAGAGTATCTGTTAGACTGAAACTCAGTTTTGAATAGTTTGACCTGAAGAATGTGATGAGAAACAACTGATGCGTTACCCTGCAAAACATTTACTGATTTAAAGAGATGCAAATATGGATTGTTTACCTCCCATGTGAATCCAAAGCATAGCAGACTCCTAAAAATATTTTTGGTAGATTTCTTGTAAATAAACAGACATATGGCAGATGGAACGAACTACTTCAATATCTACTCTAATGTCCTAAGGGTCAAAAATAAGGGTGGGGGGTGGGGGGGGACAACCAAGCAGCTTTGTTTTTTGTTCCCATTGTTTTATGTGACTGGAACACTCAAAACTTTTCCAAAGAACAACTTTTAAGATGTTTTTTCAGATAAAACACAGCCAATTCAAAATATTCCAGTTGAGATTCCTTGTACATTTTCAAGAAATGACATGACACCACATCTAATTCTAATCCGTACCTGTTCCAATGCCTTGTGTGAAAGGCAGGGAATATATATACATACGCTCTAGAAAGAAAGCATTCATCTCTCTTTTGGTTCAAGACCCAGAAGGAATAGGAAAAAATAATTAGCTACTTGTGGTTTCTTATGAACAGAAGCCATAATTCTTAATCACACAAATATGCATAACACAAGTAATACAGGTAGTCTTTGACTTATAACATTCGAGTCGAAAATTTCCATTGCTAAGCAAGACAGTTGTTAAGTTAATTTTACTCCATTTTACTTTTTTTTTTTGGCCACAGCTGTTAGTAAATCACTGCAATTGTTAAGTTAGTAACATAGTTGTTAAGTAAATCTGGCTTCTCGATTGACTTTGCTTGTCAGAAGGGTGCAAAAGATAATCACATGACTCCGAGACACTGCAAACATAATAAATACACGCCAGTTGTCAAGTGTCAGAATTTTGATCATGTGACCATGAGGATTCTGCAATGGTTGTGTGAAAAACAGTCATAACAGTCACCTTTTTCAGTGCCATAATAACTCCGAACGATCACTAAATGAATGGTTGTGAGTCAAGGACTACCTGTATGATGCTACTCCTGCTACTAAAAAATAAAAGTATTTCCTTTATTAAATGTTTGCATTTCTTTTACTTTCACCCTTTCTAATAGGAAAAATATCAGTTCATTTACCTGGTGGAATAAAAAAATAGTTTCCAGTAGTCAAACGATAACTTTGATCATATAGCATAAGAAGTAGTTTGCCACAACTAATGTGAAAAACCTTGGGAGAAAAAAACAATAAACATAATTTTAATTGCATGTTTTATTCCATGGAAACATGATAGCAAATTATTTTCTTTAATCTTAAAATTAACCAGACTCTTGAATCTTAAGTCTGTCTACATAAAAATAAGACCTACAACACTGCATTTTGGTTGTACTCCAAACCCAATTTATTTGTCAGGTGCAGGAATAGGCTCACAGAATCCTATACCTAATAATATTAAGAGACAGTAATAAATATCTGCTTTGGTGATTCACATCATTTCATTAATTATTGAAACATTATATCCAGGTATTTTGCATTTCACTCCAGATGCCTTGGAAACTAGGACTGCTAAATTCTATGTCATTGCATCATAGTCTTAAATATTTCCATTCATTTTTAGGAAAAATCAAACAGCTATTCCTTAAAAAATAACAAGAACATCCTATCACCAGAGTATGAAGAATATCAGAATAGATATATTTAGAAAGAAAATGCATATCTCATGAGTCTGAATTCTCCTATAAAACAACATTCAATATATTATATCTTTCTTAACAGAACAACAGGGCCCATGTTTTCCATAATTCCTGATAGGAAGAATATTTATTTGGGAACTGTTAATTGGTCTCAAGTTTAGATGATCAAATTTGCAACTGTGCACCTTAAACAAGTTAGAATTTGATAATGGCATAAATAATTATTTCCTATCTGATCAGCCTATTTTGTAAGAAACAAATAATCTAATTGCCTTCCTCTCTTCCACTGTTCACTTGAGGCAAATTCTTACAAGTTCTTTACACAAATGTAATCCCTAGGATAGTTGGGATTTAGATAGAAATCTGATAGACCCATCTTTACTCATCTATCAAGCTTAAGAGTTTATTTTTGACATGAAGCTTTTCTTCTTCTCTTGGAAGCAGAAGTAAGACTGATGAAGATGTTCCTTTCACTATACCCTATACCATATAGATGGTATTGGCAGACCATCTGCAGCCAGCGACAGCTCCCCATTACCCGGTGCGTTCCCACAAGGAGGGCCTCCTTGGGGTACCGTCGGCCAGACAATGTCGGCTGGCGACCCCTAGGGAGCGGACCTTCTCTGTGGGCGTACCTACCCTGTGGAATCAGCTCTCCCTGGGGCTCCGGGTGGCCCCTGACCTTCGCTTTTTCCGCTGTGGCCTTAAACATGGCTATTTCGCCTGGCCGGCTTGGACTGAAGGGGTTTTAGAGGGGATTTTAATGTTTTTTATAGTTTTATTGGGTATTTTTAAAGGAAGGATTGGACTTTGTGTGTTTTATTGTTGTGAGCCGCCCTGAGTCCTTTTGGATATAGGGCGGCATATAAATCCAAATAATAAATAATAAATAAATAAATACCCAAATCTAAGCCCTGCTTCTGACTAGAAGTGGCATTAGGAGCTCTGCTGGCACACTGGTTCGAATGCAGTACTGCAGGCTAACTTTGCCTACTGCCAGAAGTTCGATCCTGACCCACTCAAGATTGACTCGGTTTCCATCCTTCAGAGTCAGTAAAATGAAGAGCCAGATTCTTGGGGGCAATTTGCTGACATTGTAAACCATCAGAGGGTGCTGTAAAGGGATTGTATACAGGTCTACATGCTATTGCTAATTAACCTTTTATTAGCTCCATCATTGACCAAAAATATGGTCAAAAATATGAGATATGACAAAAATAAAGCCTTGTTTACCAACTGTCTCATTTAGTAATTATTTGAATTACTATATTTGAAGTGTAAACCCCCTCCCCAGCTTTCCATGCATTTATGATTGTCAGTCACATGATCACCATTTGGATGTTTTGCAAATGGTACACGTTTATCATCATTGCAGCATGTGATTTCCATTTGCATGCTTTATAACTTTACTTTACTTCTTTTTTTCTTCTAACAAGCAGTTAATGGAGAATATAAAAGCAAAATTGCAAGCTATGGTCATAAGATAAACATGCTTAATGACCCCAGTGATTCACTTAACAATCAAAAGGGAAGTGATATAAACTCATCATGGTCATGTTATTTTCTACATATTGACTGCAGCACTTAGTAACAGCCTTCCCAGTTTCAACTGTGACTGCTAAACAAGGACTATCTATATTTGGGTCTCTATAATTTCAGTATTAGTTTCTTGCCATAAGAAAAACAAAACAGTAATTCCTGGATTAAGGATATCTTGCAAGAAAAAAATATTTAAGCTTCCTTAAAATATTTAACCTTTCAAGCTTCCAGCCATTTCTATCCAAGTCTGGGGGACTTCTATCCAAAACTTGGGATTTCAACATTTTTATTAGAATAGAAGGTTATTCATATAAACTTCAGTTTCTAATATTTTGATAATAAGAAAACTTGATGTTCCCCTAGGTGATACTGAGGATGAGAATGCAGGGAAAAAATAATAACTATTTTGAATGAAATTTGTATAATGGCCCTCTCAGTTGCATTCCAAAGAATCAATTTTGTTACTGTTGTTGTTAGTTGCAAAGTCGTGTCCGACCTATAGCAACCCCATGGACAACATTCCTCCAGGCCTTCTTGTCCTCTACCATCCTCTGGAGTCCATTTAAGCTCATGCTTACTGCTTTAGTGACTCCATCCAGCCACCTCATTCTCTGTCGTCCCTTTCTTCTTTTGCCCTCAGTCATTTCCAGCATTAGGCTCTTCTCCAGTGAGTCCTTCCTTCTCATTAGGTGGCCAAAGTATTTGAGTTTCATCTTCAGGATCTGGCCTTCTAAAGAGCAATCAGGGTTGTCTGATTTGACCTCCTTACAGTCCAAGGGACTTGCAGAAGTCTTCTCCAGCACCATAGTTCAAAGACCTCAATTCTTTGGCGCTCAGCCTTTCTTATGGTCCAACTCAAGAATCAATAGTGGAGCGCTAATAGTCTAAACAGCTTTATCAGAGATCATCACATTATAATAGAAAGATATTTTAAAGGAAGAAATATGCTGTCACTATTCCAAGGTGGTAAATCTATAGGTAATGAATTATTAATATTAAACACTTACAAAGATGAAAAAGATACAAGGTTAATATACCATGCAATGCAAATGTTAGTGACAATAAATTGCTCATATTCTTCTCCCCAATTCGAGTCATTAGTTTTGCGATTTTTATAATATAAATGAAATGGAGGAAAAAGTTATCTTTATCGTGTTCTAAGACCTCTCTTCTATGCAAATGATCTACAAAGTGAGCAAGAGAGAGAAAATGCAGAGAAGCAGACAAAGACATTTTAACAGAAAAGAACCTTTTTTTTTGGTCCATGAAATGGAACGGAATAGGATGGTATGGCATAGCATAGCATAACATAGAACAGAACAGAACAGAACAGAACAGAACAGAATAGAACAGAATTAACAGAGTTGGAAGGGACCTTGAAGGTCTTCTAGTCCAACTCCTGTTGAGATCAATACCATTCCAGACAAATGGCTGTCCAATCTCTTTTTAAAAATCTCCAGTAATAAAGCATCCACAATTTTTGAAGTCGATTCCACTGATTGGTTGTTCTGTCAGGAAATTTCTCCTTAGTTATAGGTTGGATCTCCCCTTGATTAGTTTCCATCCACAGCTTTTTGTTCTGCTTTTGGGTGCTTTGGAGAATAGTTGAACCTTCTTCTTTGTGGCAGCCCTTTAGATGTTGGAAGACTACTATCATGTCACCCTAATCATTCTTTCATTAGATAGATATACCACTTCTGCAACTGTTCAAGTTTTAGCCTCCAATCCTCTAATCATCTTTGTTACTCTTTCTCTGCATGTTTTTTTATTTATTTGTAACTTGCCTTTATTATTGTTACAAATAACTCAAGGTGGTGAACATATGCAACGCATATTCCTCCTCCTATTTTTCCCACAACAAACTTGTGAGGTGAGTTTGGCTGAGATATATTACCTTTCATAAGTTACAATTTATATTACATGCTACTAAATGTGAAAATTACATTTTTTTTCAAAGTATTTTAATTATCAACTGTTAATATCAACAGGACAAAATTTACAATGTTAACTAATAAAATGTTAACTCTGTTAAAATGTTTACATACCTGTTTTTATTTATAGTCTCATAGTTAGAGAATATTTTATACATGAACACCATTTACAATTAAGCTAAAATAATAGCTGAACTCAGGAAGTTTATATCATAAAAATTATATTCAGCCCAAACTGCGTGTTCTATCAATACACTATAAACACATCTATTTTTTTCTCTTGAGATTAACTGTTTGGAGCATCCCTCCTGAATGAAGGAAAGAAAACATACTCATACATAAAGACACCAGACAAACTACCATAAGAAGAACATATAATTCTGCTATGTCTACATGAAATATCAAAATTATTAGTCTACAGTAGTGGGAAGAAACAAGTATTGTTAATATAAAATTGGAAGAAAAATAGTTAATCCCTGATCTTTGAGGAAGAATGATAATTCTTCCTGACTTTGTATAAAATATACAAAAGTATGAAGGCTATTGCTTAACACACTGTAAGCCGCCCTGAGTCTCCGGAGAAGGGTGGCATATAAATCAAATAAAAAAAAAAAATGGCTAAAATGCAATGTAATAGTAAGTATTAATCATGCAAATAAAAATTAGAAAGAAAAGAAATAAAATACTCACCAATGTGTCTGTGTGGGAATACTGATATCCCTTTTCTTTTAATGGATTTAATATTATTTTTCCAGAAGCAAAGGAAGGTGTACTCAAGTATTTATAAATGGATAATATTTCATTACTAAAGCAAAACACAGGTGAACTACCATTATGTACGCATTCTGTTATGAAATCAGAAAAAAATATTCACAGATGGAAATATTAGATAATACATACTGCATCCTTACATTTTCATTCATTCATAGGAAGAATCTGTTTACATTTTCATAAAATAATGATAAAGAAGCCATAAGCACATTCTGTGCCCTAGGCAATATCAAAACTGTAGAGTATATTTTATACATAAAAATGGGTTAAGATTCTGCTGTGGTCTGCTGTGTGGAAAATTACACTGTAGTGTTTGTGTTATTTTTGAGCGTAGTGCAATAACTGCACAAAATTTTGCAATGCTTATCAAAGTTTTTGTTGTTGACTTATCTGCTAAAGGACAGAGTATTATTTAAGTTGGCAGTAGATTGGTATGAGAAAGACGAGTAGAACTTTGTGCCAAAGTGAGTAAGAAGACAATACAAGAGGATACATATATACCGTGTTTCCCTGAAAATAAGACTAGGTCTTATTTTCTTCTGACCTCCAAAATAAGTGCAAGGTCTTATTTTTGGGGGTGTCTTAATTTTTTTTTCCCTTCACGGCAGCTCAGTATCCCAGAGAAGTCGAAAGCGGCGCTTTGTCTCCGGCCTCTGCTGCCACAAAAGGCATTGCTGGAGCTCTCCAAGCATGCTCGAGGCCAGCAAGCAGGCACAGCTGCAGCTTCTTCCTGCTTTAGCTTTGCCTTCAGTCGGGAGCGGGGTGGTTCATTGCAAAATGGTGGGTGAATTCGCTTGCGAGGTATTCCTAAAGCCTCAGCAGGAGGGGTGGGTCACTTAGGTAGTAGGCTGAGAAAGTGGGGTTAATATGCAAGGTTGAGCTTGGCATTTCACCTTCTTGCCTTTTGCGAACTTTTGGCTGCATGCAAGGAAAGCAGAAGCACCTGAGACCCTGGTTTCTCTCCCCCAAACTCTGTCAGAAATGGGTCTTCACAAGGCTCATCATACCAGCCAACCTCATGTGGCAGGACGCTGCAAAGCTTGTTAAGGTATTGCACACGCAAGCGGCAGCACCATGAGGTTCATCACACTGGCACAGCCACTCATGGCAGGACATTTTCGAGGTAGGTTGTATTTTCAGGGAAACACAATATGTGTGTGTGTGTGTATACATACATACATACATATATACACATACTGTGTTTTCCTGAAAATATATGTGTGTGTGTGTATGTATATGTGGGATGGGGTAGCTCAGTGGCTAAGACGCTGAGCTTGTTGATTGAAAGATCGGCAGTTCAGCGGTTCGAATCCCTAATGCCGCATAATGGGGTGAACTCTCATTACTTGTCCCAGCTTCTGCCAACCTAGCAGTTCGAAAGCAGGTAAAAAATGCAAGTAGAAAAATGGGGACCACCTTTGGTGGGAAGGTAACAGCGTTCCATGTGCCTTTGGCATTTAGCCATGCCGGCCACATGACCACGGAGACGTCTTCGGACAGCGCTGGCTCTTAGGCTTTGAAACGGAGATGAGCACCCCCTCCTAGAGTTGGGAACAGCTAGCACATATGTGCGAGGGGAACCTTTACCTTATGTGTGTATATATATGTGTGTATATATATATACATGTACATGTATATATGTTAGTGTGTGTGTATTATGTGTGTGTGTGTGTTATATATATATACACACACAATTTGTGTGTTTATGTATATGTATGTGTTTATGTACGTATATGTCTCTCTGTATGTGTATGTTTATACATACATACATACATACATACATACATACATACAAGCGGCAGAGCTGAATTCAGAATTCTATAAAGATCAGGTCAGCTTCCAGCTGTAGAAAGAGGAACAGATCAGGGCAGACCAAAGGAACTGTCCAACAAACAACTCTCCAACCAAGGAACTGAGGGCACACTCTTATATAACTGTTACATAAGAATGTGTCCTTAGTTCTTTGGTTGGAGAATTGTTTGTTGGACAGTTCCTTTGGTCTGTCCTGATCTGTACCCAGTTCCTCTTTCTACAGTTGAACGTAATACTGAAGAGTTACATAAGAGGCCCAAAGTGGTATTTACAGACTTGGATTCCACAAGTTAGATAACTCATCGCTTTTGTTTTTTATTGTCCCTGGGATGCGATGGTTGAAGTTTCATAACTTCACAAATATGCAAGTTGATGTTTTCATAACCTTGGGCTTTCATAGCTGTCATTCTTATCTGATCATTTCAGATGCTGATGCCAAAAAGAAAATATTGATATTTAAATGACTTGACATTTGAAATTTGATATAAAATGATTTATTCTCTATTACTGTAATGCTATCAATTTTCCAAGATGATAGCATGAAACAGCATTCTGCAGAACACAATTCATTTTATTTTAGCATAGCTGATGTGAAGACCATTATCTCTACCACAATGGCCCAAATCTTCTGACACATATTATAATAATATTTAAAAAATAGGCCAAATCTTCTCTCAGATGTTATAATGATATAAAAAGAATGCCACATCACCTGCACTGAGGATCAAGACAGCTTTATTTGCTATTGAAGTTGGCTATAATTCAGGTCATGACAGGCTTTCAACCAGGGATGTTAATATACAACTCAGTTTTACCCCTTGCTGAATGGGAATAGGGCAGTAAGAATAGGGTGAGAATCAAAATTGCATGGGATTATTTCTCAGAATACCAATATTAAAGAATGACATCGGTCATTTGCTGTGATCATACCCAACACACTTTCCTCCTCCTATTTTCAATACAATAACTCTGTGAGGTAAGGTGAGCTGAGTAGTGACTGGCCTAAGGTCACCCAGCTGGCTTTCATGGCCAAGGCAGGACTTGATCTCATGGTCTCCTGCTTTTCTAGCCTAGTGCCTTAACCACTTGATCAAACTGGTTTTGAGTATTGACTGAGTAAAACACACTTTTAAGTAAATGAAAATGACATAAAATTTGCCATTAAGTATATATTTCGGTTAGATACTAGAGAACTGACAATGGTTGATGGTTAAATTGCCTTCTGAAAGTCCAGTTTGCTCCATTGGAATGGTGTTACCTTGTGTCTAGCAGTCCACCAATTTTACCTAAAACTGTCTAGCGCAGAGATTGCTAAAGATACTTCACAGAGTAATTGGGTACATTTTTATAGATTTTGGGACTTTTTAAAATATTAATACTCTGATATATTTCTTTTTATTTGATAGCTGTTATTTAAAATGTGTTATTTGGCTACAGCCAAAATTTACCTATTTATATTGACCTACAAGATCAGTTAAAAGTAAATATTTTTCTTTTTTTAGCTGGGAGACAATCTCAAAAGCCCAGATTGGTATGCCTTCAGGAAAAGTGTTACAAATAATATAGGAAATGATCAATGCATGTGCTGATGAAGCCAGGGGATCCAGCTAAAACACATGAAATGAGTATCCACATAAGAAAATGATTGTAGCTTGTGAATGACTTGTATCAAAATAAAGCACAATTTCTCATATTTGTACAAGGTGCTCCCTGACAGACACTGGATCATATAGTGACTAACTGCCATATGAGAACTTATACAGGGGGAAATGTAGACTTCCTCCAATTAACAAATACCACATTTAATTAATAAATGACCTAGATATTAATATATAGAATACTTATTTTATGAATCAATTGATTTTAAAAAGTATCTTGTAACTTAACATATAAGTTCTTGAATTTCTTATATCTTACAAAATTAACCATACATCATCATATGTGTATCATATTATTAGGTGTTCTTTTTATGCATCTTTACTGCTGCTACCCTGTTTCCCCCCAAAATAAGACATCTCCTAATAATAAGCCCAATCGGGCTTTTGAGCGCATGACAATAAAGCCAAGTGCTTATTTCAGGGTTCAAAAAAAATATAAGACAGGGTCTTATTTTCGGGGAAACACGGTATCTATATATTTTGTACCATACACTAAATGAATCTCATATTTATCATAAGCATTTTTAAAACTATGTCATATCACTCACCTAGAAGAATTTGTTGATTAGATGCTTTATCAAAAACAATAGCTGGCTGAAAAATTTTTTCCATGAAAATTGAGTTATCGTGCAAATTCTCTGCAAAACAAAAAACAGAGGATTAGGCTGAAGGGCAGACATAGTTACAGGTAGTCCCTAAGCGGGACCAGAATTTCCATTGCTAAGTGATGCAATTGTGGGATGCAATGCCATGTGACCACATAGCAACAGCAATCCCCATTGTGTTTGTTAAATGAGGATGATGGAGTGTTAAATGAGGGTCTTACTTGGCCATGATTTGTGATTTCCTACTGCTTCCAGAAAGCAAAGTCAATGGGGAAATTGACAGGAAGTTATTATAAGTCCGAAGCACCAATCTTTCCTTAACTGCTAAGTAAGGACTATGTTGATTTTCTATTAAATACTTCTATTAAGTAACAGGTCTAGAATTAGCTCAGATTTAAACAAAAATCAAAAAGATAAATATATTATAAATCATATTTTTTGAATAAAGCACATCAATTAGTCTGTTTCTACACTAATATGTTCTTTCTTGATACCTGCCAAACTACCGTATTTTTCGGAGTACCAGAATATAAGATGCACCTACCTTTTTTGGTGAGGAAAAGAAGAAAAAGAAATCTCCCTTTGCCTCTGAGCAATTTTGCCTCATTGCAGCAAACAGCAAACAGTCTGCTTTACTTTCATTTTCGTTTTCAGCATAGCTTGATTAGCACAAGGGGGAAAAAAATCTGCTCCAGCAATTTACCTCTTTGCAGCAAGCAGCAGAGCCCTGCGCAAAACAGCTGAGAGTAAATTAGCTGAGAGTCGGGAGGCTGATCCAATCAACTTGTGCTAATTAGCCTGTGCTGAAGCTGAAAGGAGCTGTTTTTTCTTGCTGTTTGTTTGCAAGGAGGTAACTGCTGCGAGGCAGAGGCCAAAGGGTGGGGGCCAGTGGGTGGGCTATATTCGGTGTATAAGACGCACCTAAATTTTCATCCCCTTTTAGGGGGGAAAAAGGTGCATCTTATACTCTGAAAAATACAGTATATGTTCACTTAATTTTTAACACTTAAAATAATTTATAATGGGCTGAGGAACAAAGTATTATTCTCCAGCATCATCTTATTCCTTTATTCCTATAAACTTTTTTTTACAAAATATAATAGGTGGATTCAGCTCAGTATTCTGCTTGCAAGTTTGTTTACATGCCTGGAAGTGTGACATCCAGAAACTATATCATTTAGCAACAGAAATGTCAGCAGTCACTATTTCATTAACCAAGGACCTGTTTACAAGTTTGTGCCAGTTTTCAACAACTAAAGTCAGTGGGGAAGATGACAGGAAGTTGCAAGTCCCAGGCAGCTCATAAACAGGCTAGCAGGCACAAGCATAATGGGACTTTGGGGGCTACTTCAGGAGGGTGAATGAGAGGCAGGTTTGGTGCAAGTGTGGAGGGCTTGGGCTGGCTGCTGGAGTTGCAGGAGGGCATATGAGGGGCAGGTGCAGCATGAGCACAAAAGGGCTTGGAATAGTTGCTGTGAGATGGGAGAAGGCACACAAGGGTGAATGCAAAATAAGGAAAGTTTGTGGGGGGCATATGTGGTGCAAGTGAGCTTAGAGAAGCTGCTGCAAGATGGGGAGGATGGGCAAGGACCATGGTGGTGCAGATTGCAGGGACTACTACAGGATGCAGAAGGCTGTGACAGAAGCAAGTTGGGGTATGAGCACAGTAGGGCTTAGGGTGCCTGCTGTAGAGCAGATGAGAGCATATGATGCTAATCAGGTGTCCATAGGATGTGAGCTGGTTGCCAGATTATACGCAACTGTGGGAATGCTGGGAATGGCCACTCATAATTTAGAAAGATTGTCTGATCTACAAACATAATGTTCTGATGACCATACCGTTCTCTGGAACAGATTTCATAGCAACTTTCACTTTAGGTTTCCAAGATTCTCTTTGTTCAGGTGATATTATTCCACCAATTACAAAGTCTCCTGAAACAATAAAAAAAATAATTGTGATCCATATAATACTAATTATAAATTGTTTTACTCAAGATGGGATGGAATTCTGGAATAACTGGGATATCTATAGCAAATTAGTACCAAGTCTATAACTTAATGATGACTTTTTCATTTATAATTTCATAATGACACTCTCAAATGTAGACATTTTGTGAGATTATTTCCTTAAAATAAAATAGTTCCATTATGGAGGGACAACATAAGGGGAAATATAGGCTATCCATGTCACCAGTAACTTGGGTGTTACTGTAAGTATATACTACATACTGCCTATACTTTCTGTCAGTATAGTACATTCCTGCATAATCTGATTTAAAAAGAAAACGATTCATTTTTTTAATTGGAATAGAATCTGGACTAGAAATCTTTGTGCTTTAAGCTTTTGCTTAAAGCACAAAAGCTTAAATTACCATGTATCGTATTTCTTTGCTAATCAGACAATTTTGGTTTCTAAATTTTTGTATTAAAAAAACAAAACATAATCCAAATCCTTCTAATCCACATTTTGGTGAATCCAGGAAACTATGAGTTCTAGACATTAGGCATTAAAAAACAGTTGTTTGACCTGGCTCAATAATTCTCCCTCGGCCTGATTGATTATCTAGTATATCTGTATAAATACATATAATTATCAAGTAGCTCCCATATGTAGGCAATGTTGGATCTTTGCATTATAGGGATTTAGAAATATATGAGTTTCGACTTCCGGTCTGGATCCGCGGCGCCAGTCAGGGAAATAGCGGGCTCTAACGAGCCTGCGAAAACCCCGACTGACAAACCACTGTCCGACCGGTCTTCGGGCCGACCCCCATCTTGTAGGGATGTGGGATGAAGAGGAGCGCCTCGGTGTACCAAGAGAAACAGGCAAGTTCCTCGGAGGCCAGAGGGAATCCTCGAAGTCGGTGGTGGGGGTAGACAGCCATGGCGGCTGCCACAAAGCCGCGGCAGACCAGGACACAAGATCATGCAAGAGGGAAGAAGAAGAAAGAGCGAGTATCTCGAAGCCGGGTGAGTGACACCAACCCAGGCAAAACAACATGATTATTTGGATTTTAAAAAAAATAAGACCCCAAACTTTAAATAGCGGCTACAGATCCATGGGGCTTGAAGATCAAAAGGGGGGAAAAAACGGAAATAAAGACCCAAGACAGACTTTGCCTTAGTAAATTTGGCTTGGAAGAATTGGCTTTTAATAACTTAGAAAATTGGACTTTTCTTTTATTTGGAGTGGATTGGAGAAATGTCTCTTTGGGAGTTTACACCTTTGAAAGCTAACGAAGCTAATGAAGAAAGACAGACGGATATCTACATAATTGCCATGGAGTCTGCGGTGATTAAGCAGGAGAGTGGATTGAAGAGCTCTCCCTTTCCGTTTGGAAAAGAAACATTTTAAATGGCTTTTTACCTTGGATTACTTTGAAATTAACATTAGATCTATGGATTTTGGAGATCCCTATTCTGTCCTGGATGATTTCAAGAAGAAAGAAGAAGAAATATTCTTCTTCTATTTTACAATGGAAATTAACAAGCTTAGCAAAAAAATTAGATATGGCGCAGGAACAAAGACAGGAAGTTGATGCATCACACATGGAACAGACATTATAAAAGCATTAAAGGGACATACAGAATTTTTTAATTTGAACAGATGAACTTTGAAATGGAACATTTATGGACAGATAGGAAAAGGAAGAAAAGGAAGAAATAAAGTAGATAAATTTAAATGTAACTAAACTGAAATGTAAAATTTAAAAGCCTAAAGGTATATATGATTTTTGAATAAAACAGGAGGGTTTTTGGAGTAATAAAAATAGAAAATAAGAGATGGCAACTAAAATAGTGGTTGATATATAGGTGGTTAAAAATAATAAAGAAGAGTATATATTAATGTGAGACAACTTTAAGAAAATTTACTGCTTGATGTAATATGTTCTAATTTTAATTTGCAAACAAATGCTAGATTGGTGATTACGTTTGACTAAGGTTTTATTGAACAAACTATAAGACACATAGATTTTAACAACAAATTGTGATTTAATTTAATATATGCTGGAAATGATGATTACTATGAAATATATTGAAAATTAATTTGAAAGAGCATGCTGGGAAACTGACATAAAATAGATAATCATATTGCAAGGGAAAGTTAAAATAAGAGGGATGGATACCAACTAGATAAGAGTTTGAGACTCGGAGGAAATACTTTGGAAACTAGTTAAAATGCTGGAAATCAGCCAAACAATTGCAGGAGCCTTGGAGGAGGCTATGCTGGAAATCAGTCAAACACAATATGCTGGAAATCAGCCAATAAAATGCTGGAAATCAGCCAAGCAAATAGGAGGAGAGTTGAAGGAGATTATGCTGGAAATCAGCCAAACAATGGAGGGAGTTTAGGAGGAGATTATGCTGGAAATCAGCCAAACATAATATGCTGGAAAACAGCCAAACAATAGAGAGAGGTATGGAAGAAAATATGCTGGAAATTAGTTTAAATAAAACAAGTTTTTGTGATAAACCTGTGTAACATGAAAGGTGTAATAGACGATAAGTGGGATAAAATCAAAGATAAATTGATAAAGTTAAAGATATTAAGATTCGAGGAAAAGGGTCAAGAGATTAAGACTTAGATAGAATTTTGTTTTATAAAGTGTAATAAAAATGGAGTTGTATTGAATTTGAAATTAAGATTTGTGATGGTAAAATTGTAAGGTAAATAATTAGAATAAGAGCTAGGATATTGTTAAAAATTACTTTGACACTGATGGTAAAAGATACAAGGTGAAGAACAACAAGATATAATCAGGATTGATATATAGATATAAAAATGAGTGAAAGTTAATTTGAAATTAAAATTGTATTGATATAATGGATTTGTTTAGATGAAGATGTTAGAATTTATGTTAAAATTTATTCTTTTATGTTTTGAATTTTTATTCTTAAAAGATGTAATGGGAAATTGTGAATGGAGCTTGTTAAAGGAATGTAAGCATGGTAACCATCTATGACCGGATCGAGACTCTGTTCTTGAAAGTTATATTTTATGTTTATGTTTGAAAAAAATAAAAAAAACATTTACCCTCCCCCCCAAAAAAAGAAAAGAAATATATGAATTTCAGAAGAATGTCCTTAGCAAAAATTTAGAGAACTTGAATTTCTGTGCAGTATGAATTTGGCTGAAGCAGAACCCTTAGGTTCAAAGTAAGTGTATGCCCATCTTTTAGATTATTTTAGTTTGCATTTCTAAAAAATTAGTGTTTCATTACAAACAATAACTTTTTCATTCAAAGCTCTGAATTACATACCTGAAGTGTTTATCTTATAATTAATACGTTCTCCTCGCCAATATTCTAATGGTTTAATACGTATTCTTTGGGACCGCCGAACATTGGGTGTGTTTGTAGGCAATACTACTAGAAAGGAAATATACAAAAATATGAATATGTGTGTGTGTATACATACAGTATATCACAGAAGTGAGTACACCCCCTCACATTTTGTAAATATTTAAGTATATCTTTTCATGTGACAACACTGAAGAAATGACACTTGACTATAATGTAAAGTAGTGAGTATACAGCTTGTATAACAATGTAAATGTGCTGTCCCCACAAAATAATGCAACACACACAACCATTAATGTCTAAACTGCTGGCAACAAAAGTTACACCCCTAAATGATAATGTTCAAATGGGGCCCAAAGTGTCAATATTTTGTGTGGCCACCATTATTTTCCAAATGGGCCCCATTTGGACATTATCACTTAGGGGTGTACTCACTTTTGTTGCCAGCCGCTTAGACATTAATGGCTGTGTGTTGTGTTATTTTGAGGGGACAGCACATTTACACTGTTATACAAGCTGTATACTTGTATACTCTGTATACCCACTACTTTACAGTGTAGCCAAGTGTCATTTCTTCAGTGTTGTCACATGAAAAGATATACTTAATAGCTTAAGTCTTAATAGCTCAATCATTCCATTAATCTTGTAGCTAAAAAGTAATACAAATCTAATTTTGCCAAATTTAAAACTCAACACCACATTTTCATATAATAGTATTTATATTATATTTGTTTGATGTATTTGAAATTTAGCAAATATTTCCCAATAGTCCTTAAACATGTTTAATATTAAAGAGCAAAATATATAAAAAGATATATTTTCAGACTAAGAAATTTTATGAAACCAAAAGCTTTTGTGCATTATAGCTTATTTCATCAGATACTAGAGCTGATAAAATACCTCAAGAGTCCCCGTTTGGCAATTTTTCTCAATTCTCAAAATATACAAGGAAGGCAACCTGGGTCATTCCATTATCTCAAGCATCAGAATATCAAGATTCATAGAATCTGTTTTTAGACATTATGCCACCAGCATGTCTACTTATATTAGACACTGTATAAAAGACATCATATGCATGTATATATATTTAAAAACTGCACACCTCCCTCATAGAGAGACTTTATGAGATGGATGCCCAACAGCAATATCCCTGACAATCTCCCATTTCACCCCCAATGGATATTGCAGTATAACTATTTCTCCAACAAACATGCTTTTCAAGCCATTATAAACCCCATTGCTAACACAGCAAACCTTTGCTACTAGACTTCATGATTCATCCATAACTACTTCAACTTATACACGTAGCTCCATAGTATGTCAAAACCTTCATGGCTGACTAGAGCAACATTTTCTCAGCTCTTACCCACTGAATCACTACCTTAAATTTCATGGATTACATTATTTTATCAACTGAATCCGCAGAAAATAATGTCACAAATTCCAACAGAACTTTTCAATTTTCACCCAACCATCAAGCCTCAATTTATCTACCGAACAGTTATGAATTGAACTATCCTAAACAGAATAACAGATCATCACTGGTTGTCACATACAGCTCTCAGCACAAGCTATTTAAACATACTATTAATAAGCTACAATCCAATGTTATATTATGGCACTATTCTTTTCCAGGTACTCATTGGCTATACTGCCATATAGGCATCCACCCCAACCTGAAGCAGGTTCTCACAAGCAAAAAAACCTCCAAAAGAACAATTATGCTAATAAGAACCAGATCATGCAACAAATGTATTTTGATCTTTTTGCCCATATGTACATCAAAAGCATTAGCATAGGGTCCAAAAACTTAATATACCAAATTATTGGCATTTTCACAAGCTCTTTGTCTAATATGATATATTCCAGTGATGGCTAACCTTTTTGCCATCGTGTGCCAAAAGCGGGAGGAGCGCAGGGGGATCGTGCGCATGTGCCCACACCCATAATTCTATGCGCCCTGACACACACACACACACGAGCATGCTTGTGCGACCCCCTCAATCCCCGCTTTTGGCACATGATAACCCAGTGGGCCCAGTAGGCCTGTTTTTCGCCCTCCCCAGGCTCCAGAGGCTTTCTAGGAGCCTGGGGAGGACAAAAACGACCCCTTCCGATCCCACCGGAAGTCAGCAAAGGGCCATTTCCGGCCTCCGGAAGGCCTCCGGGGGGATGGGAAAGGCCATTTTCACTCTCCCCAGGCTCCTAGAAAGACTCTGGAGTCTGGGGAGAAATGGGTCTTCCCCACCCCCCGAGGCCCTCCAGGTCCCAAAAATCAGCTGGTCAGCACACACATGCGCGCCCGAGCTGAGCTCACATGCCCACCGATATGGCTCCATGTGCCATACGTGCCATATGTTCGCCATCACAGATATATGACATCCTCTGATAACAATACCTTTCTGGAATTTAGATAAGACAACCAGGAAAAACATTATGCAAACAAATTATCTGATACAAGATTGACATTACGCCTCAGAACAAGGATAAAATAACATCAGAGCACTTTAACCTCCAAGGAGGCTCCATGACAAGTTTTAAAGCAGCCAATTTGGGGAAAAAATTAACAATTCAATTCAGAGATTGCAGTACTCACATGCATAAAAATCTATCTCAGAATTTCTCAGCAAAGAGTTTTTTTAACATGTTTGTTAACAAAATACTTGAAATCTGTCTCAGATGTACCTCCCCACCTCTACCCTTATTTAATCCTGTACTTTTATTAGATGCATGGAATGATAATACTTATGAGTTGAACTGGAACTCATCAAAAATTATGCCTTTTAATAAAATGTTATTCTGAAAAGATGCTACCATACTCCTGATTTTGGCTATCAACCTCGTTAGCAGAAAAATCTCAAACTGTGTTCTGTAAACTCAAAATCTGCATCAAATTTCTTAGCAAGTTAATGTTTATATAATTGAAGTTTATATATTTTTTTTCCAGGCAGAATCATTATTTCCCCTCTGTTCAGAGTAGCAAAACAGACTATAATGTAGGTAACGTTGCTTATAACATATAAGCAAAACATACCTAGACAAGATCCAATAAACCATGGTGAAGTTCCATTTCATAAAAGGGGATTTTCAAACTGTTTTTCATTCAAACATCACTCCCATACTAACTTTGCTCAAATATTATAGATGTGAAGGGTCTTTGGTGCTTGGTTGTTTTCTTACAAACATTTTGTTACCCAAACTAGGTAACATCAGCAGTGCTACTAAGGAGTGTGGTTTGTTCTCAAATTATATTCTAGAGGTTTGCTCAGTGTTGGTAGGAGTGGTCTTGGAGATTCTTTGGTTGGACTGTTTATTATTAGCTTGTTTATCAGTTCTTTGATTGGAGTATTGTTTACTTCTTGATTGTTAGTCTGTTAATCTTCATGTTAATATGTGATCATCTAAGTGTTAATTGCTGATGGGAAGATATTTTTGTCTTTTTGTTCACTTTTTGGCTTGTTGATTCTCTTTTGCAAAGTATGTAGATCAGTGGTGAAATACAAATTTTTTTACTACCGGTTCTGTGGGCGTGGCTTGGTGGGCGTGGTGTGTCTTGATGGGCGTGGCAGGGGAAGAATACTGCAAAATCTCCATTCCCACCCCACTCCAGGGGAAGGATATTGCAAAATCCCCATTCCCACCCCACTCCTGGGGGAAGGATATTGCAAAACCTCCATTCCCATCCCACTCTGGGGCCAGCCAGAGTTCATATTTGCTGGTTCTCTGAACTGCTCAAAATTTCCGCTACTGGTTCTCCAGAACCTGTCAGAATCTGCTGGATTTCACCCCTGATGTAGATGTTGCTTATGTCTATTGATGGCCAATTTGTCAGCATGCCAGGCTTTTAGGAATTCTCTAGCTTTTTTGGATTTGACTTGGTCTAAGATGCTCACAGTTTTCCAGTTGAAACTATAATTAAGCTGTAAAATTAAAGAGTTTTCATCATGTCTCAACTTCTAACTGGTGTTCGTGGATGTGTTCTGCTGTTGCAGTCATTACACTGTATGTTTTAGTTGATTCTCATTTCTTTCTTCTGTGGCTGCTGGATCTTTTGGTTTACTTTAGAATGCTTGGGGGGGGCTATGATTATGTTATGCTGATTCCATGTGATTATAATAATCTTTTGGTAATTTCTAAGATGTTTTTGATATATTCTGTTATCTTTTTTGGCTTATGTTGGTTGTGCTATATTGGGTTGAGTGGTCAGGCACTTTTTAATGGAGTTGCCTGGAAATCCATTTTATTGGAAGATGTTGTATTAATCATCTGTTTCCTTTTACTGCTGTTCAGGGTTACTGCAATATGTGCTTGTCTAAATAGAGTTCTTACATAACTTACTTGTGGGAGGAGTCCTTACTAGCACTGATGATTTTATCTAGTTTGGGTAATGAAATGTCTGCAATGAAATAATCAAGCTCAGAGAGTACTAAGTACTACAATATATGAACTACAATATTCTTCTTTATCAGTATTGTGGCTCTGTTGTTGGTAAGAACTTCAAGAATTCTCAATTGATAACCCTAGCGCTTTATTTGACCAGCATCAGGTTGGTAAGGCTGATAGGAAACCAAGTAAGTGTCACAGATTTAAAAGCTATTTGTACAAGATAAAATTGAGAATATAGTGCTACAGTAATTAGGTATAGTGAGCAGTTTCCATTTTACCTATACCTCTTGTTATTTCTTTTCCTCATGTCTACGTTTTCCCTAACAACAGTTAAATTATACTGTATTGCCAGATCAATTTTATCATTGTGCCACTAATCCTATCATGGTTTCATTGTCATTAATCACTAACAGACATGCTTCGACCTAGTCAGAGCAGTTTATTTCCCTTCAGTTCCTACTCTGAGTTAATTTTTTTTTGCAGTTCTCCTCTACTGTTGTGTTTCAGAAGAGGCAGATATACTATCTAAATTCTGACATAAAGCTATTCACTCATCCATTACTATTTTCTAATATATATTTTAAGTGATCTTTATTTAAATGCCAAATGATTTATATGTTAAACGTTGTCATAGAAATAAGCATTTGATATATTGAAAGGTCATAGTAACAGTTCAAAGGTTTAATACCGTAAACCATTAATTTAAATTGAAAGTACATGAAAACACATAAAAATATGAATATATTATCGTATGATCCAAAATTTTATAATATTGATTTAACTAATGCATGCAATTTATATACAAGAAAATTATATTAAATAATAGAAAGTACTATACTTATACTTTTAAAATGTATTAACATTGCCAATGTCTATTATCAAAAAACATTTATAACCTAAAAATAAATCTATAGATTTTTTGATTTTGTATTGAACCTCTCCCATAGAATCACTAAACAGAAGGTTGAGGATTTTTCTATAAAAAACAAAATATAAAACTTACTTAGTTTATGCTTTAATGAATTTGATATTGGCCTATGTAGATTCTTCTCCAAATCAGAAGATTTATCTAAAAATAATACAGAACATAAAAAACACAGAAAGAAAAAAAATAGAAGAGTGCTAGATGCAATATTACTATTAATGTATTTAAGTACAAATTAGTCTGAGATTGGAAAAACTGTTCAGCCGTCCCATTCAAAATTTGGAATATAACATTTTGCCCTGAGAATTTGGGTAATTGTCTTGCACCTTACTTTTTTTTTAATCCCACCTTGGACAGAACAGCTTTAATTGTCATGGGTGGATAAAATAATGTGGAGGCTTGGTGGAATGTAAAAAACGCCTGTAAATCATTTTTTTGTATTGCTGTGGTAACTTTAGTCACTAAACAAAAGGTTGTAAATTGAGGACTACCTGTATTAAAAATGCAGAATGGATAAAACTTTAAGATGAATTTAGTAAAAATCAAATAAAAAAATAACAACAGAGATGATTAAAAATTTAATGCAACTGGTTAAAAATTGGACATCTGGAAATGATGAGTTGCTTGGATTTGGCTCAAATAGTTTACATCCATTTATAGCTTAAGCAATTTAATAAAGCATTGCATAAAGATGGTTAATAATTGACAAAATATATTGGATTCAAAAACACTTCCATTAAGCAGTAAGAAAAAATTTGCACATTAAATACAAACCCCCGCTATATTTTGTATAATTTAAGTCAGTATTTGCAATGCACTCAATTACAATTCTCCCACAGAGAGGGCCTCCTCGGGGTGCCATCAGCCAAATAGTGCAGGCTGGTGACCCCCAGGGGGAGGGCCTTCTCTGGGGGGCACCTACCCTCTGGAATCAATTGCCTCCAGAGATAAGGAGAATCCAAGACCTCAGTGCCTTCCGCCGTGCCCTTAAAACCTTCCTTTTCCAGCAAGCCGGGCTGGCCTAATTTTTTAAGTGTTTTTAAGTGTTTTGTTTATTGTTTTTAATTAATGGGGCCAAATTTATATATATATATATTAACTGTATTTTAATATTTGTACTTGATGTTTTTACTTGGCTGTTCACCGCCCTGAGTCCTCAGGGAGAAGGGCGGTATACAAATTCAAAATAAAATAAAAAAATTAAAAAAATAAAAAATTCTGTGGCATGGAGTGGAGTAAGAGAAAGTGACTGGCCTAAGATCATCCTGCTGTTTGCCATGTCTAAGGGAAGATTGGACTTTCCAAACTCTTGGTTTCTAGTCCAGCACTTTAACCACATTACCAGACTTGGTTAAGAGAATGCAGCTTCTTTTGAGGCATGTAATCATAATAAGAGCAAAAAAGCCACCACTAACTAAAGACTTGATATCATTCCTCCTTCAGGGAAGTAATTCAGACATATCATTCAAAGCCCATTTTGAAAGAAATCATTGAAATCAATCCAATAATTAATAAAAAATTAGAACATCTTTTTTTCAAAACAGAGTTCACAGGATTTCCTTTGTCCATATGACATAACCTCTATTCTCAGGGGGCCACCAGTAGTTTGCCCAGTAGGCTGACAATAAAAGGGAGAACTTTTCTCACATAATCACAGTTGAATAAACTAGAGCTTCTCTAATTAAGAGCTGGACAATATCATTATTGTTAATGTTACACTTTTTAAAAATCTATGCATTAAACAAAACTATAATATAATCATACATTATTAATTAAAATGGATTAAAATATCTACTTTACATGTATGTTTCTTGTATTTATATCCTGCATTTAGCAATAGCAATAATACTTAACTTATGTACTGCCCCATAGTACTTTTCAGCAGTCTCTGGGTAGTTTACAATGCCTCCAACAATCTGGTTCTCATTTTATTGATCTTGGAAGGATGGAAGGCTGAATCAACTTTGAGCCACATCAAATCGAACTCCAGGTGGTGGACAGAACTTACCTGCAATATTGCATTCTAACCACTTTGCCACGACCATTCTGTTAAGAATTCAGGGTAGTGTACACATATTCCTTCCTCCAATTTCTCCCAATTACAATAGCGCTGAGTGGCTAACTCTGTTCCTACCAATGCATGCATTTCTACAGACACAGTAAAGACTATAGTTGTTTGAATACATACCATGCTAGCAGATATGCCAAAGACACAAATATTTACAAAAAAACCCTGATTCAAATATCATTGACCTTTATATGTAGAGGATATAAAGAGCCGTGGTGGCGCAGCAGTTAGAGTGCAGTACTGCAAGCTACTTCTGTTGATCACTGGCTGCCACTAGTTTGGCATATCGAATCTCACCAGACTCGGTTGAATCAGCCTTCCATCCTTCCAAGGTGGGTAAAATGAGGACCCAGATTGTTGGGGGCAATATGCTGACTCTGTAAACTGCTTAGAGAGAACTGTAAAGCACTGTGAAGGGGTATATAAGTCTAAGTGCTAGTGCTAGGATCAGGAAGTGCTAATTCTTACATTCTGCATTAAAAATCCCAAACCACAAAAAAGGTTTAAATCAAACAAATTACAAAATATTTATTACTTATGATATACTTACACATTTAATAGATGAATTATTTGTAAAATAGATAAACGTGAATCAAGTTATTTCAAAATAAAATTCTATAATATCAAGTATAGTTTTAAAAATGCAGCATAATAAATGGTAATAATACAAATACAACACACTCTACATGGGGCTGCCCTTGAAAAGCATCTGGAAACTCCAGTTAGTGCAAAATGCAGTGGCCTGCATGATTTTGTACAGACACATGTATTACCTCTCCTGCGGGACCTGCATTAGGTGCCCATTTGCTTCTGGATGCAATTCAAGGTGCTGGTTGTCAGCTTTAAAGACCTTCATGGCTTGGGACCAGGTTATCTGAGGGACCGTCTCTTGCCGGTCACATCTACCCGGTCCATTAGAGCAGAGAGGTAGGGAATGATGCGGGTCCCATCCCCAAAGGAGATACATCTGATAAGACCCAAAAGAAGGGCATTCTCCATGGTGGTTCTCTCTCTCTGGACCATCATTCGCCCAGAGATTAGAATGGTCCCCACTCTAATATTCTTCCAGAAGGCGTTGAAGATCTTGTTCTGCCAGCAGGCCTGGGGAACCCAGAGTGGGATTGAGCCCATGAAATGGCTCCTGTGATCTGCTGTCGCTGGGCCGGGGGGGGGGGGGGACAGATGGGGGTGATTTTGTTATATTGTATTATATTAATTTATTTGATTCTTTTTGTTAGTTTTTATTGTTTTAAATGTAGTTTTATATTCTGTAAGCCACCTTGAGTCGCCATGGGTGAATACACGTATATATATGTGTGTGTGTGTGTGTTTGTGTGTGTGTATTTTCTGAGGTTTTCGCGGTTGTTTGTATATAGGTCTTTGGTTATTCGAGTTTTCTCCCGCGTAAAATTGGAAGTATCTTGGCGACGTTTCAACGAAGTCTCATTCGTCATCTTCAGGCTGGTGTTTTCGGCTTCTTGCCTCCAGGAGCAATGTGTGATTGCAGCTGTTTCTTCCTTTTAACTGCCAGTGTGGGTGTGAACTGATTGGGTGGGAGCTTGGCTGTGTTCTGATTGGGTGGAGGTGTGTTCTGATTGGTAGGGAGTTTGGCTGTGCTCTGATTGGATGGGGGGTTGGCTGTGCTCTGATTGGATGGGGATGTGTTCTGTTTGGGTGGGGGCTTGGTTGTGCTCGGGTTAGTCTGAGTTGCAGGGGGGTTTGAGCTGGTGAACTGCGTTGCTGTTGTTTGGCTTCGCGTTCATGGTCGTACTGCATTTTCATGGTGGGTGTCAGTTTGCTTCATGTATGGATTGGAGGGGTTTAAAGTGGCTAATGATGCAGCTGTGGTCTGGCTTCTGGTTTGTGGTCGTGCCTCATCAGTGTGGGTTTGCTTTTTGCATGGATGTGTGGTGGTGACACTCTGTGTGGTTTTCGTGAGTATGGGTCTGGTGTCATTCTTTGTGTTAGGGACTCGTTTGTCAATGAGGGCGGGTTTCCAAATGGCTGGTAGGCGGGAGGTATCATCTTGTTTATTCATGCGGTGTGGGCGTTTTTCTATCTCGATGGCTTCTCTGATTATTCTGTTGTTAAAGTGTTCAGTTTTGGCGATAGTTCTGGTCTTACATACAAATACACCGCACACACACACACACACGTGTGTGTGTGTGTGTGTGTGTGTGTGTGTGTGTGTGTGTGATGGTAGTTTATAAAACCCTTATGCCTCTGTTAAGAAAAGGGAGCAGATAGAAAACCATTCATAGGCTTACTAATACTCAAAGGCCTAAGTTCAGCATTCATATCTGAAGTATTTAAAAAGTGCAATATCCCACAGCTTTGCTTACAATTTGCTCAGGATCAGAACCAATAATATGAGACCTCATGGAATGAATCATATTTGCTTGGTCTATATATAATAGTAAGTATAATGCATAGACCACACCCCAAATAAAACTCCACAATCTTGACAATTTCTATGAACCACAGTAGTATCCAATCCTACACAGAAAAAGAAACAGAACTTAAATATTAACTTTTGACAAGTTACCTGAATCAGAATCATCTGTATTAAATGGATTCCATTCTTTTCTAAATATTTCATTACTACAAAGTGGTAGAAGTAGTGGGTCACTAAAAAAAAAAAAGTTTAGATCAGGTTAAATCATTACATTAGTAAATTATACCACCTGATGTAGCTATAAATCAGGGAACATAACATCTCCATGTATAATACTCTATTTATGGAGTGATAATTGTTTATCTTCTCAAGCTGTTTTTCTTTTAAAAGGGCAATACAAAAATAAAATCCAAAAACGATATCAGCAGGTTTATGTCCTAAGAGGACAGTGCAATACTGAATCTAATTCTCTGACATCACTTCATAGCTTTCCCTAAAAATTACTCCAGAATGTTCCGTATATCCTAAACCAGTGTTTTTCAAACTTAGCAACTCTTAAGATCTGGGATTTCAACTCTACAAATTTCACAAAGAGTGTGAAGCAGTTTCATCAGAGAAAAACTTTATCTGGATTAAGTGGCACATTTACCATTTTTTCATCCTAGGTTCTTGAATATGTTTTGTGTTACTATGAATCAGACATTGGGCATAATATTCAAAAACAAAAACTTTCCGTAGAAGATGTGCACATATTTACTGTATACATAATAGTATATCAGAGAAATATTTTTAATTTAGTCTGAATAAAATAGGTTATATCATCAAATGTATCGGAGGGAGGGAGAGAGGAAGACATTTCAAAAAAATTATCTGATGTTATTCATATTTCTATCTGATGCACAAGATCTGAAAAAAATTCAACAGTTGGATTTGCAAGATTATTTATTTATTTATTTATTTATTTTATTAAACTTGTATGCCGCCCTCTCTCCCAAAGGACTCAGGGCGGCTCACAACGATAAAAAATAAAATTCAATATACAAATATAAAAACTAATAAAATCCCCTTTAAAAAACCCCTTCATTATAATTAGTCTGCATGAAGTTGTTGTAGATCAGCACATAGTAGAACCCTAGCAGCAGCGCTGTGCCCACCACCAGCACCTCCCCCCCGCCTCTATGGCCCGCTTGCCAGCCCTACAGTCTGCAAGCACTTTCCTTTTACTGGGTATGCCAGTCCCTGTGCCCTCACCACCTCTTGTGCATACCCAGGGGATGCACCCGGCTGGGGCTGAGGCTGCAGGGGCCAGGCCCTTACTGTCTCCAGGGCAGCCTCCCTGGGCCAGATCTAATTACATCAGGAACCGGATCTGGGGCCTTGAGTTTGACATGTCTGTTCTATAGCTTCAATGCAACATGATCTGTTCATTTTGTCAATAAGTTTAGAAAAAAATCAAAGACTTGTCATAAAGATTTCTACTCTATTTTCTTTATTCTCTAGCTTCCTTTAGTATTCAATCTTCAAGGTTGTGCAAACACCAAAGCAATCACCATTTTCTTATGAAAATTTTTTTCTAATTAATCCAAAAATATAATTCCAAATCCACCTGAACCTTTAACTCATTATTACTTTGTAAAATCCATACACTAAGAACTCTTTTATTCTAAAGTCGGTATATTTTCAAACATATATATATTGTAAAATCAAATTTAAACCATTATCCTTCCTGGTCAAAGTGTTTTAAATGAATACATCAAGAGAGTGAAGAAGATCTTAAAAGTCCAAACTCTGTGGAGAAAACACTATTGAGGCAATAAACACCTGGCAATTCCAGTCATTAGATAGACAGCTGGAATAGTGGAGTGGACTCAAACAGAACTAAAAGCCCTAGGTAGGAAGACCAGAAAAATAATGACAGTGAATCATGCCCTTTATCCTCACAGTGATGTTGACAGACTTTGCCTTACCAAAGAAAGTAGATGTTGAGGAATGTTGCAAGTACATCAGAACGGTTGAAGAAGAAGAAAAAAATGCATTGGAAGAATATCTGAAGGACAGTGAAAATGCACTGAAACTAGTATACCAGGAAGGATTACTGAATACTGAAGAGACTAAACTGAATAGACTAAACAAAGACCAAATGAAGAATAGGATGGAGGCATGGGAAGTTTAAGAATTATATGGCCAGCACATACACAAAAAATGAAAACAAAATAACGGGGAAAGCAAATAATAAGACTTAGCAATGGCTAAGAGCAGGAAAGTTGAAGAAAGCAACAGAGAAACTAAATCAAGATACACAAAACCAAAACTTAAGAACAAATGTATACGAATTTGAAATGTATAAGAATTGGGAAGACAGCAACAGAATAAGTGCTACCTATGGAAAGAAGCTGAAGAAACAATGTGCCACTTTGTTAGCTGCTAAAAGAAGACTGCACCAACTGACTACAAGCAATGGCATGACAAGATAGCAACAATGGTATATTGGAATATCTGCAAGAAATATCATTTGCTTGCAAGCAAGAACTGGTAGGACCGTAAACTAGAGAAAATCATAGAAAATGAAGAAGCTAAATTGTTTTGGGACTTTAGAACGTAAATAGACAGGTACCTGGTACAGGTCTATGATGACTCGATGTGGCCTTCTTCCCATCATCAAAACCCCCCTGTCAACCTGCCGCCATTTCTTCACAGGACTTTTTTTTTAAGTGCTGCCACCCACTTTGAAGGTTTTTTTTCTTGTAGAGTAGTGGCGACACTTTTTTAAAAAAATTGCACAAAAAACCCTTGCAAAGCCGTAGCAGCCGCCCTTTAAAAGAAACTTACCCTCCACACCACTGTAGCCAAACTGCCCATTCAGTGTTCGGTCCAGAGCCAAGGTCCAGAGGCAATGGCAGCAGTAAGGGGGTCAAAATGGGAAGCGCCCCGCCTGGTGCTGCCGTCACTCTGCCCTGACAGCTTACTTGACTCTCATCAGGCACAGCCTAAGGCACTAAGGCAATGATGGGGGTTTAAAAATGGGAAACCCCCCTCTGACCGTTCATCCCTGCCCTCTGTCCCATCTCTCACTTCAGCCGAACCGTTGGTTCAGTGTTCAGGCCAAGCCAACCTACCACTGCCACTGCCACCCTCTGTCACCCCGTTCACTCGCTCATCTACCCAGCTCTCCGTCCAGTACCCCACCCCTCGTCACCACCCTGACAGCTCACTCACTTGCTCACACAATTGCCCAGCTCCATCTGGTGCCCACAGCGAGTTATCTCCACAGCTAATTTCCAGTGTTGAGTAGTCTTGGGAAGAAATGGTGGCAGGAGTTGGCAGAGGGGACATAGCGGTGGCAAGAAGGCTGTCCCATCTGGCCATGTTAAGCTAGTAGTGTTGAGTTGTCTCAATTCCAACCTGCCACATAATACACACTAAACTACTGTCAACAAGAAAGGTAAATGTCTGGATATAGTATGCAGCAGTACTTGGAGACAACAGAACAGAAGAGAAAGAACTGGAGAAATAAAAAAAATGCAAACAAAGACCTCCAAATAGAAATACTGTGTTTCTCCAAAAAGAAGGCCAGGTCTTATTTTCTTTTGACCCGCGAAAAAATGGCTAGGCCTTCTTTTGGGAGGGTTCTAATTATTGACTCATCTCGCGGCGGTGGCACTGACAGCCCAGCCCAGCAGGAGCCTGCTGCTGGCCCATTTTTTCTGTGGCTATCGCCCTGGCCTCTGTTTCACCTTCAGATGCTGGCTGGAATGCATCTGCAGCCAATAACAGAGCTCCAGATTGACCCGGAGCTCTGTTATCCGCTGCAGACGCCCTCTGCAGCTGATAATAGAGCTCCAATTGAGTTGATTGATCCAGAACTCTGTTATCCACTACAGATGCCTTCCAGGAGGCATCTGAAAGCAAAACAGAGGCCAGGGCGATGCGTGTGAGTGATAGCAAGCAGCCGCAGAAGAAACTGCCGAAGAAGAGGAGGCAGATGTCGGGGTATGTGAGGCCTGGCTCCACCCCATCCCCACCATAGCTTATTTTTTACCTGTGTGCCTCGCCCCACACCCTGCACCACAGGGTGGGCGGAGTCTTAATTAGGGCTAATTTTGTGGGTGGGGCTTAATTTGATCGCATGCTCTCAAAAATGTGATAGGGCTTCTTTTCAAGGTGGGTCGTCTTTTTGGAGAAACATAGTAGAATGACTGTGGCAAAGGTAGTACCAAGAAAGCAAAGGTAGTACCAACAGTCATAGGCTCCATGAGTGCAATCCCAAACAACTGGAGCACCACTTGAATATCACTTGAGCAGCACGACAAATTCAACACCAGTCAACACCAATCAAAAGGCAGCTTTACTCAGGTTCCATCCTTCAACCCCATCAAACATCATCTGCTGAAGTGGACTACTGCATCAAGGGCAGTATATTTAGCAAATCTCTATGCTCAGGCCAGCAATCCTTCACCCCCACAAACTATCCCTGACCTGCACTGCACCCCTGCACACCCTCACATTGTCAATAAGCTGTGCCGCGCGATCATCGGAACCTTTTTTTAAAAACTTTTTTAAAGCATTTTTTTGCTACCTGTTCCGGTAAATAGGTAGTAAAAAAAATGCTTTAAAAATATTTTTTAAAAAGTTGGCCATGCCCACCCAGTCACATGACACCTCCCATCAGGCCACACCCACCAGGCCACACCCACAGAACTGGTAGCAACAAATTTTACATTTCACCATTGATGGAAACTAATCAAGGAGAAAATCAAGCTAGAACTAAGGAGAAATTAATCAGTGGAACAACTTGCCTCCAGTTGTTGTGGGTGCTCCAACATTGGAGATTTTTAAGAGATTGAACAACTATTTGTCTGAAATAGAATCGGGTTTCTTGCTTGACTAGAGGGTTGGATTAGAAGACCTCTGAGTTTCCTTCCAACTCTTGTTATTGTTTTTTAGGTAAATTTTATATATTCCCTTTTTGTTATCATTCTCCAGCCATCTCTCGTTTTATTTAATTTAGCTTATTTTAGCACTTTCTAGAACTGTTGCAAAATACCTAAGGATTCTTAGGAATGAATACAAGCATATAGGTATTTTAAATAAGAGGACAAATGGTTCTAATTGGTATGTATACTCAGGGAATTATCAAAGCCCCATAGAAGTCTAAGGAGGCTGTACCTCAGAAGAGGTCTAAATAGTTGGGTTGTGTATTCATGTCTTTTCTTGAGTATTCATGGCTTTGCTCAAAGCTGATTAATAAATCCAATGTACAAAATTGCATTGCGTTAAGAAAAAGTAGTATTAAAACATACTTGTACAATCATAACTTACTATGATAAAGATCCTTCGTTGTTTTGTGGTGTTACTGAAATATTTGAATGTTTTTTTGCCATACGCTGCTCACAAGAATCTTCTTGATATAATACATTATTCTGAGGCTTTGGTAAAGAAGTCTCTCTTACTTTTTGAGATGTTGCTCTCTTTAACTCAGTTCTTAGTTTAAAAGGATGAAGATTCTTCTTTTTATCTAAGTGTTCCTCTCCATGAACATCTTCAAGGCTCCCCTTTGAAACCAATTGCCTGTTCTTCTTCCCCATAAGATCTCTACCAGGGGATCTTTTCTTTTTCTTTTGAGTCACTGATTGTTTTATTTTATTTTTTCTTCTTTCATTATGCTGCTTAGCCTCCTCGTTTCCTTCAAATGAAGCAGATGTTGTCTTTTTCTGTGGTTTTTGCTTCTTTCCAGAAATTGAAATCCAAGACGCAGAAGACAAATCAAAAAATTCCTCTATCAAAAATTCACATTCCTCTTCTGGCTTTAGAGTAGCTGAATTTCTAGGGAGGAAAGACAGGCAAGTTGATTCTTACATATCACAAAGGGTCAGTTCAAGGAACTTCATTTTCAAAATAAAATTAAGATATTTTACAAAAATATTTTCTGATAAGGAACATTGGGACTTACCTGAATGTTTGTTCTATGTGCGCTGCAGGAGAGTCCAAGCTTCTGTCTTGTTGGCCAGACACTGAGTTGAATTTGCTTAGCCACACCTCTTCCTCCTGGCTGAGCTTCAGTGTTTCGACAAAGGGGATCTGGAGAGGACGTAGCCGGCATGATGAATACAGCTCCACTGGAAACTGGACCACTACAAGAAGTAGGGCGGGGTTGGACTCTCCTGCAGCGCACATAGAACGAACATTCAGGTAAGTCCCAATATTCCTTCTCTTGTGCACTGCTTGGAGAGTTCAAGCAATGGGATATACCCAAGCTAAATATCCCTAGGGCGGGAGTCCGAGCAGTCCAGGGGACTTTCACCTGGTAGAACCTGCTGCAGGACTCTTCTGCCGAATGCTGCCTCGGCCGAGGCAAATTTGTCCAATTTGTAATTCCTGATAAACAGAGTGGGGGAGGCCCAAGTGGCTGCCCTGCAAATTTCCAGGATGGAAGCTTGAATAGCCCAAGTGGCCATGGTAGCCGCACTTCGTGTCAAATGTGCAGTTAGACATTCTGGAAGAGAACTGGCTTGATGTTCGTAAGCCAGCGCGATACATGCCTTGAGCCAGCGTCCAATAGTTGATGGAGTCACTTTCTTTCCCATTGAACTGGGCTGGAATGAAATAAACAATGATTCAGATCTCCTGAATGATGCTGTTCTGTCCATGTATTTGCAAAGAGCTCTATGAATGTCCAGAGTGTGCCGGCATCGTTCCCTAGTATGCGCTGGTTCCGGACAAAAATTTGATAAAATGACCTCCTGTGCCCTATGAAACCAGGAATTGATTTTAGGCACGAATGTCGGGTCCAGGCGGAGGACGACCCTGTCCAAATAAAAGATATGTAAGTCCTTGCGTACAGATAGAGCCGCCATCTCACAAATTCTCCTCGCCGATGTGATTGCGATGTGAAAGGCAACCTTGAAGGCAAGTATCTTGAGACTGACAGACCCTAATGGCTCGAACGGGGAAGACATGAGAGCTTGCAAGAGGCAAATCCCAAGTTGGATAACTATGGACCGTAGGGGGACGTAAATTGGAAACCCCTTTTAGGAAACTTCATACCCTCGGGTGTTGAGAGAGGGTAGTAGTGCCCTCGAAGTGTAAGATAGTCGCAAGGGTGGCCACCTGCCTGCGGAATGTGTTGGTAAACAGGCCGTGATTGAATCAAGACTGGAGGAAGTCCAAAACATTCAGAATAGATGCCAATGTGGGAACCAAGTGTGATTTCCTACACCAGCATGAAAAAGCTGTCCATGTGGCTTTGTAGATCCTGGTGGTTGAAGGATGGCGAGAAGCCTAAATCGTGGATAGGATCTCCCTTGAGAATCTGTCTTTCTTTAGGATCTCCCTCTCAAGTGCCAGACGGCCAATTGGAGCCATTGTGGCTCTGGATGAAGTACGGCCCCCTGGCTGAGGGAGATCTTGTCTGGTGGAATCCTCAAGGGGGGTGACACCGATAGTGACACGAGGTCCGCAAATCACACCTGCTTGGGCCAGTGGGGTGCCATGACGAAGACTTCTGTCTCCTCCTCCTCCAGTAGCTTCCTGATGACCGGTGGTATGAGAGGAGTCGGAGGAAAAACATATAAGAGGCCTTGCGGCCAGGATAAGCGGAGGGCACCGGTCCCTTCAGCCCCCGGCGTCGGGAAGCGGGAGAAGAATCGTGGTAGTTGAGTGTTCTTCAGGGTGGCAAAGAGCTCCACGCACGGTAGGCCGAACCTGGTTGACAGCTAATGAAAAAGATCGCGGTGGAGATGCCATTCAGTCTGGTCGATGGTTGCTCTGCTCAACCAGTCCACCTGCTCGTTGTCTATCCCAGAAATGTGTTCCGCTTGCAGGGAGAGCAGATGAGACTCTGCCCAGAGACCCAGTTTCGCAGTTTCAGACATCAGGTCCCTGGACCGGGTGCCCCACTGTCTGTTCACATGTGCCTTGGCTGTGATGCTGTCTGTTAACAGTAATACATGGTGACCTGACAACGAGCAGTGTAAGTGACGCAGGACTAGATGTGCTGCTCTCAACTCCAGCCAGTTGATGTCGTGTAATAGCTCCTGTGGAGACCATCTGCCTTGAGTCACCTGAGAGAGCAGGTGTGCGCCCCAGCCGAATAGACTGGCATTCGAAGTCAGAGTTAGTCATGAAGGCTCTTTAAAGAGACAGCCCTTCTCGATGGAAGTTGACATCCACCAGTCTAGGGAACGAAGTACTTTCGGTGGAACTCTGACCCGTGCTTTGGAATGGCTGTTGCCTGCCCATTGGCTTGGCAATAAAAATCATTGCAGGAGCCGGGAATGTAGCTTCGCCCAAGGAACTATTGCCAGGCAGGAGATCATCTTCCCTAACACCTGGGACAGTAGCACCAGGGGCACTGATCGTAATGTCCTGACCTGCGCTATCATGGCCCATATTCTGGCCTGACGTTCTGGTGACAGGAAGACCTGACAATTGTGTGAATCTATCCGTGCATCCAGGTGGAGGATACTGTGAGAGGGGTCTAACTGACTCTTCTCCAGGTTCACGGAGAACCCATGCTCCTGGAGAGTTTGAATTATTTCTAACAGATCTTGTCTTGCCTGGCTCAGAGACGACGATTGAATTAAAATGTCATTGAGATAACATTGTAATCTGATGGGATGTGATCGAAGATGAGCTGCCACTACATCTAGGAGCTTGGTAAAGGTCCTTGGGGCAGAGGAGAGGCTGAAGGGAAGGGCCCTGTATTGGAAATGTAGCAGAATCTGAGATATTTCCTGTGTGAAATCTGAATGGGAATATGCAGGTAGGCTTCCTTGAGATCTATTGATGTTAGCAGATCTTCCTGTCTGATGCAACGCAGAGATTGCATCTTGAAGCGCTTGTACTTTATATGTACGTTGAGCATTTTTTAGATCTAAGATGCCTCTGCTGCCCCTGATTTCTTCTGGACCAGGAAGAGAATTGAATAGAAGCCGAGACCTTGCTGTTGGACAGGCACTGGTTCTATGGCCTGTATGGACAACAGATGTTGGATCTCGGCTTCTATCAGAGACCTCTTGGTGGCCTCCCTGGGTACTGACCAAGTGATGAATTGTCTTGGGGGAATGGAAGAAAACTCCAAGGTGAGCCCAAGCCTCACCATTTGCAGTGCCCAGGCATCGGTCGTGGTCTGTTCCCATTGGTTGGTGAACATTGTTAAATGGCTGCCAATGGGGAACCCTAACTGGGAGTCACTTGGACCTACGGTAGAGCCTACCGCTGGCTCCTCGAAAGGGTCTTCTGGACTGGGATTGTCTGGATCTGTCCCGGAAGGAAGTCCTATCCTGGGAATGGTCCATGGGGGGTGGGTATGTCTTCTGGTAGGCTGGGACGGAGTATCCACCCTCAGACCCACAAAAGGACTGCCTGCGATAAAAGGGAGTGTGTCTCCTGTTTGTCCTTCTATGTGCAAGAGAAAGCATTTTCCGCTTGTCCTTGCTCTCTACTAGAATGGGATCAAGCACCTCACCAAATAGATTACCTCCTTTGAAAGGAGCAGACGCCAATTTCCATTTTGATTTCATATCGGCTTGCCAATGGGGAAGCCATAGAAGGCGTCTAGAAGTGACATTGAAAGCTAACGCCCTTGAGGCAAATTTAGCAGAGTTGAGTGTTGCATGAGCAGAGCACTCTGCTACAGCGATCAGTTTATTAATATCTTGTTGCGGTCTAACATCCCCTGGGGATGTGCGTGCCTGCATTTGGCGGAGCCATAGGAGAGAGATTCTATTAAAGAAGGATGCTGCCATGGCTGATCGAATTGCCCAGGCAGCAGCCTGATGTGTCTTGCAAATGGACAACTCTGCTTTCCGATCCTCGGTTTTTAACCTTTCCCCTGAGTCTGAGGGAAATATGTTAGATGAAGCCAGGTTAGTGAAGGGAGCATCTATGGCAGGTAACTTCAGGAGGTCCTCCACTTCCTGCTCTACAGTGTACATTTTCTGTCCAACCCACTGTGATTAGATAATGACCCAGGTTAATTCCACTGCTTTTGGATATTATCAACAAATAGCTTGGGAGAGGGAACTACACTGGCTCAGTGAATAGATGGGCATTGGGATCCTGCTCTGCAGAGCAGTCAGATGTCCCTGCTACTACCCCCAAATTTGCAGTGGTTTTAGCCTTGAATAGTAACATCTTAAACAAATTAGGACTGAAAAGGCCAGTAAAGGCAGACTTGTCAGGTGATCTACCCTCGTCCTCAGAGAAATCATGCTCTGCTAGATCTTCCTCCTCTCCAGGGTATGGCACCTTGCTGCCCTGATACATCTGAGGTGAATGGGGAGTCTGGGAATACACCCTTTCTGGTTGCCCTTGAGGCACATTAGCTGCTGTGCTACTAGGAATAGGTCCTACTATACCCCTCCTAAGAAGGGCTGAATCAATCTGGACAATGGTTTGGGCAATGGTGTTACATAACTCCTGGGAAAGGACAGGGTTTTGATTCTCTTCAGGGTGGAGCCCCACTGCTGTGGGAGTGAATGTTGCCGATGGAACTGTCTTCCTGGGGCCTGATGTGACCATCTGTCCTGAAGAGCCCTGACTAGTTAAGGGAACATAATCCCCTGCATAGGCTGGTAATTCAATTTATGATTCTGGAGGGGGGTCAGGAGACCAAAACAATCTTTCTCCAGGCAAGGCTGAGAAGAATGTACCTTGTGCCAGAAAATATCAGCCTCCATGTGGCCAATTTGAGGGCCTGGGCTCTTTGTGGCTTCTGCCTGCTTTTGGGCCTTGGCAAAGTGTTTTTCTAATGCTTTTTGCCTTCTTTCTGCATCCTTATCAGCAGCAGTGGAAGTGGATGCCTTTGATCTAGTGGAAGGTCCAGCCTGAGAACTCATTGTCTTATTTGGATCAGATGCCACTGATCTCCTAGAACCAGAGGATGAGGCTGCAGAATCCCTGGAATGAAAAGAGCTGCGGTCCGCCATTTTGAAATGAATAAGCAGTCTTTAATTATGCTGCAGCACTTGAAATTATTGTTTAAGTTAAAATTATTGGATTTCATCCCCAAGTCTGACCAAACCGACAAAACAGTTTGTGAGCGCAACAGTCAACTGCTGTGTAATAATTTTGGTGCGAGACCAACAAAAAGGTCTCTTGTGCAATAGCAATTATGCAGCAGATAATGGGGAATCGTGCGAGACCAACAATACAGTCTTCAAGCCTCAATTTCAGTTTCAAGCGCGAAAACCGACAAAACGGTTTAATCTGCGCTGGAGCCGATCGCCTGACTCACGTGGATCCTCCCTGTAGTTGTCCTGTGAGAAGGGAGTGGTTCTGACGACCCCGCCAAACCTCGTTAGCAGCCCGATGTTCCCTGCCGCAATCTGTTCGAATAAGCCTGGGGGAGTGATCTCAATCGCTGCCACTGCCCCAGTGGCTGCTTCCACTTGCGATCAGCTCCTGAGCGGTTTGCCACCCACGCGGCTAGAAATCTCCTCCAGAGCTTCTCGGGGCTCTATGGAGCGGCTGCCGGGACATAATATCACACAGCGATAATATTGGTGCCGGTATAATGAAGTAATAAACAAAAAAAATTTAAATTTTTTAGGAACTTGGACAGGGCTACAAATAGATTTATTTGGCAGGGCAAGAAGCCTCGAATTAAGTTGAAAACGATGCAGAAACCGAAAGAACGAGGCGGGTTGGGGGTCCCAAATTGGAAGTATTACTATAATTCGGCGGTTTTGGTTTGGATCCGTGAGTGGATTACACTACAAAGGAGACGTCCATTAGCAATCAAAGGTCATGATCTCCAACAGGGATGGCATGCCCACCTATGGTGGGAGACAGGCAAACCCCCAGCATATTTTATGAAACATCACGTGCGAGGAGTCCTGATTGAGAGTTGGATGGAAATTAGGAAAACATATTATAATAAGGTACCACTCTGGGTTTCACCTGTGGAAGCTGTGATCTATCCGAGTCTGTATAATCCAGAGAAAAATTTGACCTACAAAGAAATATTAGATACGAATGGGAAGTTAAAAACAAAATTGTCACTTCAGGTACAAGGAGTGAACCTAGACTGGTGGACGTACATGCAAATTAGCAGTAAGTATATGAGAGATAGACAGAGACTTGGGATTAGCCGAGAGGTGCAGATTCTAGATAGAATATTATTGGAGGTGGATGAAAAGGTGTTATCTAATGCTATAAATTCTTTATGGCTATGGAGGTAGGTGAGGAAGGTGCGAAGACTTCGGTTCATGCCTGGGAGAAGAATCTCGGTTATTCAATAGAGCCTGAGAGGTGGAACGAAATCTGGACTAAGAATATGAGACTAACCCAATCAATAGGATACAAAGAAAATATATATAAAATGGCATATCGATGGCATTTACCGCCAGCCAGACTCGCCAAAATGTTCCTTGGAACACCCTCAGTCTGTTGGAAATGTGGCATTAAAGAAGGCACATATTTCCACCAATGGTGGACCTGCCGAGAGGCAATGAAATTTTGGAAGAATATTCTGAAGTGGCTTAATGAGATGTTGGGGCAGCATATACAATTGTGTCCTGAGGTATTTTTATTAGGGATAAGACCCGAAAATGTTAATAGAACTGCATGGTACCTGCTGCTACATATAACAACAGCTACAAGATTGGCATGGGCCCAATACTGGAAGATGGATGTTAGCCCACCGAACAAGTAGTAATTCAGAAAATAATGAATTGTGCAGAATCAGATCGGCTTACTATGATACTGAAAGGACGGGGGGACACAGATTACTATATATCTTGGAATCAATGGTATAATTGGATGTCAAATCGAGCTACAAATAGAGATATTGGATAAACATGTCAACTGGTATATGTAATAGACTTTTGTAGGTTACCCTATATATGTAATGGAACAAGTTTATTTCCTTCTCGCGTTGTGATGTAGACCGCTATAGATTTAATGTTTGTTGGATATATAAGATTTAAAAAAAAAGGAGAATGTGTAGAATTATAAAATCAAGATAAAAATATTATGTACATTAGGAGAAAGAATACATTGAAAACAAATTCAAAAGGACAATTTTTCACAATATATGTGGACTATTATGTGGCATTTGATTTTTAAAAGATCTCTAACACATTCTAAAACTTGATGCATTCAAAGGTCTGCTGAAAAAAAAAAAAAAAAATAGCACTACCCAAGCTAAAATTTTAACACATTCCCTCTATCTATGAATATCTCAGAATTCCATGATGATAGTTCATTCATAATCTGAAAGATTAAAATCTTCTAATAGGAAGTTGCATTCGTGAAAAAAAAAAATTAAATTCGCCTAATTTTCTGCTGAAAGTCCAAGCAATGGGAGAAGAAAAGAAGCAAGTCTCTTTAGGCTAACTGAGCTGAAACACTGGGGCTCAGCCAGGAGGAAGAGGCATGGCTAAGCAAGTTCAACTCAGTCTCTGGCCAACCAGACAGCAGTTAACCCATTGCTTGGACTTTCCAAGCAGTGCACAGGAGAAAAACTAGTGCTAGTAATCATTTATTTATGTTACACAAACTTTAAACATGTTGACCCAACAAAGCTCAAGTCTTCAAAGCAAAATTCCAATATGTATGCATGTGTATATCTGGCAGATTTAGACTTTGTTAAGACTTATCTTAGAAACATAAACAGAATTGGCTACGTGAATGCTTTAGAGTTATGGTCATAAAGTCATGCAGTGGCAGGTTAAATACAACAATGATAGAATTAGTCTAAATATTCAAAGCTGCATTTAATTTAATTAGTGCATTCATAGTTCACCAATAGTTCACACCTAATACATTTCTGAGATGAAGTTGAGTTTATTGATATCCTCACAACAGATAAATTATTTAATATAATAGATGGTATAGAATCCTGAATATGTATCTCTTACAGATCCACACCAAAATTTTTGTCTGGCTTCTTCAAAGTACCAACAATCCCAAGTCTCTTATTCAAAAGTAAAATCATAGCCAAGACTTTTACCTAGAAAAGAACTGCACACTACAGAACAAACAAGTTCAACCCATTTTACACAATTCTGCAGTTTTCTCAAGTCAGCCACTTTAAATGTCACAACAAAAATACGACTTAACTTGCTTTCAATTACACATGCCAAAATCTTCTATACAAAACTGCTCTTTAAATAATGGCACTAATATCTCACTGTACTCTCAGAACACTTTCATGACTTACAATGAAAACATAGGTCCTGACATTTTTATTTGTTTAGAGGCTGGTTCTTCAATACATAACTCCTCCATTTCTTTTCTTGCAGAAAAGCCCTTAGACTTGCTAAACTTTTGGGATAAATAAAATCCCTCTTCATTAAAGCACAACCTGTGTGGGAAAAAAATTAAACAATTCATTCAGGATTTTCCAAATGTTCTGTTTTAAATTTCCAACTCTTAAAGAAAAATTATGCACATAGTATTTTCTCAAATCCTTTGGGAAATGTGCAAATTATCACCCACCTCCTATAACTTTGTGCGATAAAGGCAAGACCCAGGCTCATCCCACATTAATTACCAAAACATGGGAAAAATCAATTAACCTTTCTCCCAACAATTGATAATTTATCTACACTAACTTGGACAGGAATAAAATATTTTCATTAAATATTTAACAGTCATAATTTACTGTTCTGCACATGATTTCTCTCCTTCTTCTCCTTGTCCTTCTTCTCCACTTTCTACCAGAAGGTCTGGTGATCCTAAGCACAACACCTCAGCATCGTTTTCCTTAATTTCTTCTGATATCTTGCTGCCTATTTTATTGATAAGACAGACAAAATACATGCAATATTATCATTCTTTTTGAGATAAGAAAAACAATTGTCTCCTGCTATTACCTTAAATTATAACTGACAAATTTATTGGAACATTTTTCTTAGGGTAGATTTATTTTCTTACAATCTAACTTAAAAGTATGACTTTCTTGCAAAACATAGTGTCATAGGCTTCGAAGGGATCCTGGAGGTCTTCTAGTCCAACCCATTGCTCAAGGCAGGAGTCTTATACCATCCCACGGAAATGATTGTCTAGTCTATTCTTGAAAACCTCCAGTACACCCATAATTTCTGAAGGCAAGGTATTCTATTGATTAATTGCCCTCGCTGACAGAAAATTTCTCCTTACTTCTAGGTTGGACTTTATTTTATCAAGCTTCCACTCATTACTTCTTGTCTTGTCCTGCTCTCATGTGCCCTGGAGAAGAAGTCAATCCACTATTCTTGGTGAAGATACTCAAGTACTGGAATACAGCTATCATATCCTTCCTAATGATTCTCTTTGATAGCCTAGATATATGGTACTTGTCTACTTATCATGCAGCCCAGGGATATCTGGCCTGCTCTTTTGGAGATGTCTTGGAGACAACCACCATTTCCTGTGCATCCACAATTCTTTAACACAGTCTGCAAAGTGTTAAGGTAGCAAAACAGAACAGTCTGTCCCACTCTTATGTGACAGTGACCCAGAAGCAGCCACCATTTTGACCAAGAGACAGGCATGGCAAAATGGCAGCTGCTTCCACCACATAGCCCAGGGATGAATCCCAGGCATAGTCAAAATTATGGTGGTTTCCATGACAGTCATGCAGCCCAGGGATGCATGGCCTGCTCTCCTTCACCAACATGAGGTTCAGAGATCTTCAAAAGGTATGGAGAAGGAGGCTGTGATGTCTGGTAGGGTGGGAGTCAGGCCTAAGGATTGCAGGGATCCAGTGGGAGTGGGAAAAAGCCTGTGGGGACCTTGTAGGGGAAGGGAAAGGCCCAAAAGTTGGCATAGGGAGGCCTTTGGAAGGCAAGCCTGGGCTTGCACTAGACCTCCAAAATCTTCCCCAAACTCTGAGGTAGCCACTGTTCTGCTTAACAACTTATATGTTTTTTATTTCCATCTATCATTTTAGGACATTTAAATATGTCCTAAAATGATTGCTATAATGCCTTTTCAGATTTGATCTAAAATAATCTTCCCATCCCATCTGTAACTGGTCTGATACTTTAATCTGTTGCCCAGTAGAGATAAGGTCTTCTACACCTTGTTTAGAGGTGGTAACTGGATTTATTCAACACAATTAACTTTGTACCTGGGCTTAATAGAACATTTGCTATGTTCACATATCTTATTGCTATCCTGTTTCCCTGAAAATAAGACATCCCCTGATAATAAGACTAATTGGGCTTTTGAGCACGTGCTCTAAAATAAGCCCACCCCGAAAATATTTAAATGCAGAGCTGGAAATCAGGTAAGACAGCAACAGGAGCCCCATCTTGCTCCACATGCCCCAAAATAATAAGACCTCCCTGAAAATAAGATCAAGCGCTTATTTTGGAGTTCAAAAAAATATAAAACAGGGTCTTATTTTTAGGGAAACACGATATATCTAAACAAATAAAGTATATGACGGCTTAATAAGATGGTCTGATTCAAAAAGCATGCTAAGATAGTAGCAGGATACATACATCAGTCCAGACTGAACCACAAACCACCTAACTGCATTTTGCCTAGAATAATGTACAGCATATACATAGACAATTAGTTTCTTATAATGAGAAATAGTATAAAGTTTGCCTATAGAGTGAAGAAAATGATTGATAAAAGGCTAATTGCGAGTTACTCTTAATTAAAATAAATGCTTCTCTCAATCAGATAGTTTTGCAGTGCCAGAATTATGTTTAGTTGACTGGTGTTGAAAGTAGATCAGTTTAAACAAATTATTTGCCAACAATAGCAAGAGACACAGCAATTTTGTTTGTTTAATGAATTAAAAATATTATCCAGTTTATTTGATGGTAAAAGGAATGAAACGGGTTAAAACCATCATTACTTGCACATTTTAATCATATATATAAATAGCTCAATATTTCTTGTATTTGAAAAATGAAATTAGCATTAATTTTTAAAATGTATGTTAAAATATATATTCAAATAACAAGTAATTCAAAAACATCACCCACCTGAAAATTTTTCCATTTTGTCTGGTGATCGTAAGGAAACAAACGTATTGTCCTTTGCAAACTCCAACTTGGTCTGTTCTTTCTGATAATCGGGGAAAAAAACATGTTGTTAATAACACAGCAATAAAGACACTATGAATTTTTCATATCTAGAACCGATACCGATAGTCTTTGTTTAGCAACCATGACTGAGACACACTGTTCTTACACTCATCACTTTCATCACTGTTATAACTGTCAATGGTTACTAAACAATGCAGTCCCTAAATAAGTATTACCTATAGTGTTGTGATCATATGGAGGTTATGTTGATTGTCTTATAAACAGCTGGATCCCTAAGAATGTTGGGATATAACTGGGAAATTCCACATCTCATAGCTTAACCCAGGTGATCTTCTCCCCATTCTCCCCATATCCATGAGCAAGAATAGAATTATTGATTAACATAAGGAAACCGTAACTGAGCTGCAGAGAATCCAGTAGAGTCTTGAAAACAGACTTTAAGCATTTCCTACAACACAGGAATCTTAAGAAGGTGGAACGTCAAGTATATTAGACATCATAAATGTAATACTAGCCTGTTACTTAAAGCTTCTGCAAAAGTACTTATAAAAGATATTGGGCTTAGTGAACTACAGCTGACCAATAACTTCTTAAGACAAGATTCATTGCATTGTGATTTCACATCCTCTAATTAAATTAGCAGCTAACCCATTAGAACATGGTAATGTTTTCCAAGTTTTTACAGATAGTCCTCGACTTACAACAGTTCATTTAGTGACTGTTGGAAGTTATAACAGCACTGAAAAAGTGACATGACCATTTTTCACACTTATGACTTTTATACCATCCCTGTGGTCATGTGATCCAAATTTAGACACTTGGTAACTGACTCATATTTATGACAGTTTCAGCTTCCCAGAATTGTGTGATCACCTTTTGCAACCTTCTGGCAGGCAGGCAATGGGGAAGCTAGATTTATTTAACAATCATGTTACTAACTTAACAACTGCAGTCATTCACTTAATAACTGTGGCAGGAAAGATTGTAAAATGGGGCAAAACTCACTTAACAAATATCTCATTTAGCAAAAGAAATTTTGAGTTCAATTGTGATCATATATCGAAGACTACCTGTTTTTGCTACTCAATATAGACATAAGTTCCTTTCTGCCTCAGCTTTGCTGGCAGCAAAGATCAGTATCTTGACATATATCTATGAATTGCTAGTATCATCGCCAATATTTAGTGCTTCAGCATTTTACCATTTTATTGAAGTTTAGAAATATGATGACAGTAGACATTTAATATTTTTACGTTTTATGTTATAAAAGTATTATAACTTTGTTATACTGTGCCACATAGCCTTACGACTTTTCAAACTGATCGTATCCTGTATAGCATCCATTCTATCTTTACTGTTATAACAGTAGAAAAAACAGGTAGTTTGCTACTGTCTTTACAGATGAAGGGCTTGTCATCAAATACCATTTGGCTGGCCTCACAATATTGATTGCTTTGGAGAAAAAAATAGTTCAAAATCATTGAATCATATTGTGACTGTGGAAGTCAAAGGATAATGCTAACTGCAATCCGCAGATCTTCCTACAATCTCCATTACATGCCTACATTATCCAAAATAAATGGGGAAAATGAGCAAAATAAGAGATGAAAGGAAAAAAGGTTTTAAATAAATATTAGATATGTTCACTCGAATTCGAGAAACTCAGTATGATATTTTAGCCCTATTAATGATCCAAGGAACAGAAACATTTTCACTCCCATCATGAATCACAATGCCACCTAGAGCTATTGCAAATATCTGAAGTGTTTGAGAGGGAGGGGAAATTCTTGATATATGTTACAGAAGCTAATGGAAGGCAGGAGAAATCTTGCTAAATAATTTTAAAGCAGCAGTAAGCCCAACAGAAGAAATAAAAGCAGTAAAATATAAATAAAGACATAAATTCTAATACAATCTGGGTTGGTCACCAGGATCAGAAGTTTAGTTTACCAAGCTTTCAGATTCACGCTGGAGCCCATCCTGAGGGAACGTCTCTCTACCAGAATGTGTGTTTTGGGCTATTCTATGCAACTTATTTATGTGATACCTTCCTATTGGTTGATCGGTGTGTTGATGGCCAGTGATCGGCTGTTGTTTGCTGCAACAAAGTGCCTGATAAATTGGTGATAAATCTGCACTCTTTTTAATTGACAAGGGGCCCATTTCAATCAGGCTTCAATCATTTCCCTATCTTTGCACCTGCACAGCCAACAATCTTAATAGCTGCGAAATTGAATGTATGTTCTTGTTTATTGCAATGTGAGGCTACCAATGAGTTTGGGTCTCCTCATCTGACCGCTCACTTATGTTCTTGCAATCTGTTGGTTAGCTTGCTCCGACTGTCCTACATAATCACAAGGACAATCCGTATAGAAGATCCAATAAATTCGAATATGTTATGCACAACTGCTCTGCTGCACATATAAAAAAATGAAATGCTCTATTAATAAGTAAAAAAACTTACTTCTTTGCTATAGCATGGAACTTGATTCAAATTAAAGCTTGAGTCATATGATATTGTGGAGGAACATTCTATAGATTGCTTGGTACAGGCTACAATGAAAAAAAAAGTACTGTTAAGAAAAAAGGTATAGTGCTATATATGTTGCTCTCTTTTAGACAGCCAGGGAAACTTTATTCCACTAAAAGTATCCTCAACCTCTTAAGACCCAAAAGTGAAAACTTTCAAAAAAAGTAAGATTTCCCAAGAATCAAATGAGGTTTGAGTTAGTTTGGGGTAGTAGTTAACTCTCCGGCTAGGTATCAGGACTTCTAATCCTGACTTAGACCCAAAACCGAGTGACTTTGAGGGCATTCACTCTTTCTCAGCCCTAGAAAGGAGGCAATGGCAAACCAGTTCTGAAAAATCTTGCCAAGAAAATTGCAGGGAGTAATCCAGACAATTGCCAGAAATCAAAAACAGACTCAAAGACATAAACAAAAGAGTTTACTGTCAAATTTTGAACAAAACTTTACAAATGCAACTTCCCAATTTTAATGGCTGCTCTAAAGAAGATCTAAGTCAACTTCATACAAAAATTGGACAATCTAATTCTTCAAATCTAGTTTTGTAAAAGCTCAGACTTCGCAGATTAAGTTGGCAGCAATTCTCTTCATGTACTTCTGTAAAATAGCATTTTTGTTCTGTCATATTGGCTTGATAGCTATCTGAAGAAGACTAGATTGTTGTTCTTAATGGCACGAAATCAGCTAGCTATATCCCACTGTTCAGCTAATCAACTGGCCCACAGGGAAAAATACTAAACTTTTCCAACTTCCAAAGGAAAATAGAGAATTAAGAACAGCTCTATCAGAGCCAACATTTGCAGCATTTAGAAGGGAACAGAAGCCAATTGGCGGCTAGGATCCTCTCTGGATCAAACAGAGACAAGAGATTACCCAAGCAATTTCTCCTTATGGCTGTTCCTCTTTCTCATAGAGAAACACAATACAGAGTTCTCTGAAGGGAAGAGGAAATCAGAAGATGGAAGAATTTGATATTTGCACCAATTACAAACACTTTTAAAGGATATTAAGTTTATATATTTCCCTTATTAATTTCAAAATATGCCTATTAACTCTTTCTAAAAAGTCAGATGCCTGCAGAATGACAAAGCTTGAAAATACTAGTGAATGTCTTCAACCTTTAATATAAGCTTTGAATATTAAGACTTTGAAATTGTTTCTTAAAGAATAAATATATGCTCGCAGGAAAAAAGAATTGTTTTTGAGGTTAGAATCAGAATAAGATTTATAATAGCATTTAGAGACATTTAAGAAAGTGTGCAGGGATCTGCATCAATCATAGCTATGTGATGTCTTAGATGTTACAGATGTCCCAAAGATTTTGTTGAACAAGATAAGTAGGAAAATTTCTTTGAGGAAAATATAAAGTCTCTGAATAAGAAAATGTAACCAGATATAAAGAGAAAACTGGATGAGGTTTCAAAAATTAAAAAGGAAATAAACATGATAATCCCAGACAATATTTGACATAATTTCTCTTTATTGGATTTAGAAAAAAGACTTTTAAAACATTGAAGAAATCTTTAACAAGGAACAACAATCATTTGAATTGGAGAAAAGACTGTCCTGTATAAAAGGAAAAAACTTCATAACTTCATAGTTAATTTATTCAATCAATGGGATGTGTTGTAATTTTGGGTGATTATTTTTGGATTTACCTTACCTTAATTAGTATTTTGGTAATGCAAAATTTCTTACTTTTAATATGGTGTAAAACTCTTCAGACCCAGAATACTCTAAGGCAGAAGTTTGTCCACCCCAAGGATAACACACCCAGACACAAACTGAGCAACGTGGTATATGCAGTACAATGCAGTAAACCATGTGCAGGAGAACAAACCCATCAGGACTAGATTCAGCAGTCAATTTGAAAAGACAGCAAAGTCCATATTTTGGACAGAGAGGACCGCTGATTTGAAAGAGGAGTCAAAGAAGCCATCTATATCAAAATTAAACAGCCCTCTCTCAACAGAGGAGGAGGGATATGAACCATCTATCTCCAATCTACAACACCGTTTTTCAACAGTTTCAAAAAGGCTCCACACTCATTTGCACCACTCAGGTGAGCCTGATGACACAGATAAACCTCCAGGTAGCCTTAACAACACGCTAAAAGAATGCAAATGATCAGCTGTCTGCAAGGAGTATAGATTCTTCCATTCCTCACCATCCAGTCAGAGCTGAAGAAGCTTCTTGGATGAAAAGCAAAATGTCTTCAAATAAAAAACAGAAAGCCCAGTTGCCTTTTGAAAAAGCACCTTTGGGACAACCATGACCTGGATGACTGAGAATCTCCATAAAGTTTAGAGGATTTTTTAAAAGAAAATATTCTCTTTGATATGTTAAATGTTAGACTTTTATTTATATTAGGACACTGGGATTATTATATATTTGAGAAATGGGGATGTTTATGGTTAGAGTAGAGATATAGACTGCATATTCAAATAGGATAAATTGTTATTTGGAATACTGTATATTGGAGCTTGTCTTGTAATGGAGAAATTGTCTCTATTTGTCATGTTACATTGGGTTTAAATTAATGTTAGGATATTGAGACCATTTTATTCCTTTTAAATGGGATTTGCCATAGATAATAGATGTGGAATGTTTTATATACGTTAATGTTAACATTTTAGAGCTTTCAATTTTTATTTTTTTTATTTTGATAACTGGATTGAAAACAGTGGTACTTACTTATTTCTCTGTTAAGAAATGTGTTATGGGATGAAGAGTTTTATATATCTTAACTAAGAGCAGAAGCAGAGATTTTGCAATTGCTTATATTTGCTATGTTAATGGTGGAAAGTTGTTCCTTGGAGGCAGAGGATCTTTATACTTTTCTTGATGTTTTCTATTGCATTTTAATAACATTATTAAAAAAAGAATCCTGTTGAACTTATCCATGGTACCTGGACTTGCATCTTTTCCAATTAAATGCCATACTTGAATTGTGCAGTAGTCTGAGCAACACTTATGTATCTTAAACATGGGTATCCAAAACATCTTAAAGTCAAAACTGCACTTTAAGCAGATTGTTCAACCTATTACAACCCATCTGAACATCATTGCAAGCTTTAAATATTTTGTATACCTTTATTCACATAGTTTTAACAACAGAAAATTACTTCCATTCATTCATTCACTCATATCAATTATAATATTGTGATAAGATCAGTGGTGGGATTCAGCCAATTCGCACCAGTTTGGTAGAACCGGTAACTAAATTTTTCTTTTCATTTCATTAAAATACTTTATATTCATCCATTGAACTTACTTTCAAAACAGTTGTGAACACATTCCAATACACTTTCTCCTTGTATACCAGTAGCAATTTTTTTACTGAAAAAAAAAATAGGTTAGACATTTGTAAAGTATTTCTAATCTGCAAACTCTACTTTACTGGCAAAAATAAGTCGAACTATAATACAGCATTGTTGCAAATGAAGCCATCCTGGATAAATGGCTATAGTTTCTTCTTGAAAACCTCCAGTGAATGGAGCACTTTCAACTCTGAGAAGCAAATTCTTTAATCCAATGATTAAATGCTCTCAACTTCTCTTTAGTTCCAGGTTAGATCTCTCCTTGACAGCTTCCACCCATTGCTTCTTGTCCTACCCTCAGGTGTTTTGGAGAATAAGTCAACCCTCACATTTCTATGACTTTCCCTCAAGTACTGGAAGAGAGCTATCATGTCATTCTAATCTTTCAATTCATTAGGCTAGACATACTTAGTTTCCTCAACTGTTCCATACTTAGTTTCCTTAAATCATACAATTTAGTTCCAGATACCTTATCATTTTTGTGGCTCTCTTCTTTGCACTCTTTCTAGGACCTCAGCTTCCTTTTTGTCTCTCGGTGACCAGAATTGAATGCAGTATTCCAAGTGTGGCTAACTGATGAGGACTAATAAGTCCGAAATAGATTTATCTTAGTCTCCTTAATCTCCCAATGGGCAGCAGGGTGCTTGCTGGCTGCCTGAAAAAAGCTTAGAAACTAGTGGATTGTGATTTCACTGAACTAGGGCTGCATAAAAATCTTGGTTTACGTACACACACACGTGTGTGTGTGTGTAAAAAAAAGAAGCAGACATACTGCGAACTCCGGAACTTAAGATTTTAAAATTTTAAAAGAATTAAATTTTTATTTTACTAAGCTTTCGTCAGCCATCTACTGACATTATCAGAGTATTAAACTACCATTAAAGAGATCTCTGCCTTTATATGCCATTAATCAATTTAGCCCTTGCGCGTGTAATAGGCCCTTCCAGCCTGGTTCTCCAATAGCAATTCTATCAACAGGCATATCGAACTGCCACCGATCTATCAGGCTTTGAGACATCAGAAGAGACCCTGCAGGAGGAGCAGAGATGGCTTTCCATCAGTGAGCAGAGACCAAGGGCACCCACTCCCCACCTCTGGGCATGCAGACTCAGCCTGCAAAGGCATGGTTGGTCCTGACCAAACACGGAGCAACCCGGCAGGGCTGTCTCAAACTGCAACAGATAGGATTAATGAGAAACAAACCTGGCTGACCACGAGGTCACAGACAAGGCAGCAAATCGCAATAGCTGACAGGCTAATATCACCTCCCACTGATAAGCAAGCTAGGAGGGAGGAAACAGTGGGAGTCAAGCCTCCATCGTCCAGCATGATGACAGCAAAAACAACACAGCTGATTACAAGTGGGAGATGGCTGGAAGGGCCTATTACATGTGCAAGGGCTAAATTGATTAATGGCATATAAAGGCAGAGATCTCTGTTGTAATGGTAGTTTAATACTCTGACGATGTCAGCAGATGGCTGAAGAAAGCTTAGTAAAATAAAATTTTAATTCTTTTAAAATTTTAAAATCTTAAGTTCCGGAGTCAGCTGTTCCCAGAGGTGAATTTTAGCAACAGGTTCCTTGGTTGTGAGCTCTGTGCCTTGCTTTTTTGATTTTTTTTCTATCTCTGAAACTCTTGTTTCAAAAAAAACTTTTTTTCCTGCCTCTGAAAGCCTCCGAAAGAGAGCTTCAGAAAAAAAGCCTCTGAAGCTCTGTTTGGGGGCTTCTTTTCTGAAGCTCTGCTTTGGGGCTTTTATTCTGAAGCTCTGTTTGGGAGCTTCTTTTATAAAGCTTCGTTTGAGAAGCTGAGCAGGGCTACATTCTGAGTATAAGACGTACCCAGATTTTCACCCTCTTATGCTCCAATTTATTACCTTTTTTCCACAATTGTTAAACAACTCATGTAGTTATTAAATGAATCTGGCTTCTCCCATTGACTTTTCTTGTCAGAAGCTGACTCATGTGACCCAGGACAGTACAACTGTCACAAATACATGCCAGTTGTCAAGCATCTATATTTTGATTACATGACCATGGGGATGCTGCAATGGTAGTAAATGGGAAAAGTGGGCATAAATCCATTTTTTTCACTGCCATTGTAACTTCAGTCACTAAACAAATGGTTATAAGTGGAGGATTACCTATAATCTATGAAGTGTGCAATAGCATTATTTCTTTAAAAACATAGATTAATTCAAAATACTGTATTGCTAAAATGCTAATCATGATCTTATTAATAACAATGAAAAAGTTTAAAATATTGTCAAACTTGAGAATTACCAAAATGTGACAGAGACATGAAATGACTACATGCTGTTGGAAAAATGTCACTAATGGACTTGCTTGATGCAAAGTTTCCACATCCTTCAATTTGTTAAAAAAAACAAAAACACCAAAATGTGACATAGAGATCTACAGGGAAAAAAATCTGTGAAGCACAATAAAGCAAAGTACAATAAAGGCATCTTATATATAAACAAAGTTTGAACAAAAATTAGAATCTCCAATAGGACAAAACATAAAAGATAGAGATAATCAACAAGATTAAAACTGCAAAGCCATGTGCATGTTGAAGTAATTTTATCTGTTTTTTTAATCACTGATATTTACAGATAGTCTTCGATATACAAATTGGTTGCTTAATGGCCATTTGAAGTTATGGTAACCCAAAAACTACTTATGACCCAGTCCTGAAGTTATGGTTGCTAGAGCACCCCCATATTAATTCACCTTTACAACCAACAGCATGGTGCACCAATGCCCTCCACTCATCTTCCCACCCCTAATGGCTCTCTGCTGGCTTTAGACCTGATTCCCACCTAGCAGTCCCACATACTCCTTCTCCTTTTCTTTTGAACAGCTCTGCAGCCTTCCATAGTACTGGAATAAGTTGCTTTGTTGTTCAGCTGCATGGTACAATTCTGGAATTGCGCTGCACAGGCAAGGGACAAATCACTCCATTTTGCCTGCTTAACCAGGTTGCACTAGGTTAACAGCTATCACAACATGCAACTGTAATGGGTAGGCTTCCTTATAGTCATATCTCAAGGACTACCTTTATATGTCACATATAAATTTTAATAAGAATCTGCTTTATTTCAAAAACAGCCTACTTATTGTGATGGAACTTACATTTAAAAATGCCCTAGATTTTTTTTTAAAAATTTGTTTTAGGAGATTTGTTTTAGGAGATTTCAACAAATCTAACTTAAGGAAAGAGCTATCAAAATATTTTCAGCATGTCAATTGTCTCACTCACTCAGGCAAGAATACTCTAGACCATTGCTACACAACATTAAAAGATGCTTATCAGTCTTTACCACGAGCAGCTGTGGGACACTCTGATCATTGCATGATTCACCTTGTACCTGCTTACAGACAAAGACTTAAAACCATGAAACCAACAATTAAATCGGTGAGGACTTGGACTGAGGAGGCAAAGCTAAAGCTACAGGCTTGCCTTGACTGCACTGATTGGAAAGTTTTCGAAGATACCTCTGCAGACTTGGATGAACTCACAGATACTGTAACATCATATGTTCGTTTTTGGGAAGATCTATGTGTGCCAACTAGAAACCTATGAATATACAATAAACCTGGGTTCACAGCTAAACTTAAGCAGCTATGTTGTAGCAAAGAGGAAGCCTACAGAAAAGGCGATAGAATGCTGTACAATCAGACCAGAAACATATTAACAAGGGAAATCAGAGCAGCAAAGAGAAGCTACTCTGAAAAGCTAAGGAATCAATTCTCAATAAATGAACCAGCAAACATGTGGAAAACTGTTAAAAATATCACCGTTATAGCACACCTCCTTCCCATGCTGAAGAAAATCAACAACTGGCAGATGATCTGAATGTGTTTTACTATAGGTGTGAGAGAAAACTACTGCCACCCATCTCCACAATCCCCATCTCAGACACACCAACAATAGTCAAGCCTCCTACAACTGACCCCATCCCATTAAGCCCACGACCTTCAGTGATTACAGAAAATGAGGTGCAAGGTCTATTTCACAGACAAAAGCCAGGAAAAGCACCATATTTCTTTGAGATATGATAGGTTCTATCATATCTCAAGACTTAAAATGGACACCTAACATCAAAAACGTCATCAAAAAAAAACAACAAAAAATATTCTTAGTTGAAAGCTATTCTTTCTTAGTTGAAAGCTCAAACTGCCCAAGGAGCTGCTGATTCAGTTCTACAGAGGAATCATTGAGTCTGTCATCTGCACCTCTATAACTGTCTGCAACCAAACAAGACAGACACAGATTTCAATGGATAATCAGAACTGCAGAAAAAACAATTGCTACCAACCTGCCTTCCAATGAAGATCTGTGTACTGCACGAGTCAAAAACAGGGTTGTGAAAATATCTACAGACCCCTCACAATCTGGACATAAATTGTTTCAACTTCTACCGTCAAAATGACGCTATAGAGCACTGCACACCAGACCAACTAGATACAAAGACAGTTTTTTCCGGAATACCATCACTCTGCTAAACAACTAATTCCCAGAACATGGTCAATTATTTACTAAAACTGTATTACTATTCTTCTCATCCTTCCTATTACCCATCTCCTCCTACTTATGACTATAATCATGTTGCTTGTATCTTTACGATTTATATTGCTTTATTTGTTTCCTAGTATGATTTGATTGCTTATTAGTAACCTATGACTATCACCAAGTGTTGTATCTTATGATTCTTGATGAATGTATTTTTTTTTCTTTTATGTACACTAAGAGCATGTGCACCAAAGACAAATTCCTTGTGTGTCCAATCACTCTTGGCCAATAAAGAATTCAATTCTATTCTACTCCTATTCCTATTCTAGAAATTTAGAAGCCTAGAATTTATCAAACCTAGAAATTTAGAAGCATCTGAATATTTTTCATTTTATCACTATAAAATGCTGCAATATAAGATACATTGTCTCATATATTTTAGTAAACCTCAGTTTTATCTATTTCAATATAGTTTAAGAAATAAACATTAGTTACCCTTCTCTGTTGAAGAATCTTAGCCTATATGCGGTCTTTAAATGATTCTGTTAAAAAGAGAAAATATAATGCTTTTTGAAAAGAAAAGTAAATCAAAAGTTCAATACAGCACAATAGGATTATAGATCAATCTAGATGACCACATATTATTGTCACATCAATTTCACATCAATTGTTGGGGAACTCAGGAAGGAGTTTTCATTTTCTACTGATAAACTATTTGTACACAACTATTTGTACACAATTATTCTTATAACCTATATTATTCAAATACTTGCCATAGATTTACATTTATCCATCACCAACAAATATTACTAAATATAATTGAGATTAGCTATTTTCATTAGAAGGTGGTTTAGGGATGATGAAGTTTAAAAAAACTCTGTTGAGTCTTTTGTAGCAAAAACAGTGAACTGTCCTATGCCATTTTACACTACAAAATCATACACTTGCTCATCCCATCAATATGGTATAAATGTCATCAATGCAACATATCATCTTCTATTGACACCGTCCCATTACCTTTTACATTAGACAAGCACACAGTATTCATTATTTAACAAAGTTGTTCTGAAATGAAATTATTCTAAATATATTAGCAACCTTATGGTCTCATGTATTGAGGGAATCGAATTACATTGCTAAGCAATTATTTAATGTATTTATTTATTAAACAAAATTTTGTATCACCCAACTCACACATCAGTGACTGCAGGCAACTTACAGAAAATAATGCAAAATATATTTTAATATAAAAATAAAGGTGTCATACCTGCCTTGTTGATAACCACTAACTATAAGTATTCTATTAAGTGTTTTCCCTTTCGCCTTTTCTGCAACAATAACGTATTGTGTACGATATTACGTAAAATTCTGCCCTTAAAATTATCTGTAATTCTTGAGGCAGACTGTCTCAACATAAACGCGGAGGGAAACTACCGAAGCGGGGCTTCCACATTACGCTTACCAGCGAATCCATAGCAACCTTCTTCAGTCCCGAAGAACATCCCGCTCTTCTCGGTTTTGAAAACGGCGCGACACATCCCACGACGCAAGTGCACCACAGGGGAGCTCGTTGGTCAGACCTTCGTTACGTCACGAAAGATGAGGGCGGATGAAGAAAGCGAAATCAATCAGCATTTTTATAGATCTATGCATAACTTCTGCTTAGACTCACACAAGGAAGACCAACTTGCGAGTGTACGCTGGAGAGTCTTTTGGATCACCTACTGTTAGAAATTGCCATGATTTTAAAAGATAAGAGAGGCTCGTAGAGTCACTATTTTTCCCCCTCCAATAAAAGATGAGAAAATATTTTTATGTTTTAGTTTTCCATATCTATCATAGTACTAAATATCAGAAAATTTCATCTTTATTGGGGGAACTTAATTGGTAGGGTGAAATTTAAGAGTCGAATAGACCTCTACAATTCAGAAAAAACGAACTCCCGAGAGAGCTATTTGAAGAAAAAGCTGCTGCTAGTTTGTAGAAATGGAATAAATCTTGAGGGATGGCTGCTAGCTTCCACTACTTGCAGAAAAATATCAATGGAAATTCTCAATCATCCTTCCAAGTCATGGCTCACTACATTGCATAAACCCTTGGAGCATTTCAATCACAAAACCTCAGAAGCCTATAAAGACTATCCCACTCACACAGCTATTTTGTCAGCCACTCCAGAAACATGCTGTCACTGAAGTTTCTGGAAACCAAATAAACAGACCATTTTTGCCTCGTAGCCAGACTCCATTTTATTTCTAGCATTTTTCTCCCAGCTTGGAACCAGACTGGATTTTTCTTCCTACAGGATGCAAAGAAAATCAGGAAACACAAGTGTGATATATGGCTTTATGGTTGGGGAAATACTCTGCTTGTTATCTCCTTTATCAAGGAAAAATCTGGCTTCATAGCAGTAACTTTGAGAAGGACCTTGGAGACTTAGTGGGCAATCAATTACATATGAGCCATCAGTGTGCAGCAGCAGCCAAAAAAGCCAATGCAATCCTAAATTGCATTAACAGAGAGATTCAATCAAGATCACATAGGGTACTAATACCATACTATAAAGCCTTAGTAAGACCAGACCTAGAATATAGCATCCAGTTTTGGTCGCCACACTATAAAAATGTTGAGACTCTAGAAAGTGTGCAAAGAGCAACAAAGATGATTAAGGGATAGGAGGCTGAAACATACAATGAACGGTTGCAGGAATTGGGCATGGCTAGTCTAGTGAAGAGAAGGACCAGGGGTGACATGATAATAGTGTTCCAATATTTGAGGAGGTGTTACAGAAAGGAGGGAGGGGGGTTAACATATTTTCCAAAGCATCTGAAGGCCAGACAAGGAATAAATGGATGGAAACTGATCCAAGAAGAGATTCAACCTAAAAATAAGGAGAAATTTTCTGATAGTGGGAACAATCAACCAATAGAACAGCTTGCCTTCAGAAGTTGTGGGAGCTTCATACTGAAAGCTTTCTAGAGAGGGGGTTGGACTACATGACCTACAAGGTCCCTCCCAACTGTTATTCTTCTCTTCTCTTCTCTTCTCTTCTCTTCTCTTCTCTTCTCTTCTCTTCTCTTCTCTTCTCGGACAGACAGTGTGATTATAAAAGCCCAGTCTAGCATACCAATGAAGTAGAAAAATAACAGGTCTGAAAAGAAACCAGCATGGCTGCATAAAGAACACGTTGACAAATTGAAAGACAAAAAGGACAAGTATAAAGAGTGGAAAGAGGGGCACATAACTAAGGCAGAATATCAGCAACTAGCCCAAGCCTACAAAAATGAAGTGAGGAAAGCTAAGGCTCACAATAAACAAAGGCTTGTGACAAAAGTAAAAAAAAATAACAAAAAAAGCTTCTTCCAACATATTAAAAACAAGAAAGAAGTCAAGGGTTAGGATGCATCCATCCAATTGGTCCATTGCTAGGATAAAGTGGCAAGAAGGTGACAAGCAACAGGGAGAAAGCAGAACTACTTAACTCGTTTTTTACATCTGTCTTTACACAAAGGGAAAAAACAGTCCAACCTATCAAAAACAGCACCACACACACCTTCCTGGAAAACAGCCTTTGTCTCACTAATTCCAAAGGAGGACCAAAATTCTATTAAACCTGAGAATTTCAGGCCAATTTCACTTCTGAATACTGATTATAAGATTTTTGCTAAGATACTAGCTAGTAGATTAATGCCAGTTATGCAACAAATAATTCATAATGACCAATCAGAGTTTATAAAAGGGAGACAAATGAAATATAATGTTAGACAAATTGTAAACTTACTGGAATATTTGGAAAAAAATAATCAAGTCCCTGCAGCGTTTATATTTTTGGACGCAGAGAAGGCATTTGATCGCTTGAACTGGCAATTTTTGTTTAAAATAATAGAGAAAATGCATTTTGGGGAATATTTTATACAATCAATTAGAGCGATATACCAGCCACAAACAGCACAAATTATAGTCAATGGAGGTTTAACAAAGGTTTTTAGAATTGAGAAAGGAACAAGGCAGGGGTGTCCTCTGTCCCCATTGTTGTTTATCTTGACTTTGGAAGTGCTATTGAATAAGATACGTGACTCAGAAAAATTGAAGGGTATTGTAATTAGACATCAAGATTATAGATTAAGAGCATTTGCTGATGATTTGGTTGTTACTTTATTCCAACCTATAGAGTCGGCTCCATACGTATTGGATATAATCGATCAATACAGGAAAGTATCAGGATTTAAAGTTAATTCACATAAGACAAAGATGATAATTAAAAATATGTCTATACTTGAAAGAGATGAACTAGCAAGAATAACAGATTTTGAAATAGCTAAAAAGGTTAAATATCTAGGAGTGTACATAGCAGCTTCAAATACAAAATTATACAAAAATAATTATGAGGTTCTTTGGCAGAAGGTATAGAAGGATATGGAGAATTGGAAAAAATTACAGTTGTCTTTATTGGGAAGAATTGCAGCAATTAAAATGAATGTGTTACCTAGATTTTTATTTTTGTTCCAAATGATACCTGTGCTTAAGAAAGATGAAAATCTGAGAGTGTTAATACTTTCATTTGAGCTGGGAAAAAACCCAGAATAAAAATGAAAATTATACAAGATACACGTGAAAGAGGGGGTCTCAAAATGCCTAATTTAAGATTATATTATGAAGCAGCGGTCTTATCACAAATTAGTGACTGGTTTAATTTAACTGAGGGGAGAATTTTGAATCTAGAAGGTTATGATCTGTTATATGGATGGCATGCCTATTTGTTATATGACAAAAAAGTGGATGAAGTATTTAAGGCCCATATACTTAGAAATGCTTTGTTGAGGGTTTGAAAAAAATATCAATATAAGTTAAATTATAAGATACCTGTATGGGCAAATCCTAGACATGCAATAGAAAATATAAGTATAGAACAAAAACAGGAGGTGATTACCTATAAAGAGCTTCTCATTATGGAAAGGGGGGTAATGTATTTGAAACCTTTAGACACATTGAGAGAAGAAGGTATAATTTATACATGATTTCAGTACGGTCAACGTCAAGCTAGATGGAAGGAAGATCAAAAAACTGGCTTTGTGCAAAATTAGGAGAATTTGGTAAAACAAATTAGAGATCAAAAACAAATGCATATTAAAAGGTTGTATAATGCTTTATTGGAAATAGATTCTGAGACGGAACTGGTTAAAGACTGTATGATTAAATGGGCACAAAATTTTCAAGAGCCAGTAATGATGGAGACTTGGGAAAAGATTTGGATTAGAAATGTGAAATTTACACAAGCACAAAATTTAAGAGAAAACTTTTATAAAATGTTTTACAGATGGCACTTAGATCCAAAAAATTATCATGTATGTATCCTAATGTGCAAGCTAAATGTTGGAGATGTGACTGTGATGATGCAACTTATTATCATATATGGTGGACTTGTAGAAAAATCAAAGCATTTTGGATAAAGATTTGGTGGGTGATGCAGAATATTTTTTTAAAAAGACTGAAATTTACTCCACAGTTGTTTTTACTGGGTATAACTATGGACTATACAGTTGCAGAGACTAAACTGGTCTTGAACTTGATAACAGCAGCAAGATTGCTGATAGCACAACACTGGAAGAAGGATTTTTTGCCTACTATTGATGACTGGATATTGAAAGTAACTAATTTAGCTGAAATGGCTAAAATTTCAGCATATTTGAAGGATCATACACAAGAAAGGTATATACAGGACTGGAGAAGATGGATTGATTATATTCAAAATAAGTATCAGACCAAAAAATATCAAATAGCTTATGAATGATTTCTTTTAACTGTATAAGCATTATATGTGATATTAGAAGTTTTATGTCTAAGAAATAGGATTTTATCTATGGGGGGTTAAGAATTTTTTTTTAGGGGGTGTTAGTTTAATGATTGGTTAAGCAATTTAGTTTATTGTTAAAAGTTAATAGAAATACCTTGTGTTCTGCTCTGGGAAGTCGGGGAGGGGGACGGGGGTTGGGGGGGAGGGTTGTGGGAAAATTGTGTTTGTTTTAAAACTTTTCCAATAAAAAAAAAAACAGCACCACAAAAAACAGATTAGGAACACAAGTTAAAATAGGGAAGAAAATGGTAAATGAGCACCCTAGATGAGTTCAAATCACCAGGACCAGATGGATTACACCCCAAGGTTCTAAAGTAACTGGCAGACGAGATCTCAGAACCACTGAACTATATCTTTCAAAGATCCTGGAACACCGGATGATGCCCTTGATGTGATGTTCCGCTGCCTGGAGGCTGTGCAGGTCTGGATGGGGAGAAACAAGCTCAGACTCAACCCTTCCAAGACCGAGTGGCTGTGGCTTCCGGCGCCCCAGTACAGTCAGCTGGTGCCATCGTTGACTATTGGGGGTGAACCTTTGCCTCCCACAGAGAGGGCTCGTAATCTGGGTGTCCTCCTAGATGCATGGCTGTCTTTAGAAGAGCACATGACGGCCGTGGCCAGGGGGGCTTTTTATCAGGTTCGCCTGATCCGCCAGTTGTGTCCCTTTCTAGACCGGGACGCCCTACACACGGTCACTCATGCCCTTGTCACCTCCCAGCTGGACTACTGTAATTCTCTCTACATGGGGCTCCCCTTGAGGAGCACTCGGAGGCTCCAATTGGTCCAGAATGCAGCCGTGTGGGTGGTTATGGGCACAACTCGTTGCGCCCATGTAACACCCCTCCTGCGCGAGCTGCACTGGCTCCCAGTGGTCTTCAGAGTGCAATTCAAGGTGTTGGTTACCACCTTTAAAGCGCTCCATGGCATAGGACCAGGGTATTTACGGGACCACCTTCTGCCACCGATAGCCTCCCACCGACCAGTTCGCTCCCACAGAGAGGGACTCCTCAGGGTGCCATCGGCTGAGCACATTGTAAGCCGCCCTGAGTCTTCGGAGGAGGGCGGCATATAAATCAAATTAAAAAAAAAAAATACTACTACTGTACCTGTGCATTTTCTTTTCCTTGCCTAAATGTAGAACCTTACTTTTTTCACCATTCAATTTTATTTGTTAGATAGTGCCCAATATTCAAGTCTGTCAAGATCCTGCCCTTGGATTCCCGGTTTTATGCCCTGCTGCCTTTTCAGTGTTTTAAATCATTATTTTCCCGGCTTTCATAAAGCTACCGGAGACAATGTATTCCCCACTTACAGAAAAATTGAATTTCTCTGTCTGCTGCTAATTAGTGGCCAGATCTCCTTTCCCCAATCCATCTCCACCTATCTGTGATCTAAACAACTCAGGCAATTCAAAATGCTTTGGGTTTATTGCCTTCTTGGCTTTCGGATACACTATAGTTCCATCTTAATGAATTAAGGATACATTGCATTTTGTGAACGGAGATGGCCTTTTTCTCCCAGTCAATAAAAGTGGCTGTTAAACAGAAAGGGAAGACAAGGTTATTTTCTCATGGAATTTCTTCCTTCTTAGGAAAGTTTTCTAATATGTTGTTTCCTAATAAGGAGTTTCAAAATAATTTGTACAAGGGTGAGAAAGAAGGGAAAGAATATGCAAGGAATAAGAACCATCTATTTTGCAGGTTAGAACAGTTTTTTTACCTACACCTCCCACATTCTCGAGCTAGAAGCTAAGTATCAAATGTTTCCTCTCTATGGTTAGAATGTTGATTCCAGTCGTCCAGTAGCAGGCGAAGAAAAAACATGGGTCAGGTGGCAAATTGGAGTGGCAAACTATTGGATTTTTATGTGTTTTTAAGTGCTTTGTTCCTAGCATGTTGATGTATTTGTGAGGATGTTTTTTTCCCGTTCACAATGTTTGACAGAAATATCTAATTTGGAGTTATAACTTTGTTGTGTATCGAGTAGGCCAAAAGGATTTATGCAGATATAGATATAGATGATTTTGTGTTCCTAATGCATCCTTACCTTGGGTGATCAATTTCAGTCTCCTGTTAATTGTTTTTCATCTCTGAGAGATCCATTTGCTACATAGTATTTTAATGGGGATCCAGTTTTATGAACAGGAATACTGTATCTTCATGAATGAATCAGTTTCTTTACAGTTGATTGGCACCTGTCTTAACAGTTAGAGAGACAGAAAAAGCGTGTTTTATTTTAATGGGGATTTTTCTGTTTGTTTCCTGGGTGATTGTCTTTGGGAAATGTTTTTTATTTTAAGAGATTCCTAGGGTGGTGGGTTCTCTTTACAGGAATAAGCCAGCCTCAGTTCAATCCAATACTGAGACTATTAAGAGGTCCCTTTGTTTGATTTCTTTTTGTCTCAGGATACGAGTTCAAATAAGATAGAACTGATACAAAAAACCAGGTAGCTCTTTCCTTTATTAATATTCATTTGCCCTTTATATCTCTTAAGAAGCATTAACCAGAGTGTATTGGTTTCCTCAGATACTTTGGGAATACAGGTAGTCCTTGATTGATGACAATTGAGCCCAAAATCTCCATGCTAAGCATGAGTTATTAAGTTGGTTCTGCCCCATTTTAAGACCCATTTCCCCCCCAATTGTTAAATGACTCTTTGAGGTTATTAAGTGAATCATGCAGTTGTTAAAACAAATCTGGCTTCGTCCAGTAACTTTGCTTGTCAGAAGCCAGTTGGGAAGGTTACAAATGATGATCATATGATAGCACAACTGTTATAAATACATGCCAGTTGCCAAGCACCCAAATTTTGATCATGTGATCATGGGGACGCTGAAATGGTCACAAGTGTGAAAAACGGTCATAAGTTACTTTTTTCAGTACTGTGGTCTGGGGAACTTTGGTCACTAAATAAATGGATGTAAGTTGAAGACTACTTGTAGGATTGGGACTGTATAATTACATCATGAGGAGTAATGATGGAGACTTGAAATTGGAAACACTTGCAATATTATCACCTTATATACCATTTTTGGACATGGTCATGCTGTTTAACTCTTACCATGCAACAATTTCCTCACTGAAGCTTTTGGTGCCTGTCCTAACATTATGCAGTGAGACATTCACTTGGTTAACAGAATTAACAGTTCTCTGCTGTCTTAAGCATGGTGGAGAACATTGCTAGTGTTAATGTGTATGGACACATGGTATTTTTCTTTGCTCTAGGTAACAAAATATCTTGGAACAGTGTTGCTACAGAAGTATATTCCAAAAGAACTACAAACATACATCAAGAGGTAATCAATAGTGCCATGCTAGAGACCTCCATGACTTTATGATCAATAGATATTTACAGAAGTCATCGTCTTCTGGTAATGATAGTTCAAGTCTAAGTAGGATGCAGGAAACATAAATTATTCTGTTACTGCTACTATTCTAATGTAAACAGTACTGTGATGGAACACTAAACACTAGGCCCCTGATGACAATGGATGATTTTTATCTATTTCAATAAAATTACATGCCTGGTTCTCACTGTAAACCATCAATTATATTTTCATATTACAACATGTTCCAAAATACTGACAAAGTTATGCACATTTTGATGTTACCTTTTCAAATTATTTAATATGAAAGACAAAAAGCAGTTTTCATAACTGCTTATGCTATACATTTTATTTTGTATACACAAATAAAAATAATTTTTCAAAATGTATTGAAATCAATTCAGAAATAATGCAAACTATGGGAGGATAATATAATTATACATATTTTTCTTTTAAATTGATAGCCCTATTTAAGATTATCTGTGTGAGCAAAATAACCTTCAAGATTGATTAAGTAGCTGCACCACAGGCATGGAGATTTTTGTGTTGATGATGGCCCTTTTTTGTATTTTTCTATAAAGTAACATCTGCAAGAAAGACTTGCAAGGAAAGAGCCCTCAATTTCAAGCTGGCTGATGTATGACATCAAATGCAGTTTTGCATATGCAAATACAGTCTTGTTGCTACTTCTGATTGCTAATTAGTAACCCCAAAGAAAAATAGAAAGAGAGCACAAGACATAATCACATCCAGATTGTTAAATAAAACACAAAATTAAATTGTTTAATACATTTCTTACTATAACTTCATGCATGAAATCTTGTTTTGCTGCCTCCTAATTTTTAAATCTTTCTGAGTACATAGTAATTTTCTTTCTCCGAAACTATTTCTAAAAAACTTAAAAACATCAAGTATTTATTTGGCAAAATACAATTTAAAAACTGAAGAGTTTTATATGTTAAGAGTAACTCCCAAATGTTGGAGTAAGTTTGCTATGGATTCAGCTCACAGAATAATTAATGTTTGGTGCGTGAAGTGTCTACTGAAACAAGGAACAAGTCGCTATCATAATCTACACAATGACGATAAAGGCAGTGGTGGAACAATATATAATGGGCAACAATTTATTCAGGCTACATACATAAAACAAAAATGAATTATGCTTCTGTAACACTACTTTTTCATACAAAGCCAAACCTGGGTTTTTTGTTTTTTTTATTGTGGGTGCTGTCCAGATGTGAAGATTTCAATTCCCTGAATTTCCTACCTAATATGAGTATTGCTGAGGTTTTCAGGGGTTGAAAAACACATTCTGGAAGCTACCTTGGTTGCAGAGTACTGAACTTAATTTTTCTTGTCCTCTGCTAATAAGCTTAATGTTTAACTTTACATGTCTAAACTGCTTGCAATCAGACTCATTATAGCTGAAACATGCTTATATCCAAATACTTTACAGAATCACCACATTAAAAAGTGGCCAAAGGAGATAATCACTTACATTTGTAGTATGTTTAAGCCTATTGATTTTCATCTTAAGCATTGCAAGTTCCATGTTAAGTGATAGCAACAATATAAAACTTTCAAACCTAGGGGACTTACGTAAAAATAATAAACTCCTTGGCCAGAGATTGCAATAAAACAGTTCAACAACTGGATATATTAAATCTGAATCACTTCTAATTATATAACAGTGGGTTGCTGCTTGTGAGTCCAACCACAAAACATGGTTTAGCAAGGCTTACTTTTTTTGCACTAAAAGTGTACTTTTCTATCAATTATCCCGTTAAGTGTTTTTTCCTAACCAAGCTCAGTAGTTCAATAATAATAATAATAATATACTAAAAGTTAGAGTCTGTAGGAAAGAAATCAATGAATAGGTGGTACGCATTTATATGTCCCTTTTATTATTATGAAAGAGTGAACCCCACTTTCTTTGTTTAGGACCGGGTGAGGTTTAAAACAAGTGCCCAGTAATGGATAATGCGACTATCAGCTAAATTCAAATTTCAAAATTCTCTAAAATATAATATATTTCCATTAAAAGCATGTTAATTGTCTTTTCAATTAGGATCAAATCAGTCTTTTTTATACATAGTTCTTTACAACAATATGTAAAGAACATATCAAAATCAAATGTTTAGGAAATAAATACAAATTATCTGCAATTTTTCACATAATGTTCCTTTGGATGTTCTACTTCCGGTGTAAGTATAAAGTAAACCAACATTACCACTTTAGTTTTTCCTATCTATAACTTATCCTATTTTATATAAAAAATTGCATTTTATACAACGAAAACAGGATCAATATGCAATGGAACATTATAGGATAGATGGGTTCAGGATTACGATGCAGTGGCGAAAAACAGCAGGAAAAAAAATCATTTGGAACGTGGTACAGTTTCTCCAGTCTTGATTGCCACCTCACATAATATTCAGCTCCTGTTTTCAGTGCAGATTTTGTAATCGCCTTTCAGATCTTTTTGAAGATAGTAATAAGTTATTTTTTTCCACAAAAAACAGCAATATTTTCCAGCAAGCTTCAAATTTCCTTACAATGTTACAAGTTATTTTGCTGTAGGACTTCTCAGAAGAACTCACCATCTTCCACTGTTCAATTCTGAATTAAGGCTTTATATATAGTACCATTTATAAAAAGGAGATGATGCCACGCCCAATTCTTATGACCTACTAAGTTGTAAACAGTAGACCTGTCTCAGTTATTTTCATGGGCAAAATAATATCTAACTGGTGGTCCTGGCAAGTCTTCTTCACCATCTATTTCAGGAGCAAATGATACTGTGAGGTCCACATATTTCTTATTCACCACTGGTTTCACAAGTTTTTGCATCCTACGAGATATGATTGAAAAGTTAAAAAGTAACAAATTTATCACAAGCAAGTTTCTTGAAGAATGAGAAGACTAATTCAAGACATAATTTCTACAGATTAATATGGACCTTTTAAGGACATATGGTAATCAGAATCAATCTGAAATGTGTTAATAAAAACATGCTATGATTGTACAATAGTTAGGGGGCATTCTTAATCTTTTCTATCAACCTTTGTTTACTGACTTCTCTGAAGTAGGGATTCTAACTTTCCAGAATAATTTTGCTTTTTGATAAGAAAAGGTAATTTCAAATAGTCATCAACTTGCAACCATTAGTTTAGTGACAGTTTAAAGTTACAATGGCACTGAAGAAAGTGACTTATGACCATTTCTCACATTTACAACTGTTGCAGAATCTCAGTGGTCATGTGATCAAAATTTGGACACTTAGCAACTAGCATGTATTTATAACAGTTACACTGTCCCAGGGTCATCTGATCACAAGCAAAGTCAATGAGAAAGATTCACTTAACAACTGTTACTAATTTAACAACTCAGTGATTCCACTTGCTATGTATTTCAACTCCTGACACAATGATATGATTTAGGATGTGTGAGATGAGCATAAAAGATAACTTCAAACTCTACCTTCTAGTCCTTTAATGTCCCCTGCCCTTATTTCCTTTGTCAGGCCCTTGTAAGTACTAGTTCTTTTTTCATATTTTCTCTCTGTCCTAAAGACTCTTAGCATCTTACACAGATTATTAAACAACATTCAAGTATAACATCCACAAAAACATTTTTAAAAAATCCAAAAACAAAACCACAAACTATAAAATAGAAAGTAAAGACAACATAAAAAACTACAAGGTTATAATCTAAGTAGTTTGAGTAAACAAGAAAGTGTTTTCTATCTAGGATCTGATCCATAATTTTATATTTATTTATATTTTGTGTTTCTAGAACTCCCATATCTATGATTACTTCTTTCCTACTTTTAAAGAAATTAAATTCCAAATGGATACTGATCAAAGTTATAATGGCTCTCAAAAAATTGTCTTATAACCATTTCACACGTGACACTTGGTCACTGACTCATATTTATGACAGTTGCAGTGTCCCAAGGCCATGTGATTTTGCAATCTTCTGACAAGTAAAATCAATGGGGAAGCCAAATTCACTTAACAACTGTGTTACTAACTTAACAACTGCAGGAATTCATTTAACAACTGTGGCAAGAAAAATTGTACAATGGGACAAAACTCAATTAACAATTGTCCCACTTAGCAACAAAAATTTTGGGCTCAATTATGATAAGTTGAGTAACTACCTGTACTTTGCTATATAGAAGAAAAGCACCTGCTCTATTTTAGAAATAAACATATCTTCAAAAACAGTTATCAATCCAGCCTTATATAAAACAGAATTCCTCTCTCCACTCACATCTTAAATATAGCATAAAAGAAAATTTGAGTGTCTATGCAATGTGTCACATTATTTTCCAGTTACAACATAAGATGCTGACAGAATACAGCCCTGTGGTAGAACAATAATTTTATATGTCCCAGTAATACTAAACCCATGTTCTCTGCTTAACAATGTGCATTCATTCACTAAACAGTCTTATCATAAAAAGCTAAAAGTGCAGTATTTGTTTTTACGGTGGAAGACATATTTAAAGGTGATATGCATCTGAAACTGAGATTTCTAGAATAGTAGTCCTGACAGCAATTTGGGAAAAGGTAGAAGTTGCCAACTGAAGACAGCTTGGCAAAAGTGGAGCTGACATTCACAGATAATCATTGGACCCTCTCTTTATAAGGAAGCGATATGAGATCTCCATATGTGCTTCGGATGGCTGTTCCAACAAGGAGACTGCAGGACAGCTTGGTATCGAAAGTTGATTTACAATTGACAGGCCAAAATAATTATTTAGAAAACAATGTTTCACTGGACTTACAAAAGTAACTGGCTGAGGTTTTAAAATTTAAAAGGAATGATAAGCTAAGAGAGTGACCTAGATAATTATTTTCCTACTGGATTTACAAAAGGTTTGTTAAAACCTTTTAGAACTCTATACAATGGGACAAAGAAAAATTAAGAAGAATTCAATATTTGAATAAAGTAAAGCTGTAAAAGGAAGGAACATAAAGTTTGTGAATTTGATAAAGGTGAAAATAAGATATATTGTTACTTCTGGATAACATTTTTGTACCTTCCCCTAATGCCAGGTTTGAAAAGATTATGTTTTATGGATTTGTTTATTTATAAGTGATAGGATACGGAATAAGGAGGAAAATGATTGCAAATTTAGAGAGGGTGAAGAGTTATTAAATTTGTTTATATTTGTTGTGAATAAAGTTGAAAATCATGCATTTATATATTTGTTTTCCTTTTCTTTACTATATTATTTTATCTTTTTCTTTTTTCTTTCATTTCCTTGCATTTTCACTCCTGTTTATTTTAATTTCTGTTTAATTTGTATTAATTTAATTATTATAATCCAAATTGTTAATTAAAAATTACATACAAACAATAATAAAGTCAATTAATACTGAATCTTTCTCATTCTGATCCAGAAAAAAAAAATCCTCCTGAAAGAATTCAGAAAATGAATGTTCTTCCAGGTAAGTAGAACAGTGTACTAATGGAAACCTTGCCCTGGAGACTTACAGGTAGTCCTTGACTTACAACAGTTTATTTAGTGACCATTTGAAATTATAATGGCTTTGAAAAAAGTTATTTACGCCCATTTTTCACGCTTATGGCTTTTGCAGCATCCCGATGGTTACGTAATCAAAATTCAGACACTTGACATCCGATTCATATTTTTGAAGGTTGCAGTGGCTCTGCGTCATGTGATCCTCTTTTGCGATCTTCTGACAAGCAAAGTCAATGGGGAAGCCAGATTCACTTAACAGCCATGTTACTAACTTAACAACTGGAATGATTCAATTTAACAACTGTGGCAAGAAAGGTTGTAAAACAGGGCAAAACTCACTTAACAACTGTCTCACTTAGCAACAAAATTTTGGGCTCAATTGTGATTGTAAATCAAGGACTACCTATAAAGAATCAGCCAAGTGAACTCAAAGCAGACAGGATAAAACAGTTGTATGAGTATTTAAGGGATGTACCTTGTACAACAAAATTAAAAACAAAATTCTCCTCACCCTGCTACTAATCATGCTTTACTGATTTAATGGAAATGAAAAGCACTACATTTCCATGTCACTTCAGCATCTCTAGAAACTTAAACATATGTGGTGATTAAGTCTAACAAATAGACTTTATGTAAATTAGGGTTGGAAATCAGCTATCTTTACAGATAATCAAATAGCATTCTCACCATAATGAATGTACTGAACTTCTGAAAACATAAATTATGTATCATTTATGAATTATCCCAACAATTCTTGAAAAAAATAATCATAGAATCTGAAAACAGTCTGGAACTTTTTTCTTCTCACAAAGAACATAGCAGTTAAGCTCCAGAACTTCTTCAGATGTTTTTTTTTTCCTAAGATAACTTTTTTCCCACCCATTCAAAGAAAGGAAATGAAAACCAGACTATATCAAATCTTATAAAGTTCTAATGTTTGATGCTAAGCAATGTTGGAACTAGAAGAAGGCTAACTTCTCTTAACATTTAAGAGGAGTAACCCAAACAACAAAAAATGCTATTGTTCCCTAGATGATACACAGCATACCAATCTGTTTAAAAAAAAGAAATCTGCCAACATAACCAGAGTAAAACAGAATTTTTTGGTAGAAACTCAAAGTCCCCATTAATTTTTGAGTTATGCCCAGTTAACACTTACGTCAGCTTTAATCGTTTAACGTGGCCAGGCATTACAGGTACATACAACATTTTGACTCCCTGGACAACCATGATTGGTTCAATTCCATATTTTTCCTGTAACACACACATTTTAAAAAATTCAACTGTATCACATAGAAAATTGAGCAGAAACAAAGGAAAAAAATGCAATTCAGTGTGATCATTTTTATCTATTTTATATAATCTTTACTTCTTTAGTAAACACATATTATAAAACAAAAACTTCAGCTGATGGTAGCTAATAACTTAAATGGCAGTAAAGCTTTTAATGAAATCTATCAGAACATTAACAGGTCTCCCAATTATTTCTGCTATATATTTTATTTAAAAACCTTACTTTGACAGTATTTATGAAGTCCAACAGTGTGAAATCATCTTTCCCATGAATAGTCCATCTATCCCAGATTGTGAAAGATATTCCATTTCTGTTACAAAATAAGAATGAAACCCATTTTTGTAAATCCCTAAAATAGTGCTGGGGAATAAGAAATTGCCAAACTGATGTTACAGTAGAGCTTTAAAGTTGCACAGGAAAGAAAAAAAATGGTTTCATTTGTTGAATATTGATAGCAAGTTTGAGAAGCCAAAGTCATATTGAATTAGCCCACCAGAGCCATTGACTAGATGGGCAGCTATGGTAGGTAGCTAGGTAGATGGGTGGGTAGTTAGGTAGGTGGAGAGAGACAGAGACAGACGGAGAGTATTAGATTTATTAGTATTAGTAATAGAAACAGAATATGACAACTCTCTCACTTTAACTTCACATGAATAGAGAGGAGCCTGTTTCAGGCATTTTTGTAAATTAATGAATTCTTGGAATAAACTTCTAAACCACACTTCTCTGATAGTTGGTTTGGTAATGGATCTTTCCACTGTCTATCAAGGACATCCCCCATGCCTCCTACTTTGGGATTGTTACCCATTTCTTTTAATCCAAATTTTCATCATGACCTGCAGTGTAACACTATGAACACTTAGAGCTTTGTTCCATATGAAATACAGAATGTTTGGAATGTTTAGAGTTCTATCCTATCAGAACACAACTTGGTGGGAATGTTCCAATGGGATATTTTAGGAAATGCTGTTTTTTTCCCCAAAATTAGAACAAAATATTGTTGTATACTCTTTGTATTTCCTGTCTGGCAGGAGGTGATATTCTAAAAAATTAACTTTGCTGATAAACTTTTTTTCAGTTGCATAATAATATTTAATATATACAGAGATTTCATTGAAAAATTGCATATTCAAAATATATCCTCTTTTAATATCTTAATTTACCTTATTTCTGTTTTTCTAACTGCAGCTGTTTCTGTAAAGACAATTATTGGAATGGCCAAGTTGAAAAAACAGTTCTTATATGCTTGAAATGGGCAGACACCCACTACTTTGATCAATTCCAAAGCAACCTAGAGAACAAAAAGGAATAAAAAACCACAAAAAACTGACATATTTCATCTAAAATACAACTAAAATAACATTGGATGTGTACAACATACATAAATGAACTACAAACCTGTGTATTTTTGTATCTGAATAAAAATGCAGTCTTACTCACCAAGCCAGATACAGCTGCTGTAGAAGTTGCAATAGCAGGGATAATTTTTCCAGCTATACGTTTTGTTTTCAATCTATCTGCAGGTTCAATGTTATACATTTTGGCACGCAAATTGGAAGCTGCTGTAATAAAGTCTATGTGGCCATTACTGTCATCATCCTTTTCAAAGTTAAGTTCCTTCACCTGCAAGTCACCTAATCAGAAACCAAATTTCTTTATTAATTCATAATTATTTTAAATATTTATTTTAATTTTCCTTAAGGAAAATTTTGTTTATATTAATATATCTAAAAAGCCATAAAATAGGAAATTATTAGAAATATTAATCAGCTGCAGAAACCTCCTTCTGGAATAAGGAGACAATTTAATAGCAAAAAGGAATAGATTGGAAATAACCATATTTTAAAAACAGTGTACTTATAGAAAGAAGAACTCCATAAACAAGAGACAACATCTATTTTTCTATACAGATCCACTTTTTCATTAATGAAGAATAGTTAAAAACTTAGTATTCTGAAGTCTTACAAAAAGCAAAAATGTGCATTTAACAAAACATAATATAGTCATAAAAATTTAGCTTACTTAGCTATTGAAAAACAGTTTACAATTTGAAAGAGTACTGTTTCAATTTTCTTAAAAAGTGTGTCATTCAGATTTCATGACTGCAAAAACTGTATGCAGTAGTATGTGCTTGTAAATGTTTAAGAACCAGTTTTGCCAGCTCCATTGGTGCCATCACACTAAGCCATTAGCCACAATAAAACTTACTAGTGTGCTAGTCATTGTACCTGAGCCCTCTACCAGTTGGCAAAATTACCACAGTTTTATAAATCAGCTCTTGTGACCAGGGGTAGAATTCAAAAAATTTAGCAACTGGTTCTCTGCCCGGTTGCTGGATGGGGGTGGCCATGGTGGGCATGGCCTATTCAGCCTCCATGGAGACTCCTAGGAGAGGTGGGGTGGGTGGGGCCAGCCAGTGCTTGCAACTACCGGTTTGGCAAACTAGATGTAAAATTAGCATCTGGTCGCCCGAACCAGTCCAAATCGGCTGAATCCCACACCTCCTTGATAGCCAGTACGAGCTGTCTCCAGCACATCACTGCCTGTGCTTCATTCTTGAGGCAGCCATATTTGGACAAAAGCATATAATAAAACATTCTATATAGCAATACGATTAATTGATCAATCAATAAAAGCAAATCTATTTGGAGTGCCTTAAAAATCTTGAAAGAGCTTAACCAGACTACTAATCAATGCTGATTTTATGGAAAACAGAAAAGTCTTTCACCTGTCTTTCACAGTACTAATAATTAACTTTCAAGTACTAAAGATGTGCTAGGTTTCTTAGTGAGAGCTTGCCCTCCAGTAAATTATTGAAAGAAGCCAAATTGTGTGCCATATCTGAAGTCAAATCCCCTCTGATCTGGCATTCAAACATCATATAAAATCCCCTTTTCTGAAAATCTTTTGCTCTCTCTTTTCCTATCCATTGTGGCTCTTACTTTTTTCTATATATTTATCAATTGTTTTGATGTATCGATGTAAATTTTATATAACTGTTTTTAATGTATGCATATATAGAGTGGATCAATCTGATTAAAAGTCAGTTTTCTATATTTCTAATAATGGATACTAACTTTTTGTAGCTTTGTTGGCCAAGATGGCACTCTCCAATTGAAGAAGAGCATTTCTTTCATCCTCACTGCTTACAGGAATAGGATCTGGTTTCCGTACTGCTTCATCTGTTTGTACAACCTATAAACATTAACAATAAATAGTACAACAAATTTAAATTGAGAAAAAGATTACTGCTTATTATAAAATATAAAAATAAAGCATCAGGGAAAATACTATTTTTCATTGCAATACAATTTAAATTTACACATTTTGGGATTGACACCAAACACACTTAGACTGGGAAGATAAGTATAAAAGCAGCAGACTGGTAGATTATGCCTAAAAATCAAGTACCAAAATTATGACTCAAGCTTTAGGGTAGACTTGGATATATGGTAATTCTCTACTTATGACCTTAATGGAGCCTGCAAATGGAGTGAGAGATCTACCTGCTGAAAAAGAGGGCAGACACCTCCACTCCATGTGAAGAATCAGTGTTTACTCAGCTTCTTGGAGAACAAAATACTGCTTGCCAAAGGGGTAGAATCTCACCTTCAGGCAGTAATTTGCTCTCAGTGAAGCTGAATGAAGAAGTCCTTTCATGAGGGATCTTTTTCATCAAGCCTCTCCGAGAGCAAAATGCTGCTTGCCAGAGAGATCTTCAGGATACAAATTTCCTTTTTCTGTCAAAGACAGCCAGTTCCTCTCCCCACACATGAGCTTCCTAGTCTAGCACAGGGTGGTAAGGGGAGCTGGCTGTCTGTGCTAGAGAAAGAAGATTCGGCTCTTTGGAATCAGAGCTTTCATTCTCTGGCACAGACAACTGACTCCCTTCCCCACTGTACATTAGCCCAGGGATCTGCAACCCCAGGTCTGTGGACCAGCACCCAGCCGCAGCATGCGAAACCACACCCCCGGCAATCCACGGACAAACCTCCCTCTACGGAACCGAACCTTGGTGCCAAAAGGTTAGGGGCCACTGCATTAGCCTGTATAGCATTTAGAAACACTGTATTTGCTAACTTTCTGGTTCGAAAGCCATTTCATGCAATCTTTCTAAAAGGTGGAAAAACTTTTTTCAGCCAGAGTCTTTGAAAATGACAGGGCTGCTTGACAGAGGGATGCTGGCTGGAAAAGTCCATGATGAAATCAAAAAAGGGATTTTAGCCTGGGACATTTTTATTTATTTTATTTATTAAACAAATTTATATAGCTGCTCAACTCATATATACGTGAGGCAGCAGCTAAAATGCCTCTTGGCTTTGGCCGTAGACATTTTAAACAAGCATTTTTGCTTAACAGTAGAGCTGCTTGGAGGACGGATGCCATTCTGCATCAGGGCAAAATCAATCCGGCAGGCAACCCTTCAGCTTTCAATAAGGTTGGCTGAAAATGTCTGTCCCAAAATGGTTTGTATGGGACCTTTATTCATCCAGCCCTCAAGAACCAGAAGGACTGCAGCAGTGGATTGCTAGTTTCTCTGGCAGTATCCCTACTGACTTTGAGGAAGCCAGCAGGGAAGATTGCAAATAGCAATCAAATGATTGCAGAGGGCTTGGCAACTTGTTGTAAGTGCAGACAGGTTGCCAAGAGCCCAGATCACAATCATGTAACCACAGGGGCATTCCAACAGCCATTACTTTGAACCTTGGTCGTAAGTCCCTTTATTAAGCTGAGAAGTGCCTGCATTGTGACTTTTATATTTGTGGAAAGTGGCATCATAAGAACATTTGAAAACAACATTATTATATCAATCAAGAAGAAATTACGCATTAAATTTTTGGATAAATAAATATAACCAGTTTATTTTAAACATATATATAAGTGTGTATGTATTTAACTTATATGGTTGCCTAACTTGATATCTATGGGTGGCTCACAACAGCAAGATTTGTCAGCAAGTTGTGGCCCTCAAAGAATTGCTGCAGTCATGTGCCCGTCATTTAAATTCTGGCTACTGACTCACACTTACAAAGGTTGCAATGTCTATGGATATATGATTATCATTTACAACCTTCTCTACAGGCTTCCTACAAGTAAAGTCAATGAGGAAGATAATAAGGAATGTTCTGAGTCATTCTGATAAGTACCCTTAGCCTTTTTGCATTCACATGCCACCACTCTGCCCATATCCCCGCCTTCCTGTGCTCATGCCACACCATTCATTCTCTGGCTTTCCTATATGCCCTCTGAGATGTCTGGCCTGCACTCCGAGTATGCCATCCACCCCACCATCTTCAGCACAATTTATTTCAGGAAAACTAGCATTTATTCTATGTATGTATGTATGTATGTATGTATGTATGTATGTATGTATGTATCCATCCATCCATCCATCCATCCATCCATCCATCCATCCATCCATCTACCATGTTTCCCCCAAATTAAGATCTGGTCGTATTTTCTTCTGGGCCCCAAAATAAGCACTAGGTCTTATTTTCAAGGGATGTCTTACCTGCTTACCTTAAGACCATCGCAGTCAGGCCTCCCACACACCGACACCTGTTGCGCTGCTGTCTGGCTTCTTTAGCTGCTTGCAGCAGCTCTCAGCCAGATGCTGTGTAGCTTGCCACGCTGATGCCACCAGTCACAGCAGAAGGCTGTACGGCAGATTGCACCATTACAAGCATCAGAGGTGGCACCAGCGTGATGCACCATACGGCCTCCTGCTATGAGTGGCAGCACCAGTGCGACCAGCATATATGTCTGGCCGAGAGCAGCTGCAAGCAGCTGAAGAAGTCAGGCAGTAGTGCAACAGGTATAGGGGCAGGGGAGGCCTGGCTGCGGCGGTCCTAAGGTAAGCAGGTTTAGGGCACGTAGGACAGCTTCACCCTCCACTCCTGCCCTAGCTTGATTTTTATGCATGCACCTCACCCCACTCGTACAACCAGATGGTGTGAGAGTAGGTGGGTCTTAACTAGGGTTTATTTTGGGGATAGGGTTTATATTAGGCACATGTAAAAATAAAGCTAGGGCTTATTTTTGAATAGGTCTTATTTTGGGGGAAACACAGTATCTATCTGTCTATCTCCATCCATCCATCCATCCACTATCCTAGGCAATAATCAGAAAAAAAGACAAAAAGAAGATACATATTACTCAACAGTTGAACTTACTTTGTTAGAGGGTCGAAACTCCTGAATCTTTAACCCAGAAATTATCTTGAAAATAGTGTCTTGTGATACATCCTATATTTGTTTTTAAAAAATCCCAATTATTATTAATTGCATGAAACAGGCACTCTTCAAAGTTATTTTACTTCTCATTCCACTCCAAAACAAGGAAATCAACTAGCAAAATAATTTATAAATATATTTACAATATATTTGTTAGAGCAGATTTCATGAGTCTGTGTTTTAACAAAATATGACTGATAATGTTTCCTAGACAATATTTCTTTCACACATATAAAATTATATGAATAAAACCGCAAAGTTGCTTATTGCCTTTTGTTGACAGGTATTTTAATATTACAGAATGGAAATAATCTGTGTGTGTGTGTGTGTGTGTGTGTGTGTGTGTGTGTGTGTAAAAAATTCGATTATAATTAATAAGAATAAATATATTGCAAGAAAAAAAACCCTGGAAAGTAGAGTATCAGGAAGCATAATCCAGATAAAATAAAGAGGGAGAAATCCAGCTAAACACTGGATTTAAAAGGTTTCTTAACTCTGTTTCTTGACTTTTCAAATTACTTTGAAAAACTAACAAAAACAGACTACAGGTAGTCCTTGAGGTATGACCCTAATACGAGACTGCCCATTAGGGTTGAAAATTGGGACAACGTTAAATGAGCTGCCAGCTATCTGTGCTCTCCCCAGTGCATTTCCTGAGGCCTAGTGGGGAGATCCAGGCTTCTCTAGGCCTTCCCCAACATGCAAGCAGGCCTGCAGCACAGATAACTATCTTGCCAGGGAAAAACAAAGGAGAAGAAAAATACCAGGTGCTCCTGTCTTTCCTAATTCTGTCCCTGCCCTTCTTCCTACCAAGATGCCTGCATTTTGGGGCAAAAAAAGGATAAGTTATCTAGCCTTTCAGAGCTTTCTGCTTCGATCAGCTGGCCAGCAGAAGATTGCAAAGCTCTCCTGCCTCTTGCCTGGTTTTGGGAAGCCAGCCCTTGCATAAAAGGCAGCTTCAGGAATAGCTTCCTAAAACTTTTCCCTTGTTTAGTCCCATCCTTCCCTCAGAAAACCACATTTCAAAAAAAAAAAAAAAAAAGCTGGGAGACTTGACTCTCCCACTCCCAAAATTAGGTGCTAAAACTAAATTCCCTCTCTGCTTTCCAATCTCTATCCTTTTTTAAATACTTTACCTCAGTGGTGAAATATAAAATTTGTTATTACCAGTTCTGTGGGTGTGGCTTGGTGGTGGTGATGTTAATATGACTGAGCGGGCGTGGCCAACTTTTTTTTTTTTTACTTTTAAAACCATTTCTTCTACAACATCTATACAGCTGAAGAGATTGTAAAAAAAATGCTTTTAAAGTCTCTGACAATCCCAGCTGACTTGCCTGATCAGCAGAAGGTTGTTTTTTTTTAAAGCCTCTGATGATCCCAGTTGACTTGCCTGATCAGCAGAGGCTTTTTTTCCCTTTAAAAACATTTTTTCTATAACCTCTTCGGGGGAAGAGGTTGTAGAAAAAAATGCTTTTAAAAGCCTCTGATGATCCCAGCTGAACCGTGCAATCATCAGAGGCTTTTTTTTTACTTTTAAAAGCATTTTTTCGGCCAAAGAGGTTGTAGAAAAAATGCTTTTAAAAATAATTTTAAAAAAAATGATGATTTTGCTCAGCTGGGCAATGGGGGGGGGCCCTCAGGGATTTTTGCTACCGGTTCTCCAAACTACCTCTTCCATCACTACCGGATCGGGTGATCCGGTCCGAACCGGGAGCATTTCACCCCTGCTTTACCTCCAAACTGAAGAGGAATAAAGGAAGCAAAGATATAAAACATTTCTGCAACTTTTTCCCTTGAACATCATCTCCAAAAATTGTTCAACAAAATGAAGGATGCTCCTTGTTGCTTGATTCCTCTACTCTTCAACTTGGAATCAAGGTAAGGTTTTTAAAAGGAATAGAGATTAGAGAAGAGAGGGAGTTTAATTTTAGGAACTAATTGGTGTAGTGGGGAGAGCAATAAATCTGACTTCCCAGATGATGATGGTGATGGTGATGATGATGATGATGATGATGATGATGATGATGATGATGATTAAAATGTGGCTTTCTGGAGAAAAAAGGGGGCTAAATAAGGGAAAGGTTTTGGGAAGCTTATCCTGAAGCTGCCTTTTATGCAAGGTCTGGCTTCCCAAAGCCAGGCCAGAGGCAGGAGATAGTCACAGCTTCCTGCTGGCCAGTTGATTGGGGTCAGCTGACTGGCACAGAAAGTTCTGAAAGCAGCTGTCATTTTAGCAAGGAATTATCAGGTCCCCCAAAAATGACAGCTGCTTCCAGGAGGCATGGGGAGGCTTGGCGAGACGCCTGAGAACTGCAAGTTTGATGGGATGGGGGGAGGAAGAGAAGTGGGGAGTGCTGCAGCATGCCAGTGGTCTGTCAAAAAAGTGAATGACCAGTGTCACTGCAGCTGTTGTAACTTTGAAATAGGGTCATATATAGTTTTGGGGTGTTGGCCGTAACTTTAAATTGTTGTTAAGTGGCATGTTGTTTCTCAAGGACTACCTGTAGTGCAAATACTGTATCAGCTATTTGAAGGTTTACCTTTTCTGTAAAAGAGATACAATAAATTGTTGCAAACAGTTTTGCTGTACTCAGTATGAAACTGTAGTGCCTAAAGAAAAAGAAGAGAGAGATTGTAGGAAAATAAAACAAAAAGCTTCTCCAATCAAGTTTACAGCAAACTATATTTAACTGAATCTCAAGTCAAATGAGATTCCTTTGGAGAAAATAATTGATGCTCTTAAACATAGCAGAATGTTCTGAGAGAAAGTTCAGAATCAACTGAGACCTTCCTAAAGCCAGGACAGCCCTTTGAAATATAATTTGTGGGACTTATTTTTAAATCATAGGTATTATTTCATCAAAGGTCTCCAATTATAATGCTCCGGAGAAAGGATGTTGAATACTTAGAGGCAATGTTTTTCTAACATTTGTAAACAACAAGAAATTTATCTTTGGGATTGTAAATTTTCTTTATTTGTTATCCCTCCTTGTTATCCTTCCAACCAACCCTTCAATCTTTTTCTTTGCTTCTCTCTTTCAGTCCATTAATTTATATTTAGAAACTTGAAATGATTATAAAGCACTATTATGCCAGAGCAAGTATTCAGAATGCTACACCAACTCCATTAAATAAAGCAAAAATAAGGATTATTAGCCCAAAGCTAATTGTTACTGGCTGTAGAAAACCAAATAAATGACTTGGAATTTCCATATCTTGATAGGATTTGGAAACAAAAGGTGCACTTTTTCCAATGGACATATGATAAAATACAGAGCAAGTCCTTGAAGCAATGAGACATTTGGGGGGTTGAAGTATCAGGAAACAGTATCTTGGATCTAGAATTTAAATCCTCATTTTGATATAAATGCAAAACAAATTTAGGCATGAATTTTCATTGAAACATTTCTAAAATTAGCACTTTCATGTGATTGGCTGTGTAAAAATATACTGCTCAAAAAAATAAAGGGAACATAAGCAGAAGACATCCGAGATCTGAATGAATGAAATAGCCTTATTAAATACTTTGTTCTTTACATACAGTAGTTTATACACTGCTCAAACACCTAAAGGGAACACAAAACTACTGTATGTAACGAACAAAGTATTTAATAAGGCTATTTCATTCATTCAGACCTCGGATGTCTTCTGCTTGTGTTCCCTTTATTTTTTTGAGCAGTGTACATGTTCTAAAAGTTATTGAATGGCGCATTCAGAGATAACACCAAACAAGTTTAGCCCAAAAAAAACAAAAGCAATTCACTAACACATGTGTACATCAGAAGGCTTTATTACAGGACTTAAGAGCTTATTCTTAAAGTCATAAAAGATCTTCTGATACCATATTCGTATACAAATACCAATATAAAACTAGTTCTATAAGTCCATAGATAAGCATTTTTGTCAATTACAATAACAATATATAAAAAAAGAGAAATGTACTTACAAAGAGTCATTAAAATCAAACTGAATGGGAAAAGGTGGCCTTTTTGGTGATTGCCAAAACAAACCTGCCAATTCAAAAAAAAAAACAAATTAATTGCTAAAAACAGCAAAAATAAATTTGATAGAATATAAAATTACTGCACTTACTGCCATCTTTTAATCGTGTATCAATGGGAAATGAATGCAGTAACTGAAGAGCCTAAGTAAAAAAATAAATAGCATAGTTCAATGAGTACATATAAATGTTTTTCATTAAAGAAAGCATGGTACATGTAAACTATTCTAAAGTCTATCAGATAAGAAATTGCAATAAAATACACAATACAGGAATCCATTATATTGAACAGATCAGACTATTGTGTACAGGCAATGTTTTTATTTGAACACTGGCTGTTTGTATTTAGCACATATATATTTCATTGTATTTATTTTGCTTATTTCATCCTAGAAAATATTGTATTTTACCTTTGATTAGCCTGGCAACTAAGTAAATAAATAATAAACTATATATACAGCAATGCATTATTTTAGAAAGTGTATTTTAAAAATGATAGCATAAAAGTATTTTAAATAAATAAATAATCTGCTTAATTTATGTACAAACAAATAAAAGAGGTACTTTTAATAAATGAGGTCTTGCCTATTTTTATCACTTGTCATTAACAAAAGAAGTAAAGCATTCATACCTTATGATTAAAGTACTTCTCAAATTTTAATCTTGCCAATTCAACACATTGGGACCAGTTTCTTGGTCTTCTACCCAGGCACTTAATCACTTGGAAAGAGCCTTCCAAACTTTCCCCAGATTTTATTCTCTAGAAAACATAAAAACAAGCCTTGAGCATATGTCACAAATTACATGTAATTAAAACATATGTATTTCCACAGTATGTGTTAATACAGAATTATAATCAGTAGTAAACATGCAAGATAATAACCAAAAATATATAGCAAAACAGAAATTTATATTTTTGCCCTAACTATATTCAATCCCAAATCTTACACTGTGGAAAATTCATAGTTTGTATGTTATATTTTTTCTTTTGAACATTAAACACTTTATGATTTAAGATATATATATGCTCTGAATTCATTCCTTTACACTAACCCATTATAACCCTAGATCACAATTAAATTCTAGCTTTCAATTCAATAAGAATCAATATCTGTCTCACTGGGTAACATAAAGTACAACCTTTTACCTTATAGATGATATAATTATTTCACAATAAAGAAACACAGAAAGAGTAGAATGTTGAGACAATTGCAATAATAAAATTATTCAAATTTTTTCCCAAAGGTGCTTTTCAAAAGATAACTGGACTTTCCTGGTTTTTTTCTTTGAAAACATTTCATTTTTCATTCAAGAAGCTTCTTCAGTTTAGTTCAGTTCTTCAGTTTAAGAACTGAAGAAGCTTCTTGGATGAGAAATGAAATGTTTCCAAGGGGAAAAAAATTCAAGAAAATCCAGTTTTGAAAAGCACCTTTGAGACAATCATGACCCAGATGACTGAGAATCTTCATAAACATTTACTCAGAAGTTACAATTCCACCATCACTAATATCACTGAAATATTCACAGTAAGTTTTAAAATGAAATTTTACCCAATTCATTTCAAAAGATTGTTCTAGTTCAAACCTCTGCATAGCTTTTTGGAAGAATATGAACATGATTTAATTATAATATAGATTTATATATAGATTTAATTATAAAGGTAAAGGTAAAGATTCCCGTCATACATATGTGCTAGTCGTTCCTGACTCTAGGGGACGGTGCTTATCTCTGTTTCAAAGCCAAAGAGCCAGTGCTGTCCGAAGACCTCTCCGGGGTCACATGGCTGGCATGATTAAACACCAAAGGCACACGGAATGCTGTTACCTTCCCACCAAAGGTGGTCCCTATTTTTCTACTTGCATTTTTTACGTGCTTTCAAACTGCTAGGTTGGCAGAAGCTGGGACAAATAATGGGGGCTCACCCCGTTACGCGGCCCTAGGGATTTGAACTGCTGAACTGCCGACCTTTCGATTGACAAGCTCAGCATCTTAGCCACTGAACCACCATGTCCCAAGATTTAATTATATTAAACAATATTCCCTCAAATATGTAAAACTTACTTCATAAAATTTACTTATTAAATAACAAACATAGTAATTCCAATGTAATTTTAATCATAATTTAGAATATTACCTGTAACACTTCTTCTGCTGATGGATATGTTTGCCAAAACTTATTGAATAGGGAAGGCTTGTGTGAAAAAGCACTTTCAAACTAAAAAAAAAAAAAAAAATCAAATGTTATGAGAAAATACTACTGCATATCTACCTATTTTCTTCCTAGAAAAAGAAACCAGGATTGCAATTCATTTTCACTTTTTCTTCCTTTTAATGGAACTTGTCTTTCTAATTTGAATGTATCATGCTCATGCTAAAATTTACCTTGTCTCTTGCCCACTGTATTGTGTGTTCAGTAGCAGCTGGAAAAGACTTTATTGTACAAAATGGTATTTCTTCTTCAGGTGGATCTCGCTGAATATAAAAAAAAGCACACACACAAAAAGATTACATAGACACAAAAAGATAGAAATACACTAGGATTTAGTATTTCCTCTCTAATTCAGTTAATTAGCTAACTGAAATAAGTTAATTAAAGGAGCCTGAGTGGCGTAGCAGGCTAATGCCTCCTAAGGCAGCATTTAACATCCAGCTGCCTGCAATTACTGCGAGTTCAATTCTCACCAGGCTCAAGGTCGACTCAGCCTTCCATCCTTTCTAAGGTGGGTAAATTGAAGACCCAGTTTGTGGGGGCAATAAGCTGACTTTGTATAAATATACAAAAGTATGAAGGCTATTGCTTAACGCATTGTAAGCCACCCTGAGTCTCCGGAGAAGGGTGGCATATAAATCAAATTAAAAAAAAAAAATTCACAGCCTGGATTAAAAGGAGTTAATGTTAAATATATACATATAGAAGCCAATTTTCTTTCAAATCAATATACCTTTCACATTGAGAGTTAAGAATTATTTCAATAAGATAAAATTAAAACAATGACAGTGAGAATAATAAATCAGTGGAAAGGCTTGCCTCTAGAATTTGTGGGTATTCCATCACTGGAAGAAAAGATTGGACAGCCATTTTTTTGGAATGGTAAAGGATCTCTTGGGTGGGGATGGACTAGAATACCTCCAAGGTCTGTTCAACCCTGATATTCTATGTTCTAAGTAAACTGTCTTAGCAATGAGGTCAGAATGCCTTAACAAGTAAATTATATTTTCAAAGACAAATAATGTTTATGGAAACCATAAATTCTAACATGGATTGGCAAAGAAAAACTGAATACTGAAATACTTTACCTTAATCAACAATCAAACGTCTTACTATATGGTTTAGTCCTTGATTATTTTAGATATCAATTATAATATTATAATAGTTTACTTTTATGTTTTGAGTGTCTTAAAATGGTTTCCAAAAGCAGAAGAATTTGACATATTTGCTCAAGAATATTTTGACCTTATATGCAAAATCTGTACAAATATCTAATGTCAGTTGATTTTTAAAGCAAGAAAAGATTATCTATTTCAAAAGAGGTCAAATAAAATGTATGTTCTCCAACCCAAAGGAAAGCATTTTTATGGCCACTTACATGACTATTGTAAGATTCTGTTAGATGAGGCACAATGACTTCTGTATGCCCTTTGGTTCCCATTGTTCCAGAATCTAGGAGAGGACGTAAGCTTGCTAGGCAGCGACTGCATAATGGAAGCAAATAATAAAATTATTTTTATTGACTAATAATAGAACACAGGGAAAAAAATAGTATGATATGAGTTCACAACTCAGCTCAGACTATCTGGCTAAAAAGAGAGCAACTAATTATAAATCACAACATTGAATCAGATAATTGGATACATTTATTAAGTATTTCTATCCTGATTTTGATAGCCAATTGTGTTATTAGATTCTGCCCAGCACACGAAGCCCCAATTAAGCAACCAAGAGGGAGGGAAGATAATTTTAAGTTTGATGTATTGGAAACATTTCAGAATAAAAATGTTTTTCTCTGTTCAAAAGAGGAAACTGGTTCAAAGCTTGGAATAATTAGCACAACAAAGAAAAGTACAAAGAAAAAGTTGATTGGATAAAATATAAATCCTGCATAAAAAAGCAGTTACATTAAGTTAAACATGTTTAGTATTGTATCATCATACAATACTAAACATGATCATGTAAATGAGATTTAGCATACTGGTAGGTGGGAATTTTAGAATGTTAATTAAGAAAAATTTCATAAGGTTATTTAGTCTATGAAGAGAAAAACCAGATGTTACTAACACTGCAGGAGCTCTTTCTTTTACAATTGATAAGGTGCAGGTATCTTGTTATCTATAGACACTCCTTTTATTTTTCAAGCCTGGGGAAGTAAAAGTAATTTATCTGCTTCCAATTACTGAGACAGGAGGCTTCTAAGGAAAATAAAATAAAACTAAATTAAAGTACAAGGAAGCCCAAGTTGCTAAATTACATAGTCCATGTTACCTGGCCCTCACCTGGCCTTTAGAAAAAAGGCCCATGTTTTCTAATATATTATTATGCTGACAGTGGTTTAAATTTTGCAGTTAAAGCAATATCAAGGTGACAAATATATTCAAAGTTATATTAGAAAAGATAAACCACATTTTAGCACAATATATAAACCCAACAACATGATCTTTTAGGATGTTTTATTTTGATTTCTACTGTACAACACATTTTCTGTGAAATATAAAACTAAGTTCAATAAACCACAGATACAACTAATTATGGTTTAACGATTATAGCCATAGCACTTAGACTTACGTACCGCTTCACTATGCTTTACAACCCTCCCTAACTGGTTTATAGAGTCGGCATATTGCCCCCAGCAATCTGGGTCCTCATTTACCAAGTTTCAAAAGATGGAAGGCTGAGTCAACCTTGAGTATGACAGAATCAAACTCCTGGCAGTCAGCAGAATTAGCCTGCAATACTGCATTCTAACCACTGCACCACGACTGCTCTTATGACTCAGAATGTTTTAACCTTAAAATGACCTTTTGAGTGTTTCAAGATGGAATCACAGTTAGCAAGCAAACTAGAAGGAAAGAGTGTCCCTTTCCAAAAGCTAAATAATTATGTAATTATTACATAAATTTATATAAAATTTATAATGACTCACCAAAACAAGCAACATTTCCATTACTGGGGATTGAGTCCACTGAATAAAGATTTGAAACTCAAAAATTTTTATTATGAAGAGTCCTATGAGTAGCTCAGCCCTAAACCATTGATACTACAATCCACATCTTAAATTTAGTTTGATAGGAAAGTGGAAGGCAGTGAAACTGTTTCAATATAAATCTAACAAGGGACTTCAAGAGATATCCATTCATTACTGAAATGATTACTTATACAGCATAAGCCAAGATAAATTGTTTTGAATTAAACAGAGTTTATAAATTGTTTTGAATTAAGCAAAGCTATATGACATGAAGCAATGATTAATGTCAGGAAACTAAAGATAAATTACTACCTGGGAGTGGGAGAGAAAAAGTAAGAAAAAACAAATCAACCTTTGATCACAGATTTACCTGTCAATATACCTCCTGGCTTCCACATTGTCTAATGCAGTTACAATTACATCTTGCTTGGTGTAGAAATCATCATTGTATATGTTCTCAGTAGCTGGGCACACTTTGTTAAGGTATGAGTCTATCTTTATCTCAGGATTGATGCTACGTGTTGCTGCTGCTGCAGTACAACTCTTGGGTTTCTAAACAAAATTGAAGTTAGTCTGGTTAATAGTTTTCATGAGAACAACCCATGAATGAAGCTTCATCTTATAGTGTCACATTGGTTTCATGTTCAGGAGCATCAATGATTTAATACTATAGCATGAATAATTGCGAATCACATTAATGATACCGGGAGGTAGCAACATTTTAAAGCTAATACCAACATTATTTTTTTTTAAATCCCCCAAATCTTGAAACGTGAAGGTTACAAGTAGTCCTTGATTAACAGTAATTGGAATTACAATTTCTGTTTGTAATCAATGTGACCATAAAGTATGATATCATGTGACTGCATTGCTTCACACCCATAATCCTGAAAGTCCCATTGCTGTTACATGATTGCAACTTCCACCTTCGTCAGCATCCAACAAACAAATCAATAGTAAAGCTGGCAGGAAGTTGCAAGCTCCAGTCAGGACAAGCCTTTCCTTAGGTAGCTCACAAACAGGCTGATGGCATATGAATGCTAGAGAGTACATGTGGGTGCATGGAGTGATGCAGTGGCATGACATGAAGGTAAGCAGACTGGGGTGAATGCCATAGCATGTAGAGAAAGGCAAGCTGAAGACTACAGTCATTCAGCAAGGTAAGTAATTTATAGATTTTTATCAGCCTCTTTCCAAGCACCCCTTTTAAAAGGATCAAGATTAGAGGGCAGAGTTGAAGAATTTAGTTTCAGCACCTAATTTGGGGGAGGGGGGGAATCAATAAGTCTGTCCCTCTCAGCTTTTTGTTTCCTTTATTGAAGGGTTTCTGGAGGAGGGGGGGGATTAAGCAAGGGAAAGGTTTTGGGAAGCTTGTCCTAAAACTGCTGCCTCTGCATGCAGGCAGCTGATTTTCGAAGGCTAGCAAGAGTAGGGAGAGGTTTGCAGTTTCCTGACAGCTGGCTGATCAGGGCAGAGTCCTAATTCATAATCTCAACTTCACTGGCCAAGTAAAGAAACCTGTTTGGAAGTTCTTCTGGCATTGGAACACAGTGTTAGGCCCTAATCTAGCTGGGCTCTTCTCCTGCTCCCGCTGCTCCCCTGCTGGGCTGTATTTGGCTTTGCAAAGCCTTACCCTGCTGGTCTGTCTCATTTATGGATCCAGTTGGGTGGTGGGCATCCCCCGCCCAAAAGGTATTGCATACTCATTTAATGACCATTCATCTAATGATAGCATCACAGACAGTAGGGTGTGGGGTCATTAAGCGAGGCTTAATTGTCACCATTTGTGGCCATAATTGGCAGACTTTATTAAGGTCATATATCAAGGATTACTTGTATATAGTTTAAGTATGAAACCCCACCTGTTATATTAAAAGATTACATGGTGAAAAAATAACCAAAAATAAAACATACAAAAGTATTCAGAAAATCTATCCATCTCAGCCGAAACAAAGGCTCACATTTTAAGTAACATGGTTTGTTTGGTACGTACCCTTTTTAGTACCCATCACATCGCCTAGAACCAATTAGTATTCAATTAAATCAATACTGAAGTACTACTCTAATAAAATCCAAACATTTGTTCCACATTTAAATATATCTAATTAAAATAGCTAATTTTTTAACAAATCACTTTAATATTTTGTCCTCATTACTCCTACCTACCTGTATGTGATGAGGCCGGAAAAGAAACTGCCTATTCAAATTGGACTTTTCTATTAAGTCCGGATCTGTTATTTCAACCTGTATATTGGACAATTGATGAAATTATGAATTAGCAGTAAAGTGATCAAAACTGTGACATCAGAATCAGTATTTGAAATATTCTGTTTTCTTGTGTCACATCATTTTAAAAATGGGAACAAAACATTTCCAGAATATTATATATTGTATTCCTTTACTTAAACAATGCAAGTCATCCCATTAAAAAAAAAAAACTTCGTTATTAGCTTTTTTTTTTAACAACAAACTATACATCAAAAATAATGTGTACTAATTTTTACATTTGAGAGCTCAACAATCCAACGCTTGGCTTCAACTTCTACTATATCCAAGTCATAATGGATTTGTTGTTTTAACATTATTGGAAAATGCATTGCCAATAGAGGTAATCCTTACTTAACAACTGCCCTGTTTAGTGACCATTTGAAGTTACAGTGGTGTTGAAAAAAGTAACTTTATAAACAGTCCTTGCACTTACAACTGTCACAGAGTCCCTAGAGTCAAGATTTGGGCACTTCACAATTGATAGGTTTTTATGACCATCAGAGTGTCTTGTGGTTATATGATTGCTATTTTCATGCTTCATAGACAGCTTCCAACAAGCAAAGACATTAGAAAAACCATTAAAATCACAAGTTGCAGAAGTGATGTCAAAAATCCATCCTGGACACAAGATACCTTGATTACTGACTGTATTGCTAGTGACAGACTTGTCAGTCCCAATTGTGATTGTTAAATAAGAATTATCTATATAGTCAGAGGAACTGAAATTAGGTTAGAATATGAAACATACCTTGCCTCTTTCTTGGCCTGTACCAACACCAAGGAGTGCAAAATTTTTTAACATTTCACAGCCTATTGCACCACACCCAACCTAAAATGTCAAAGCATGACAATATTATAACATTTCTGACCTTTAATTAACATAATTAAGAATTAGCTATTTTTTTTTGATAAATTAAGAAAACATTAACAATTGTCCCTAAAAAGACATAGAGGTGCTAATTTTAGAGAGCTTTTGAAATATGTAATATAAGTTAACACGTGAAATATATCAAAAACAATATAGATCACTATTAATCACTACTGCTATTTTTAAATAAATGTGCTGTATAATGTAAACTACATATTCTAGTGCCTAGGATTAAATTTTAATTAATAAACAGTACCATAATTTTTAAAACAGATGACCTCTAAATTTAATTCCTGAGAACAAAGCCCAAATTGTCTAAGAAAAATCATTTAGCATTCCATTTAAGAAATCCCCTCTGACAAGAGTTAACATCAGTCATACTTACTAAGAAAACATTCAGATTCTTTAATTTCTGGCACAAGGAATCTCCAATGCACACTCTTAGGGCATCGTATCTGTCTCCCCTATAAAAGTCAGAGGATGTCAAAAATGAAAAATATTTCAAGAAACATATTTCAAAATTACTTCACACTATTCATAGTCAGTTTTTGAGAGTTTAAGCCACATATTGGCAACCTACAGACTGCATGAACATATCACCCATGTTTTATCCTATTTACTTATATTTAAAATTAGTGTACATGCTTTCAGACTGTATGGAATAAAGCTTTAGAGCAGCCTTCTCCAATTTCTATGTTGCTATGTTAGCTAAAATGATGACAAATTCTAACTCATCTGCAGGACCACAGAATGGGATTAAGCACTGGATTTAGATTTAGTAAAATTATGATCACATATTTTAAGTTTTTAAGTTAAGTTTGAAGTCATTAAGTTAACTGGGCCATTTTTGTTTAGTTACCATCTGTCAATCTACTTGGTTTTAGAGAAATATTATAAAGAAAAATAATTAATGAAACCAAAAAAAGTTCATAAAATATTTACCTTGGAAGGAATTCTTCAGCATGGACTTTTTCTGGAAATGTGACTAATTCCAATGCATCAATATACAGCTATAGATAAAAAGAAATGCAGTGATTACAAATTACAAGGTCAGATTCCAAACAGGACTGTATATCAGGACTGCACAAATTATTTTAAAACACCTTTTTACCATTTGGAATAGAGAAATGAAGCAGTCTTCTTTAAAGAATTTTTATCTTTTTCCAGCCCTGAATGGTGCTTTAGAGACAGCTCGTCTGGCCATCCACATGCAGGCAATGACAACCAGGAACAATTTTCAAAACAGATAAACCTTGATGTGCAACTACAACTGGGACTGTAAACTTCGTTATTGAGCAATCTTGTCATTAAGTGAAAGACCTGCTTTCCTCAATGACCACAATCATGGCTCTCCTAGTTGCAGTCATTAAGCAATCACAAAAAATCATTAAACAAATGATGCAAAACTGTTGCTTGCCAAAGGAGAGTCCCTGCAGGGATCTTTGTTTCTCCAACTCATTACAGGAGTCCCCTTCCCTCTGGGCGCCAAGGTAATTCTTGCACTGGACTGGAGGAATGAAGGATCCTGAAACATTTAACCTTTGTTTCTCCAGCCCTGCAAAGGATTCCCCTCCCCCATGCAGAGAGGGGAGGAGAAATCCTTTGGCAGGCAGCAGCAGCTTGGAATCTTCCCTGCCAGCTTCTTGGGAAAGCCAATAGAGAAGACTGTCAATGGTGATCATATGATCATGGGATGTTTGGCAATTGGTCATAAATGAAAATAGAATGTTGAGTTCTCAGATCACAATCACGTAGATGCATGAGGGGTCCCCATGATGTTTTACAATGGCTGGAAGTATTTTATGGATCATAAAGCACTCTTTCCGAGCCATTGTAACTTCAAACAGTCATTAAACAACCAATCATGAGTCAAAACCTGCCTATAAATGAACCTGGAAAATGTTGCATACATTTAAAAGTCAGGTGTTATGAAGTGCCTCTTTTGAAACATCTGTAAAGCTTAAAATATTGTTGTATGGCAATATAAAATTCTTAAAATATAATTACAACCAGAGGATGACAAAACCAGATAAGCAGGGATTAACACAAACAAACTATAAAGCAGAAAACAATACCCTAATCAAGAAATTACCAAGGAGAAAAACTACACCCCCACCAACACTGGCAGACAAAGTTACTGTATATAAACAGGGAGAAAACTCCATGCTCATTAGCGCTAACATATTTAGATAACAAAATATTTGTAAGCAAATAACCAAATTCAGAGAACCAGGGAGTCCACACTTTGGTAAGACAGTACAGCCTGATCTCTCACCACAGAAGAAGCTTAATGCTCCTTCCATCTCTCCATAGTTGAACTTCTGTGATTATTTAAGAAAACACATACTTTATATACAAATTATAGATTAACAGATTAACAGAGTTGGAAGGGATCTTATAGGTCATCTAGTCCAACCCCCCATTCAAACAGGAGACCCTACACCATTTCTGACAAATGGCAGTCCAATCTTTTCTTGAAAGTCTCAAGTGATGAACAATGTAACTGTAAATTAAGATAATTCTTATTTGAAAACTAAATTCCTTTAAAGTTTATTGATTTCACTTTCAGTAAAAAATATTTATATAAAATATATTGGTATTTGCTCCAGAAATTTAAATGTAATTCTATCCCTATATTATTTTCAGTCAGTACCAAATAATAACTTTCAAATTTCAGGATGAATTAATGATTAATGAATTCATTACAGCAAATACATGTGTTATAATTGGGTATTAAACAATTTCCACTCTAAAGAATATTGTCACTGAATTTGGCTTCATCCTATAATTAAAGTAAACAGAACCTTTGTCCACATTTCAATCAGCTCATAACTGCAATCAGAAGGCATAAATATAAGATCTCCAACATATGTGATATAATTCACTCCATTTGGAGGAATTGTTAAACTATTGTTTGAACTGTCCAAGTCAGAACTACAATCTTGGTTTAGAATGGTTTTACCTAAAGCACGGTTTAGCAGTTCAACAGCACATTGTGGTTACTTAAAAGTAACATTAAAAATGATACCAGGCATGGGAAAACTGTGGCACCCCTTATATTAATGAGCTAAAAGTCCCAACATCCTATGCTATAGATTGTTGACTGCCTGGTGTTGCTCAAAATTGTAATTCAACAACATTAGGAAGATTATCAGTTATCCATTCTTTAGTTAAGTCCTCTAAGTAAGGAACAACAGGAAAGAAAAGGAAAACGTAGAAACAGGATTTATTCACCATCTCCTTCTTTGTGCTATAGCTGAAGGCAATCAGTGATCATACCACACTTTTTTACATACTTTCTTCATCTAGTTTGTTAAGCATGGCTTATTTAAACACACATCAGTGAATCACATTTTGTTAAATTAAGCAAAATTTGCAGTGTTATTAAAAATACACCATATATGGTACTCCAAAACAACAGTGGATAAGACAACAAATCTTATATATGATTTATCATATTTTTTGGACTGTAAGACGCTTCAGACTATAAGATGCACCTAGCTTTTGGGGAGGAAAACAAGAAAAAAAAATCTGCCTCTGCCTCCCAGTAATTTGCCTCCTTGCAGCAAACAGCCAACAGGCTGGTCAACTTCAGTACAGCCTGATTTAGCATGAGCAGCTGATTGGATCCCCGTCACCTGAAACGTGCCAAAAAGGGGACGTATGGAGGCTGAAAATCGGGTGCACGGAGGCAGAAAATGGGGTGCGCTGAGGCAGAAAATGGGGTGCGCTGAGGCAGAAAACGGGGTGCATGGAGGCCAAAAATGGGGTGCATGGAGGCGGCAATAGTGGCAGCAGCGATGGGTGGCGCTGGCGCCGATGGGCGGCAGCTATCCCTGCAGCCTGGAACAGCTGATTGGTGGTATTCCGGGAGGCTGATCCAACCACCAATTAGCCGCTCATGCTAAATCAGGCTATGCTGAAGCTGACCAGGCTGTTTGCTGTTTGCTGTAAGGAGGCAAATTGCTGGGAGGCAGAGGCCGAAGGATGGGGGCTGGCGGGTGGGTGGGGCTTCGGCAACATTCACTCTATAAGACGCACAGACATTTCCACCCACTTTTTTGGGGGGGGAGAAGTGCGTTTTATAGACCGAAAAATACAATAATTTACTTTCAAAATAATAAAAGTAAAAAGTATTATTCTTTAGTCATTTATTTAAAAAATATTCCCCTTATATCATATAAAAATTATTTTGAGAAGGTTGCACTTCAGACATTTGACACTATATAAGCATTAATGCCTCGGGCCATACATTCTTCACAAAAAACATGGTTTATTAAACAATGGCTAAATGCCCACAGCACACAAGACTAAAACCCAATACATTATATTATACTTAGTCTATTATTTGAAATCAGTCACAAACATGAGTCACTCAATTCAAAAGCAATAAGCCATTACCCATTGCTGCAGGGGAGAAAACTTTCCAGTCACTGCTTTTAAGACTTCCTGACTAGCAATACCACCAAGTGCAGCTGTGAGAGGAGCTAAAGAGCCCTGAGCCATCCTTGATAGCCATTTCACAATGTCTTCATTTACTTGATGCTATAATTAAAAACAAAAAAAATATTCCAGATATGAAAACATATACAAATTCTATAAAAAACAGCTATCCAACAACTCATCCAGAATTCATTCCTCATTCAAATTCAGCCTTCTTCTCACCACTGTAATCATAATCTGGCAAAGAGGTATCATATGAAAAAGCAGCTCTACAATTTTAAAAATAAATAACTGTGGTATAAAAACAATTGCCCTGCTACAAAGCACAAGATCATGCTGCAGGATTCTCTCCCCAACTCATTCACACCCACATGGCATGGCAGCAATCCCTAACCAGCCCACAAGCACTTACCACAGCATTCCACACCTCATTCCTAGTGTTCCCCTGCCTTTTGACTTACCTGCAAGCCACCCAGGACCAGAGGTGGGTTTCAGCAGGTTCTGACTAGTTCTGGAGAACCGGTAGCAGAATTTTTGAGTAGTTCGGAGAACCGGTAGTAAAAATTCTGACTGGCCCCGCCCCCATCTATTTTTTGCCTCCCAAATCCCAGCTGATCAGAAGGAAATGGGGATTTTGCAATGACCTTCCCCTAGAGTGGGGTGGGAATGGAGATTTTACAGTATCCTTCCCCTGCCATGCCCACCAAGCCATGCCCATCAAGCCATACCCACAGAACTGGTAGTTACAATTTTTGAAACCCACCACTGCCCAGGACATACAATTTCCAGTGACTTCCCCATTAACTTTGCTTGAGGGAAGTTGGCAGAAAGTTACTACTTATTGAGTAGTGAGATCCTTGCTTAATAAACCACAATTTTCCCTTAGCAATAGCAATGGGAACTGCCCAGATGGGCATCACAAAGTGATATGATAATGTGATGTCATGATTTATTACTGTGTCAATTAGAAACTGAAATTCCAGTCCAATTACTGTCATTAAGTGAGAAGTACCCATACATACTGTACAATTCTCTACCTAAACTGGAACAGAATTTGTCATATACAGGTCTCCACTTAACTTTCATAGTTAACATATCACCAGTGTTCAGAGATGCCTAATTCAAAACAACTGTGGTAATCTGTTTAATATTCTTGGCAGAAATATTTAGAAATATATAGTAATCGTAACTCCCTTTGTATTTATAAATTGTAATTTATTAGCCAACATGGTGCACCACAGTAACAGAACTTTCAAACATACATGTGGGAGTCTCATTTGCTCTCAAGAAAAGTGAACTGAAAAATAAACTAAAAAGTTTTAAGTATTACTGATCTTTAAAGGAATTACCTTGCCTTCCAGCATTTTATTTAAGGACAGAGCTATCTTCACCATTTCTTCAGCATCTTGAAGACATCTAGAGGCAAAACAAAAATAATGTAGCAACCTTATGCTACTTTTAAAAACATTATCAAACATTGTTTGATATCTGGTATTAGCTTTTATCTTCTGTTTATCTATTGAGGACTTGGCATAGGCAAATGTGGATATATTGTCCCAAAGGTGCTTTTTCAAGAGGCAACTGTACAACCATGACCTGGATAACTGAGAATCTCCATAGACATGTGGCTGTATTATTTATTAAATTTGTATGCTGCTGAATTATGCAGACTATCAGCAGATAAACATAAAATATAAAATATCCACAATAACAAGACCTAAATGCTGTACAATAAAACTTTATAGTATGAAGAAATAAAAAATAAACTGCAATCTTGATATCAAATTTAAAAAAAAAATTAACACCAGGGGAATTGCATAAAAATAGAAACATAATAATAATAATAAGCATTAACATGTATTTTAAAATTTTTAAATCCCTGGAAAAGTAGAATAGAAATAGCTCATCCAATATTTGAAATCTTCTTAATCAATAAATTCTGATTTCTGAAAATTATAATCCCAAAATATTTGAAAGGTACTGGGCTGAAAAAAAATCTGACATTATTGAACTTTTTAAAAATAGTTACTGCTGCTTTGGAAAAGGGAATTTGTTGCTGCTACCTATCACTTAATTTCAGACAGAATTCTTTCTTTTTCATCTTCATTTGCTCTTTAAAATGGCTAATTTGATCACAGAACGTTTTAGATTTTTTTTATACCAATAGTTTATTTTAATTCTGGAAATAAATACTGGATTAATTTATACAGACAAAAAGGTAATGCAGATTGGTCATTTGGGGTGGTTCCTTCCACCAATTTGTTTTAATTTAATTTAATTTAATTTAATTTAATTTAATTTAATTTAATTTAATTTAATTTAACGCATTTCTATGCCGCCCAACTCCCAAGGGACTCTGGACGGCTTACAGCAAAAATAATGCGACCAATGAACATAGAAAAATTATTTAAAAACATTATAAAAACATTTTAAAAACATTAAGCCCATGCACACCATTCATGGCCGGATCTCGCAAGATTGCAACAGCGAGATCAACGGCCCCAGCCTGCCAGAAAAGCCAGGTCTTCACCACTTTCCAGAAGGCCAATAGGGTGGGGGTAGTCCGGATCTCAGGAGGTAACTGGTTCCAGAGAGCTGGGGCAGCCACAGAGAAGGCCCTCCCCTGCGGGCCCGCCAGCCAGCATTGTTTAGCTGACGGGACCCGGAGGAGACCAACTCTGTGGGATCTTACCAGTCGCTGGGAGCTATGCGGTAGAAGGTGGTCTCGAAGATAGCCTGTTCCTGAGCCATGTAGGGCTTTAAAGGTAATAACCAACACCTTGAATTATGCCCGGAGACCAATAGGGAGCCAATGCAGCTCGCGGAGAATTGGTGTAATGTGGGTTTATCTAGGTGCACCACAACAGCTCGCGCAGTTGCATTCTGGACCAACTGTAGTCTCTGAACACTCTTCAAGGGTAGCCCCATGTAGAGCGCGTTGCAATAATCTAACCGTGAGGTGACAAGAGCATGAGTGACTGTGAGGAGAGCCTCCTGATCTAAGTAGGGTCCCAATTGGTGCACCAGGCGAACCTGTGCAAAGGTTATAGCATATAAAGAATGCTATTCTAGTATAGTAAAGTCATAAGGATTATGAGATTTGGCACAAACAGAAAGCAACTGCTCAATAAAGTGTAAAAACTCTTTCAATTAAAATTAGGATAATATTTGGGTTGACATCTACTATTAACAGAATCTAATAAGTGGGAGGCTGATTCATTGAGCTCCATGTGCCTCCTTGAAGTATTCTGACACATTTGATGCTGAAATCAAGAAAGTAAAATCAGAAGATATCTTCTCCCCCTGCTATCCCTCACTACTACTAATGACAGTTAGAACAATTAATCAGTGGAACAACTTACCTCCAGATGTTGTAAATGCTCCAACACTGGAAGCTTTTAAGAAGAGATTGGATAACCATTTGTCTGAAATAGTGTAAGGTTTCTTGCCTAATCAGGGAGTTGGATTAGAAGACCTCCAAAGTCCCTTCCAACTATTCTGTTATATGCTATTCATGCCTCGGGATCCTAAGATTTCCATGACATTGTAGACTGAAATTCTACCCTAGCACAAAATACAACAGCACAATTGCTGAAAATTCACATTGTAGGAAAGCTTTTAAATTGTTTTTATATCTCGATTTTGGAAGGCTTTCATGATGATAGATGAATGAAGATGTTTTTGTTTAAAGAAAGAAAAACAGGCCAAGAGATAGAATCATAGGGTTGGAAGGGACCATTTTGCCATTAAACCTAAGCTCCTCTATATAGTAAACCAAAGAAAACCACCCTCAACAGATGACTGCCCAACCTTTGCTTGAGTTATTAATTTACGTTTCTGAAATAGTCAAATGGGTTGCAGTTTTTCTGAGCTACAGTGAAATTTAATACTTTAATTTCCTCAATTATTCCACCAGATCAAGGATAATGGAAGATTCTACCTGATCAGATGGCATATAGAATAAATAATAGACAGTTTTCAAGTGTTTCCAGGGCAGAATAGCCTGAAACAAGTTAGGTTTGTACAACTATCTTCTGGATCCAGAAAGTTGGACCTGTCCATCAGTCCTGAAACATCGATAGAATGAAAACCTACTGAAAACAGTAACTTGTCCAAAAGCAAATGCAAAAAATTAATTAATTAAATTAAACCTCAATTAATTGCTGAATTAGACACTGAGCTTTAACTCCTCCTGCTTTCTGAAAGAGAGAGAAAAAATACTTTTTGTTGGTGCCAGTGTTGGCTCCTGCCAACTTCCAAGACTAATCCCTGCAGGTTTGGGCAAGATTTTTCTAGAGTTGAGCAAGAAAGACTGGCCAAATGTTTCCCAGATAGCTTTGTGCCCAAGACAAGACTATAATTTATAATCTCCCAATTTTTAGCCTGATGCTTTAACTACACTAAACTGTCTCATATTGTAAGGATGACTTGGACCTTTTTAAATGAGCTGAACACTTTTTTTTTTTTTGGGAAGATTTGAGGCATCAAATAGTACCCCTGCAAGGAAAGCTGTGCCCTATCCTGATGAGAAAGTGCTTAGCTTTGATGTTACCTCTGTCTGAATGACATTATGGAAAGTTAACATTCGGAAAGCAGCAGGACCATATAACATTCCTAGCGTGTTCTTAGGGAATGGGCTGATGAGCTGGCTTGTGTTCTTACAGATATTTTCAATCTTTCATTGCAACGGGCGGTGGTTTCATTGTGTTTTAAGACTGCCATTATTTTGCCAGTGCCAAAAAAGTCTCCAATCACAGGTCTTAATGATTACTGTCTGGTTGCACTTATGTCCATCATTATGAAATATTTTGAAAGGCTGATAAAGGACTTTTTTGTATCCAGCCTCCCTGCAGCAAATGACTCACTTCAATTTGCTTATCGTCCAAATTGTTCCATTGAGGATGCTATTTCCTATGTTCTCCATCTGAGCTTGGCACACTTAGAGGAAAGAAATACTCATGTGCGAATGCTATTTGTTGACTTTAGTTTGGCATTTAATGTGATTATTCCTCTGTATTTAGTAAATAAAGTGGGCCTTTTAGACTTCAATACTGTTTTGCGCAATTCGATTTTAATTTTCTCATTGATAGGCCCCAGTATGTGCGAGTTGGGGTTAATATTTTTAACACTACGTGTCCTAAGAGCTGTGTCCTAAGTCCGCTGTTGTTCATCTTGCTAACCCATGACTGTTGTGAAAGGTTTGCTACAAACCACATTGTGAAGGATGCAGATGGTACAACAGTAGTGGGTCTTATGCAGGATGATATTGAAGTGATTACTGGAAGGAGGGAGGTAGAGTGTTTATTATTGGTGTAATAAAAACAGCCTGTTTTTAAATATAGGAAAAATAAGAAATCATTGTTGCTTTCAGAAAGGGCAAGCACAGCCATACACCTTTGTGTATTAATGCTTCAACTATAAATACACTATGGTTAGTAGTATCAAGGTTTTGGGAGTGCAACTGACGAGGGATTAGCTTGGTCCTCAATCAGTGAGACACGAAGCGGACACAGCAGCACCTGTATTTTCTGTGACGTATGAGAAGAACATATCTTCCTTCCACTATCCTTACCACTTTCTATAGAGAGATGACTGTTGTATTGTGTGTGTGTGTGTGTGTGTGTGTATGTGTGTGTGTGTGTGTGTGTGGTTTGGAAGTATTACTGTTTTCTACAGAAAGGCTGTTCAGAGTGGTAAGGATTGCAGAAAAGGTTATTGAAAGTTCAATTCCTCCTATCCAAAAAAGATTATTGAAAGTTCAATTCCTTCTATAGCATATAGGTGCTGCTTGACCAGGTCGGCAGTATTGTCTGGGATGCTACACATCCTCTCCATGACTTGTTTTCTTTATTACCTTCCTGGAGAAAGCTTCACAATATCTGAAGCAGAAACAGCTAGATTCTGTAGTAGCTTATAATATTAACCTTAACTCTCAATAGCAATAGCACTTAGACTTATATACTGCTTTACAGTGTTTTACAGCCCTTTCTAAGCAGTTTACAGAGTCAGCATATTGCCCCCAACAATTTGGGTTCTCATTTTACACACTTTGGAAAGATAGAAGAATGAGTCTATCTTGGTGGGATTTGAACTGCCAAATTGCAGACAGCCAGCAATCAGCAGAAGTAGCCTGCAGTACTGCACTCTAACCACTGCGCCACTGAGGCTCAATACTTTTTTCTACTATGTATTCTAAATGGTCTGTGATTATGTGATTAATATCTATATGTATGTATATGTGTGTGTATACATACGTACAAATAGTATATATGTATATACACATGCATAGATATAGATAGACAGATATAGATATCATAGGTATATGTATATGTATGTGCATATGCATGTATGTGTGTTCACAGAAAAAAGTGACAATAAAGGTTATCTTATCTTATTTACAATTAAACCACTTCAACTCCATTGTAATAAATAAGACTTAAATAAAAAGTTAAGTATGCATAAAATTGCAATTTAACTTAATCAAATCAAGAAATAAGCAAATATAAATCTATTAAAATTTACATCTACTTAATTATAATATTTATGTAACTATGATTATTCATGTATTTACCCAATGTTTGGCATGCGAGCAAAACTCTCCTGAAATTCATTCAAAGCAAGCATAGCAATATGAATCTGTAGAGGTGCCTATAAAAAGAACAAATATTGTACAGTACAAGGTTAAAAAATATAGTTTTCCAAAGTATACCTGTTTCCCCAAAAATAAGACATCCCCTGATAATAAACCCAATCGGGCTTTTGAGCACATGCGCTATAATAAGCCTCCCCCTGAAAATAAGCCCTCCTCAAACATATTTAAATGCAGAGCTAGAAATCAGGTAAGACAGCAAGAGGAGCCCCATCTTGCTCCATGAGCCCCAAAATAATAGACTTTCCCAAAAATAAGGCAATATAAGATAGGGTCTTATTTTTGGAGAAACACGGTAACTATATTATGTTGTTATACAACAAAAACCCCAACAAATCTTCTGGCAGTAAAGTCTAAATGATTTATTATGGCATAAGCTTTCATAGTTTAAAGCCCTCTGAGCAAAATACATACTGGCATCTTTAATGTTAACAAATCTGACAAAATGGACACTAATCCTAATAAATCCTATTTCTAGAACATGCTACAAAATTCATTTTGTTTTTGTTCAATTTAATTTACAGTCATATCCAGCTTGAGCTTCTTTTCCAAATATCTGCCATATTCTTTTTTGCAAATCTCCATAAGAGACTTAAATAAATTATTTTCACAAGTACATTTTTTCTTTTACAGCTTATTTATTTTTAAATATAATTAATGACTTAAGGATTTTAAGGGGATAGTCAACTCAGCAAGCAGTATTCTGGCATTAATATATATAACGTTGCTTTTTCTATGTATGGATGTGTGTGTGTACACACATACTTTCATATATACATACAATTTATAGAGCCTCCCATCTGACAGCAGTAAATCTGAATAGTATACTAAGTTTAAAGCCATGACAACTACCATTTTAAGCTCATAATGCAGTAATGAAACAATAACCCTCCAAACAAAACCACATCACCAAAAGAGCTTAGCTAACTGCCTGACCCAAAAGACTGGAGAAACAGCCAAATGTTCAGAGTCACCTAGATCACTGCAGCAGGGGGGGGGGGGGGGGGGGATGCTATTCCATGAAGCAAGTAAAGCCTCAGAAGCCACAAAGATCATATGTTGATACAAAGTGTAGTATCATCAGTAGGTTAATGATACCAAAATATATATCTTTGCCTTAGAAGAGGGGTCTGCAAACTTAAACACTCAAAAAGCCATTTGGACCTGTTTCCCACAGAAAAGAAAACACCAGGAGCCACAAAACCTGGGTGGGCATGGCCAACTCAATGTCACTCACTCCCACCCAGTCACATGACCTCTCTAGCCTACCCAACCGGTCATTAGGGCAGAGAGAGAGAGAGAGAGACAGACAGAGAGAGACAGACAGACAGAGAGAGAGAGAGATACAGAGAGAGGGGGAGACTGGCTGATGGGTGAGCGTCCTTGGTGAGGGTGCTCTGGCTTTCTCCAAGCCTGACCCTTATGTGGGCATGCAAGGTTCAGCGGGGCCAGCCCCCTTTTCCTGCTGCCCTGAGCTTCTTTACTCCTCCAGCAGAGTGGTGCCACCATCGGCTTTCATTGAAAAGTGTCCTCCAGATGGGGAAAGTCCCCCGTGCAAGTTTTAAAGCCATGGCTGGATGCTGCAGACCCGTCCCCCTTTCCATCGTCTCTTCCTCTCAGATCCCATTCCCACCCCAACCCTCAAGTTAGCCAGCGTTGGTTGCTGCTGGGTCAGGCCAGTGTCTTGGTGCAGAGAGCAGGTTGCGCATCTCCCCAAGCAACTGAGGCATTTCCCCAAGCGACCGAGGCATGCCCAGCACCAACAAGGGCCGGAAGAAGCTCCAGCAAGAGTGAGTGACGGAGAATCAGCCCCGGCCCCTTCTCAATCCCCTGCCGTCGCCCTTAACTTTTCAAGCAAGGCAAGGAGTGACTGGAATGGGAGAGCGAGGGCAGCCAGTGGTGGAATCACCTGACAGGGAGCCACAGCAGAGGGCTCAAAGAGCCGCATGCAGCTCCGGAGCCATGGGTTGCCGACACCCATCTTAGAACAACCAAATGATGTCCAAAGCCTAGAGGTTGTGTGAGACTGGATGGGGAGAACAGGCTTGGCTCAAATTCTGGCAAAACTGAATGGCTATGTATTTTAAGGCTCCTTGGTTCTGCAAATTTGGCTCATTCATTACTTTTATTGATGTCCCAGGACTTCAACCAAGGGCACCAGCATCAAGCTCATGGAGCCAATCAGCTGCCAACTTCCATTAAGTCACCTGACAACCTTGCCCCTCCAATCTTCCTGTAAACTGTCAGAATTGCTTTGTACTCTTCCAAATCTTGTTGCCACTGAACATCACAACTTTAGTTATTAGATGTAATAGGTTTCCTCCATCTCAAATCAATAATACTCTAGAACAGATGTGGAGTTGGCCCACTGGCTGTTCCAGAGACAGTGAGACCCCAGCCCTGCCGCCCTGGGCTTGGCAATGCCCACCCAGTTGGCTGCAATGACTAGGCCACACCCACCCCAGCTCCCCCAAGGGAAAACAAAATCCTGATGCAGTCTGTGACAGGATTGAGTTTGATACCCTGCTCTAGAATCTAGACCACCAAATCTACAAGCTCCACAATCACATATGCAACTCCTATATATACACATATGTGCCTGTATGTGGATGACTAATATTAAATAGTAATATTTAAATAAAGCCTGGAAACATGGCTTTACCATCTGATCTAGGGATCCAATATTGTGACTATGCAAAATTTACACTATATGGTCTTAATGGATTTATTGCTTTGAATGTTTTAAATGCTTTGTATTTTTATATGTTTCTAATGTGTTGTTAACTTTGCTTGCTGCCCAAAATCACATACATGAGATGTGTCACTATATAAATTTACCAAATTAACCAACCAAATAAATAAATGGAAAAAGTCAACAGAATAAAGTTAAGAATTCGTGAATTTATTTATTCTACTCTGCTATGGTACTTGAAATGAATTAGTATTAGTAGATGAATTAGAATTAGTAGATGATAGCACATCTTATCTTCAATTGTTATTTATTAGCCTGTTCATTTTGTTCTATATTGATTTGTATTAAATTTAGTTTATGTCATCATAATGTTGAATGTTTTGCTGAATCTAAATATTTGAAAAATATTATTTATTTAAATGGATTTATGTTGATTTTTCACTATTTTAAGTACTATTTTGAAAAAAAACAGCATATAAATAAAATTAATTTAATTCATGTGCATTCAATAAATTATTTTTAAGCTCAATTATCTTTATATATTCCAAATAAACTAACCTCAGGTTTGCTGAAGTCAGCAATAAGATTGGTTGGATTATACAACTGCTTCTCCAATGGTTCCTAGGAGGAAAAATGAATCTATATATAATTTCCAAAACAAAGAAATAATCATAGGCAAACTGAATTATGATTGTTCATATTTTTCAAACTCATACATTAATATTAGCATAGTACAATAGCAGAAACAACCCAAAAAATGGAATGTGATCCCAAAGAGTGGAAAAAATAAAAATGTTTTAAATAGAGAGTTTCAAGAGGATAAAATCCCATCATCCTCCACAGAAAAATCACCAGCAACAAGGTATAGTTTTTGAGCCAATCACAATGAGCGTAATCTTTTATTATTCCACAATTATCAGTTAAAAAGTACTGTACTACTGCTCCTACATCCAAGCACCAAAATTCTTTTAGGACAGGGGTTCCCAACCCAACCCCCAGCCATGGACAGCATCAGTCCGCAGCCCACCAGGAACTGGAACTTGCAAGTGAGCAAAGCCCTATCCGTGCATGTGCAGAATCATGAAACTATGCTCCTTTTCCAGGCAGCATAAAAATCACACTCCATAGAACCGATCTCTGGCACCCAAAAGATTGGGGCAGCTGTTTTAGGATATTAAAATGGGTGAACTAAGTATTTGTATGAGAAGACTGTTGCAGTTCTTGTTAATTTACCTATGGTTTACTCAATTACTTTTTTCAACCCAACCATATGGGCTAAGTTTACACAATAGACTAACAGTAAAGGTTCTATATTTTTTTAAAAAAATATATCAATGTAATATATTCTAGCTAAACAACTTATGAATATTTGACGTGTCTCATCAGATTCTCATGGGATCCTATTCTTCCTAATTTCTTAGACACTTTGCCTTGAATTTGTTATACTGTTCTGTTCTGTTCTGTTCTGTTCTGTTCTATTGTTCTGTTCTGTTCTGTTCTGTTCTGTTCTGGTCTGTTCTGTTCTGTTCTACCCTACCCTACCCTACCCTACCCTACCCTACCCTACCCTACCCTACCCTATTCTATCCTTTCCATTCTACTCTATTTCAAAAAATAGAGGTTCTTTAGTTACAATGCTAGGCTAAAACTTGCTTAACTAGTTCAGTATATTGTTTATTCAGTGAATCAGTCCTTGCTTAGAAATCACAATTGGGAATGACAATTTGATTGCTAAGTCTTGTGGTGCCTAAGTGGAAGATCACATGACCATCATGGCCTTATGATCCTACTTTCCTTCCAATCATTAAATTAAATGTTATGGTTGCTAAAAAAAATAATATGATTGTGACTTATAGTTTTACTTCTGTCTTCTATATTAATTGCTTCTCACAAGCCAGTTGCAAAGCCTACAAATGGTGATCACATGAATGAGGCATGCTATAATGGTTGAAAATGCACCCTGGTTGTGAAGTACATGAGTGGTGATCAGGTGAATGCAGGATGCTGCAATAATTGTAAATGTAAGAACTGGTTGCGAAGTTATTTTTTTTAAGCAGTCATAACTTCAGTCACTAATGAGACAGTCAGTAAGGAAGGACAATATATATATTAGTTAGATACAGCTGAAAATTTTAGATCAGAAAAACTCAGAATTGATTCTCTAATGAAACTAATAAAAATATGTAACGATCATATTTTTGACCAAAAATCATAAAAAATAAAACAACTTAAAGCAGAAGGAAAAATAGATTTTAAGGGATCAATAATTAGAAACAGGCACACAAACAATAAAATCCTGATCAAAATATTTAGGACAAATTGCTACATGCCAAAAGGCAGCAAACCTCACTCCCTTGTGTAAAAGCCCTAATAAAGATTAGAAAGATTCTGTTTCCTACAGAAGATTTAGAATCTATTTTTCTATGCCAAAGAACTTGTTATGAAGTAGTAAAAGGTAACCAAACTTTTATACCTACCATATACATAGTTTCTTCTTTGAATATGCACCAAGTATGCATTCAAATTTGTACCAACCAAGTATTCCTGGTTTTCTGCATATGTGTGTACTTTCTTCATATACAACACATTCCTCTTCCCTTTTCATATGGCCAGTTTCTTTTAAATAACTTATACACCTCAATACTGGCATTCCACTTGTGAATTCTATCAAACCAGGGTTTAATAATGTTTGCTAAACCGTATTTGCCTGCCTCATTAAGATTTCTCATTCTTCCTGATTATTCCCCATACATTAATTCATCACATTCAGGTCAATAAAATCTAGAAGAATAAATACACATCCTGTGTTATCTTTAAAGTCACTTACAAAATGAAATACTTTAGGTATCTTTACTTGGACAGCTATACCACCATGTAAATAAGGTTCCATATCTGCAGTATTCCCAATGCTGAAGGAATAAGGTGATATCACTGAAAGAGAGAAATCAGTTGGGGAGGGGAGATTTTATTTTACTTATCTGATAATCTTAAATAAAAAGAAACTGAAAATGTTTGTTCTATATCGTTCTACACATCTAGTTTGACTTTTATTGTTTTGAACTCAGTTCTGAACTAATCAACCCACACAATGGTAAGCTAATTTTCTATCATATACAATTATATAAAAATGGAACAAAGTTCATTACAAAGTAATGAAATTCTATTCCATGACTACAAAAAGAACTATATAACAATCAGAATAATATAAAATGAAAAAGTATTTAATAGTAATATGCAGAACTCTCTGGTGTGGGAATGGAACACTCCAGGGAATCCTTCTACAGACTATGTTCTTCTAAGGTAGTTTTGGTGGTTTTTCTGAAAATGAATCCTATAAACCTAAGTGGCTTGAAATGTTTGGGACATGGAATTCCAGGCCAGTTTTGTCTGGAATGCCTAATATTTAAATATTGGCCACTAACAAACCTCTTGGATGAAAAGGAAGAATATATGTCTATGAAATTCATAAATAAAATTGGTTGGGATTGTTAACACAGAAAATAATTTCAAAATAACATTGGTAGTTTAGAGAAGTGAGAACAGCCAAGACTTTAAGGTTTTCTGGAAGGTCAAAAGTGGGAGTTATATGGATATCAGGAGGAACCTCATTCCAGAGAATAGGTGCCACAAAAGAGAAGATATGCTTCCTGGGTTCCACAAATGACGTTTAATTGAAAGGACCCAAGCACGCCAATCTTGTTGGCTCATACTATATATCAGTAAGAAGACACCAAGGGAGATAGGTGGTTCCTCAGATCAATCAATCAAACAGAATAGAGCTGGAAGGGACCTTGGAGGTCTTCTAGTCCAGCCCCCTGCTCAAACAGGAGACCCTATATCATTTCAGACAGATAGATGTCCAGTCAATTCTAAAACCTCCAGTGATGAAGTACCTATAACTTCTGAAGGTAAGCTATGCTACTGGTTAATTCTCACTGTTAAAGTTTCTCCTTAATTCCAAGTTGCTTCTCCCCTTGATTAGTTTCCATCATTTCTTGTCTTGCCTTCTGATGCTTTGGAAAATAGATGGACCCCCTCTTCTTTGTACCAGGCCCTCAAATACTAGCCATACCCAATTCCTGCAACTGTTCTTCATATGTTTTTGTCTCCAGGTCTTTTATCATCTTCGCTGCTTAGACTTTGCACTTCTTCCAAAGTCTCAACCTATTTTTGTAATGCGGTGACCGAAAGTGGATGCAGTATTCCAGGTGTGTCTTATTAAGTGTTTATAAAATGGTACTATTACTAATACTTACTACCAGTAAGGATTTATACAGTGATACTAATACTACCAATAGATTTTGATTCTACGCCTCTGTTTATACAACCAAAGATTGTATTAGGTTTTTTGGTTGCTGTCACACTGCTGGCTCATGTTTAAGTGATCATCCACTAGGACTCCAAGGACTCTCTCCCAGTTTTCTTGTTGTTTATATGTTAAGAAACTTCTTTTTTTTATTCATTCTGAGCCTTTGCTTTCATCTTTGCAAATTCAGGCTACCTGTTGTTATTCTGCCTTAGTTATGTGTCCCTCTTTCCATTTTTTGTATTTGTCCTTTTTGTCTTTCAGTTTATCAGAGAGATCTTTGTATAACCATGCTGGTTTTTTCTTGGATTTCTTGTTTTTTTCTTTTTCAGTGGTATTGTGCTGGACTGGGCTTTTATGATCATATTTTTCAGAGTTCCCCATGCTTCTTGAGTTGTTTTCTGCTTTAGGATTTTTATCCATGGGATTTTTCTTAGGGTCGCTCCCAGTTAAAATCAGCTCTTTTAAAGTTTTAAGACACTGGCTGGTTATATTCTATTGCTTGTGTTCACATTATACTGAATTCCAATATGACATGGTCACTCTCGCCTAAAGTTATGGAGACTTCACCTCAGGGGTGAAATTAACTTGCCCTTGCTACTGGTTCGCAACTGTGAGCACGCACGCGCCCCTCCTCCACACTTGCGCAGAGCCTTCTGCGCCTGCGCAAAGGGTAAAAAACGGGACGTGATGACGTACGGGTGGGTGGGCGGAGCCTCCCGCCACAGGCGCTACCAGTTCACCCGAGCCGGATAAACCGGCTTAATTTCACCTCCCTCATCACTTCTTCTCTATTAGTAAGAATTAGGTTCAATATAGCTTTTCCTCTAGTTCACTCCTATACCTTTTGGATGACAAAGTTTTCAGCTAAATTGGTTGGAAATCTGTTCAATCTCCCACTTGCTGCAGTTTGTCTCCCAATTGATAGTTAAAGTCTCCCATTATTACTGTGGTATGTTTCCTACATACATTTGTTAATTGATTAGCAAAGACTTCATCTTTTCTTCTGCTTGGTTGGGTGGACTGTAGTATATGCCTATAGCAATGTCATTCTTTTTTCCTTTTATATTGATCCATATGGACTCTAGGTGGTTTTCATCCTTGGTTTTGTGCATTTCTGTAGAGATGTAATGAAATAATGAGGTTTTTCCATGTAGATCTTTATAGGTCATAATCAATAACTTGAATTGCATCCAGAAGCATACTGTTAACCAGTGCAACTCACACATGTGGCACAAACGTTTCCTAGACATAGTTGCCACTTGTTCAATGAACAGGAACTGTAAATCCATGAAGAGCTCCAAATTGTGCTTCACTCTTAAATGGGGAAGTGCAACCTTATCCAAAATTAAAGATAGAGTACCCCCAGATCTAGGTCTTGATGAGATTGAATCAGAGGCAGTTCCTCAACATCCAAATGTGCACAACCTCCAGAAACTAGGAAAGAACCTGGACTGCCTTCCCAGGTTGAAGGTTGACAGATTGGGTATCATCAATCTACTTATATTTGGGGTGGCATTGTGGCTCAGCAGTTAAGACACCAGGTTTATCGGTTGGAAAGCCAACAGTCCAGGTTCCATGATGTCATGCCAGCCACATCACAATGAAAACATTTTCAAACAGCACTGGCTCAACAGCCTTGAAATGGAGAATGAGCACTGTCTCTGTAGTTGGCAGTGCCCTATAGATGCTATCATCTCAAAAAGCTTTGGCCAATCTCTTCCTCGCATATGTGTTCTCCTTGATTTTAAGATCTTCACTATTGCCTAAGATTGCTTCATCTGCAATCTTCAATTTGCTTTTCTTTGTGGAATTGTTTGTGATTTTAACAATAATTTTATCTAAGAACATCCTGCTATTTTGAGTTTCTTTCCCATTAGTTTGACTGGCTAGAAAAAATCTGTTTTTTAAAAATCCACTTTAAGTTGAAGAATTTGAAGTGGTACATCATAATTCTGCTCCAGTGATCAGTTTGGAACATGCACTGTACTTAAAGGTGTGCATTTCAGAGGAAATATTATTTCTTCTTCTAAAGAATCCACCCATACCCCTCCACCGAAATTGTTCAAAGGTCATTTGTTTCTCAGACACCTAGGGTAGGGATAGTTTACAGTGTCTGTTATTGTGCAGAGGATATGACATATTTATTGAAGGCAGTACTGTCAAAAGTATCAAAGGATTTCATATTCTCCAAGATAAATACTTGAAATGTTCCAGCTGATGCTAATCAAAATGTGTCCTGGTAAATTATTTTTCGTGTTAGGTCTAATACTCGGTGTGGCATGACATAAATCTAATACATTCAAATAAAATAAGACATTGAAACAATGCTTACAAATGGACTGTGTAAATTTGGTTGTGCTGTCTATCTAAAACCATACAGTAGCTATTTTTGCAGGTATTATTAATCTTTATTAATAAATTATAGAATGAATACAAAATGCATAAAATATATTCAGGAACCTTTAGGAAGGTGGAATAACCAAGAATTTAGAATCCTTTTGTAAGAATTAACTTGTTAACTGTTTTTCTCATGATAGTAATGTATTGTCCCCCTACTTCAAAATTCCCCCAGAACAGACATTTTGGATATAAATTTTTCTTGCTATAAATTTAATTTATAAAGATACGTTTTTACTATTGCTGCACAGTTTGAAAAAAATTAGGCTTACCACTTATTTGATGGGTAGATCCATTTAAAGATGTCATTCCATTGATTTCCCGGAAAGTTACAAATTGTCCAGTTTCAAGTTTATGAGGATTATTATCAAGGCAGGTGACAATACCACAAATTGCCTGAAATTGGAACCCACCAAATATCAAGGAAAAATAAGGTTGCAGTAAAAATTCAAACACAATTCTTATTCTTGACTTGATTCCTGATAAATACATGGACATGCAGTTTTCTTGGTAAGATTGATAATATTTTTGGAAGTTTGTCAATACTTTCAACTGGAATTTTTAACCTCCAGATGTAAGGCGAGAGAGATAAAAAACTAGCTTCCACATCTAAGGTAAAAATATTACCTGCTCCTAATCGTATTCTAAGTTTATTTAATAATTCCAAGATATGACCGGAAGATTAACACAAATGTCAATATGAAAATTACTGTATTTTAACAATGATCATAATCAAAACTCTACATGTATAATCAGACTGATAAAATTGCAGTAGAAGGTATGCACATACTGACTAATGCATCCCTCCCCCAATGGAGATTCCACTATATGACACTGACGATGTTGACTGAAAATTTTTCCAAAATAAGTAAATAAAGATTTTTTTCCATTTTGTAAATTTATTCAAATGGATATTGATTAAAATATTTGGTTGGCTTGGTAATTTCAACATTTTATTTTTTTGGATGAATATAGTAAGTAAGATATATGAAAAAAATATAAGTCATTACATTGTAAATAGATGAAATAAAAAAAATTAGACAGTTCATCTAAAATGATTAAGTAATACATTTAGCCTTAAGGACTGCAAATGTATGAATTATAGGTAGTCTTTACTGACTAAAATTGGGATTGGCAACTCGGTCACTAAGCAACTCAATAATTAAGCACAATTTCACATGGCTGTGCCATCTTACAATACAGGTTATGATCATAATGGAGCCTGTCCATTAGGGTCAAAAGTCAGGAATACATTAAGTGATCTACTTTAAATGAATGAGCCCCTATTTTGGCTCTCCCCACTTTCATGGACCACTTAAAGGAGGAAATGGCTTACATGCTTTGCCCAAGAGTGTGATAGGCAGGTCACAAAACAGGGTTTTGAGGGGCTGCCACAAAGAAGGACAGGCAATGTATTTTCCAAAGCAGCAGAAGGCAAAACAAGAAGCAATGGATGGAAACTGAACAAAGAGAGAAGTAACCTACAACTAAGGAGAAATTTCCTGACAGTGAGAACAACTAACCAGTGGAACTGTTTTGTCTCCAGAACTGGGTGCTCCAACACTGGAAGATCTTAAGAAGAGACTGGACAGCCATTTCTCTGAAATGGTATAGGTCCCCTCCAAGGTCCCTTCTAAGTATTATTCTGACACCTTTCCCTGGCCCTCCACTCAGATTTGGCACCCTGAGCAGGGGATTGGACTAGAAGACCTCCAAAGTCCCTTTCAATACTGTTATTCCTGAGCTAAATAGCTAAGACCCTCATTGGGGGCCCCCATCTTTTTTGCTCGTTAAAGAGCTGCCTCTAGATAGTCTTTTTAATAAGATTTTTAGAAACCTGCAGTTAAAAGTTCTTCATGTCTCCTTACCCTGAAGACCCAATTTCATTTGGTATTTAATCCCAAATTGATTGCCCGTTTAGCATTTCTCTTGACACTTCTCCAAAATGCACCCCCAAGAAGCCACATCTCTCTCCCTCTCCCTCACACACACACACACACACACACACACACACACACACACACACAGAGGTTGGATTGGATATCTCTCTTCCACCCTCCTTCCCTCTCTGCTTTAGGCTTAGAAAGTTTGCCAGTGCTGCTCCATTTGGCAATGCTTAAGGAGAATTAGGGGCTAGAGACAGTTGACATTCCTATTTCTGTTAAAGTTGAGGCTATCAGAAAGAATTTTTGGCAGGCACGCACAATGCCTTCTTCTCAGCCTCTCAGCACTAATGAGGCATTACTCTACTCTACTCTACTCAGCACTAATGAGGCATTACTCTACTCTACTCTACTGCCCAGGGAAGGCAAAGCCTCTCATTTTGTACAAGCCATCTGCTGCCGGTGGATACACACATGCGCGAGCGAGTTAGAGGCCCTTCCTTCCAGCCTTTGCCCAAAGCCCTGTGCCGCAGCAGGAGGCTGAAGTTTGAGCAGCTTCCCTTCCAAGCAGTTCCCTACGAAGGGAGGAGGAAAAGTTCGGCCAAGTTGTATTCTCCTTCTCGGCTTCAAACACCCAGAGCCAACATACACCCAGAGCCAACATACACACAACTCACAGCACCGGAGGGACTCGCCCACACATCGTGTTTTCGCAGAAGGTAGCAGCATTGTGAGATGTGTGCATGTTTGCTCTGTATGTATACCGGAGGAGGAGAAGAAGCCAAAGCCGAACTTTTCTGCCTCCCTTTGCAGCAGAGCTGCTCGAAAGGCAGCTCCTGTGGCCTGTCCCTTTATGGTCCCCCCCTCCTCCCTGCATCAAAGTACCTTAAAAGGACAGGCTGCAGCGGCTGCCTTCTGAGCAGCTCTGCTGCGAAGGGAGGGAGAAAATTTTGGCCAAGTCTTCTTCTCAGCCTCAAATATACACACAGCAAACATGCACACACCTCATGGCACCGGGACCTTCTGCGAGGAGATGGTGTGTGGGCAAGTCCCTCCGGCATAGCAGGCTGCGAGCGGCACCAGTAGGCAATAGGGTGTGTGTGCGCAGCCGGCGCAAAGAGCCGAGGTGGCGCAGTGGTTAGAGTGCAGTACTGCAGCTACTTCAGCTGATTGCTAGTTCAGCAGATCAGCAGATCAAATCTCACTGGCTCAAAGTTGACTCAGCCTTCCATCCTTCCAAGGTGGGTAAAATGAGGACCCAGATTGTTGGGGGCAATATGCTATTTAGTATACTGTCTTTGGTATAAGCTGCCCAGAGTCCTCGGAGAGTGGGCAGCATAGAAATATGACTAATAAAATAAAATAAATAAACAGGGCGGAGACAGCACTTCAGGCCTCTTTTTCAGCCAGTAGTTTTTGGCAGTTTTCAGCACGAGAAGCTTGCCAGGAGTTTGGGGAGTGGTGTCAAGCTGGGCACGCCTACCCAGTCAGCCACACCCAGTGAGTGGCATCAAGCTGGCCATGCCCACCCAGTTAATCACAGCCATCCAGTTGGCTACAACACACCCCAGCCCCCCACCCCCCCAAGGTCCACCACAGCCCTGATGCAGCCCTCAATGAAATTGAGTTTGACACCCCTGCTCTAGAATATTAAAAAAAAGAAATTTCCTCTGCACTAAATTTATCTTTATCATCCCCACATCTAATCTTCAGATGAACAATACCACTACTAAAAGCACATTTCCCATAAAAGACAATTCTGATGTACTACTTATAACTGCATAGCATACAACATTATCATCTGTATAATACTGCTGTATACTTTCTCTATATATGAATTAAAAAATTTAAGGATTTAAGTTAAAACGCTTAACATATTAAAAAAAATCAATATTTAAAAAATTTTCACCTGAGATATGTTTGAAATGAAGATTTCTTTTGGTTCCTCTCCTGTGGTATCTAGGACTTCAAATTCATCACCAAAGTCACAAAACAGACGTGCCCATATTCCATATACATCTGCACTTATAAACTGTAAGAACGACCCAAAGTAATGACAATCAGATTTCACAATTCTTGCATCAAATACTTTATTTTGCTACTGCTGATGAAAGAAGAAAAGTTAATATGTTAACATTTAATACAGACTTATAATTGGCCTATATTGAGTTTTTCAGAATTTGAACAAAATAATAGATACTCATCCAATCTCTTTAGATCTCTGGCCAAATTGTAGTTTCAGAACTAGCCTTGCAAAGCTTTTAGTCACATTTGTACTATAACCCTGGATATAAGCAAGAGTTTGTGCTTTTTTAAGCTTGCTTGAATAGGAATGTGTGAATTTAAAAGGGCTTGAACAAAAAAATAATAATAGTAAAGTAGTAAAAGCTGTTAATTCTATTAACTTTTAAAAAGGCAAGCCTATAGAGTATGTGAACACGTTACAAAAGTCCAAAGATTTTTTTAATATGCTAATTAACTACAGATAGCTGCTTTTTTCCACAAGGGACAACAACTTTAGCTTCAATTCACTTATTATCAGAGTACTCACAACTATATGTTTAGACACAGAAGAAAGAAAACAAATCCTTCTAGAGTAATCAAATAAAAATGACTATCAAAAGCAAAATTTTATGTTAGGAATAATAGCATTCAAATATGAAATGTATAAAATAAAAAATTAATTTTAAACATTAAAATTATAAAAAATATAATTGAAAAATATCTCATAAAATCTCATTTGAGGATGCAGATACTTGAAGATTGATATAATTTCCACGATTTGGATCTTTTTAAAAATGTGAGCGAATACCAAGTAAGTCACAAATAGCATTTGCATAGACAAGAGGATTTTTGGAGAGAGAAAAGATATTCACACCATGAACTAAAGAGATTTGTGCCTTTCTCCAATGGATCAGATTAGTGGCCTACATGCCTACCCTAATGCAAATCTTACAACTAACAATCTAAAGCATGAAGTCTAGAAAATGAATATCTATTTGTATCTACACAACCTGTAGAATAACTAAAATGATGGAGAAAGAGGCTAGCACCATGGTGACCTGCAAGGTGTGTATTATGTTTTGATTCCTGCCCATGGACATTTCAAACTATATCTGTACCAAGTGCAAACTGATTAGATTGCTGAAGGAAAAAGTAGAGGAAGTAGATATATTTAGTCACTCTTGAAGTCTCATCTGTAGAAATGAGGAATTCCTAGAAAAAATGAAAATCCATATACAAACTAAACACAGCAAGGGAGAAACAACTACAGAAAAAAAAAGAACCCCTAGAAGAAGAGCAATGGAATCATGTCACTTAGAGGACAAAAAATCCAAAGAAGATTGTTCCTGCCACTGAAGCTGAATAATCAATTTCATATCCTCCCCCCCGCCCCCCGCCCCCCAAAAAAGAAAACATGTAGACATTTGAAGAAGAGCCTTCATTAAGTGTTACAGTGACAGGAAGAAAAGTAACTCAGACTATCACAAAGAAGAGTAATTCACTGAGCTCCCCAAAGAGAAAAATGCATGTGATAGTGATTGTTGATTCTCTTCTCAGAGGAACAGAATCAGCAATCTGTGGGCTATGTATGGAAATGTTGGCTACAAAGTGCAAAGATCAAAGATGTGACAAAGAGGTTTACCCAAATAATAAATCCCACTGATCTTTCCCCTCTTTCATGTTGTGAGGAATAATACAACAAAAAAGAGACTGAAAAAATATCAAAGGACTACAAACAGCTAGGCAGGAAAACAAATCAATTAGGAGCACAGGTAGTGTTTTCATTTGTACTTCCAATAGAAGGCCAAGGGAATGGAAGATTTTAGAGATAAACTGCTGGCTCAAGAGATAGTGCCACTGAAAGAACTCTGGATTTCTAGACTATGGTTTACATTACCTACAGAAAAAACTTCTGGCAAAAAATGAGTTGTACCTCACAAGGACCAAGAAGAATGTATTTGGAAAATATCTGGCTTGGCTCATCCAAAAGGCTTTAAACTAAATCTGTAGGGGAAAGGAAGCCAATTTTTAGGATCAAAACCAAAAACATAAGCCCCAAGACAACAATCAGACATTGGGGAATGGAGTGGTGAAAAGGAAGGGAAACTCAGGTATAAAACAGGAGACACAAGAAGCAAACACAGGGTCAGCCATAAAGACTCAGATCCACGTACACTGATGTTCAAAATATGGGGAACAAAGAAGAATTTGAAGTCTAAGTATATGAAGGCACATATGATGTGCCTTCACATCATATACTTATACTCATATACTCACAAGTAGAGTATACTACTAGAAGAACATAATTTATTCAAAAAGCCCCAAAACCTGAACTCAAAAACAGAAGGAGTTGAATTGTATACAAAAAATTACCTTAATAGGTGGATGCTGTGTATGGCAAAAAGCATTAATCTTCTTCTGCAGTGACATCTTCATCTCAGTTAATATGACACACTTTTAAAAAAATAGTCCAAAGATAAATCTTCGATTAACACAAGGTTGATTATAACCTGTAACTTATAGACCAACATTTATCAGATGATCCAGTTTCTTTTATTTACACCAAATAAAGGTTTCTAACATTCAATTACTATATGAATAAATGTTTATGATATAAAAATCTAACTTGTCAGTTAGATATGTCAGAAATACATTAATATACTTTTCATTTCTGCAATGAACTATTCTCTCTTAATTTTAATAATTCATCATATTTCTTGGACTTGTGCTACTAACAGTTTTTACCTGATTCTATGCTATAATGGGGTTCGTACTAATTAAAATGCCTAATGCCATACTTACCAAAAAAAAAAAAATCTGTAACAGAGAGTTAGAGACTGGGACTCCTCTGACTGAAACTGGTTCTACTCACCTCATGTCAAGAGACTAAATAGCTTTTTAAATTATTCTGAGCTCTTTCCATAGTATTTGTTACATTAAAAACAACCTAAATTTTGTGCATGTGCTGTTTATAATGCAAACATAACCATTAAGACTGACTAAGGAAAGTTCTAATACTTTTTTTAAAAGTTGATCCTAAAAAATGCTTTTAAAAAAGCTAACGCACAGGGGAAGCCACACATAACTTAATATAAGCCTCGAGAATATCTAAGATCCAGCAGTAAAGCATATAGGACAGTCCTAAACTAAAGACCAGCAGGCTCCAGTTAAGGATAATCAGGAAACCTGGTAATGTAATTGCATGCATACTATCTTAATTCTTATCTAAATTTTGCACAAAATAATTCAGTCAGATGTAAATGAAAATTTCTAAACTAAGCAGAATCCAGAAGGATTTATAGCAATGAAAGAATACTTCAAGAAGACAACTGAAACACTGGAACATCAAAATACAAATTCTACCCTTTAATGCTTATGTTATTTGATTAAAGGCTGTGTGCGCGATTTCTGCATTATGAATAATGGCACAAGTTTCATCATATGTTATCCTTCCTGAGGGAATTTATGGCAGAATCAAGCCCATAATATATTCTGTAAACCGTCTTGAGTCGCCATGGGCGAATAGGCGGCTATATAAATTTAATAAATAAATAATAAACAAATAAACAAATCTAAATAAAGATACACACGCATACACCAACGCATATCTGTAATCATTTAAATTCAATCAGGCATCTTAAAAAGATCCTTTTGAAGAAATAGTATCTGCCATATTTAAGATAAATCAAGAATATAATTTTAAATCTGTGGTTTTCAAAATACACATCACAATGCACACACTGTACATTTATCATAGCGTGACAAGACTTGCAGTCTCTATATTTGCATTAGACAGGTAAAGCTAATCATTTTCAAATCCTTTGCACATAATGGTCCGATTAGAAAAGGAGGAAATCACTATCCATTTGTACACAGAATACTCAGAAATAATAGTTTTCCCCTCTTCTTTTTATTACTTTCAAAAGAACTTTAAAGAAATACTTACCTTCCTTTTCCTTCTTAACCCAACTTCAAACATTTTTCAAATGTTTGAAAAACTGAGAAAAGGTTAGGTTCTCACTGTCTAAGTTGGCTTTTCCTTAAAAGCAGCAAAAGAAATTGCCAGAGTTTTAAATGCCTTCAGAAATATTTCACTGCCATTTTCAAGATGTACAAAGCAGGAGTTTGGGACAGGAGCGGCTATTGTAGGCATCAAAGCTAATTAAATGGAAGATATTTCAAAAAGGTACCACATACCTGATATTGTTTCAAAAAAGAAATATCAGTGATTTCATTTAATGGATCAGTTGATGACATCACTTGGACATATGGATTCAGCTCTGCAATGTGATGCTGTACTGCTTCAGCTCTGAAGTGCATATAATAATTGTATTATTAATAGGTGCGGCATGTAGGTTCTACCCTGCCTTCCAATGCATCTGCCTGACCACAATTACAGTCAAGTTTCAAGTTCAGCTCTTAGACATATTTGCAACAAAAAATTATATCTCCTGCTCTCATATATAACCCAGTCTTTTAATATTTCAACAAGGAGGGACATGATCTCCAATTGGAGTGGCATGCCTTTTTGTGGTATGACAAGAATAAAATATATAGATATTTCCAAAGACATTATGTAAGAAACACACTAGTTTTAGCATGGGAAAAAGTCAAAACAAAAAACTATATGAAAATACCAGTCTGGCTTTCTACAATGGAAGCATTGATACATCCAAATGTTGTTAACTTGGAAAAAATTGTAACATATAAAGACATCTTAAATGAAGAAGGGGAAAACTACACAGGAATTGCAGAATCAAGGGATAGATTTAGCATGGTGGCCATACTTGCAAATACAATCAAATACAATCAAGTATTTGCATCTTTCACAAGATATGTGAAAGATGCAAAGACATATGGTTTTTATAAAAAGCCAACAGAACTTGACTAAATACTTTTATGGATGGATTAAAAATTAATAAAGAAAATATATAGCTACTTGTTAAGTATCAATTAGAAGATGAACAGGTGAAAGAAACGATGATAGTTTGGGCAAAAAACTTTGGATATATCATAGAGCTAGATAAATGGCAAAAACACTGGAACAGAAATTATAAATTGACAATGGCAACTGCTTATAAAGAAAACCTGTATAAAATGTTTTATAGGTGGCAGTTGCCACCAGCAAGACTAGCAAAGATGTTTAAAAATATGTCCGCTAAATGTTGGAAATGTAATCAGATATCAGGTTCTTATTAACACATGTGGTGGACATGTTTAAAAGCAAAAAAAAAAAAAAAATACATACATGGTTAGAGAAAATGATAAAGCAATGCATAGACTTAAAACCAGAAATATTTATGTTAGGTATATTATCAGAAAATTATAACAAAGGGATTACATATTTAATAATACATATGCTGACAGCAATGGGAATTGTATTTGCACAATATTGGAAAAATGAGGATAAATCTAAGATGAAAGTATAATTAGAAAAATATTAGATTGTGTCTAATGGACAGACTGACAAAAGGAAGAAACAGAATATTTTTTAACATGGGATTTGTTTCATCAGTGGTTAGATAGAGGTAGAAATTAGAGGATGAAAGATTACTAATATGTATAAGTAAATGATGCAAGAATTTCATTATATGTAAGTAAAGATCAGTATTATTATTACAGTTGTTGTTGCTGCTGTTATTATTATTATCATCATCATCATCATCATCATCTGGATCCGTTCCAGTCGGGCTTCAGGCCTGGGTACAGCACGGAAACGGTATTGGTCGCGTTGGTCGATGATCTCTGGAGGGCTCGGGACAGGGGTTGCTCCTCTGTCCTGGTCCTATTAGATCTCTCAACGGCTTTTGATACCATCGACCATGGTATCATGCTGCACCGGTTGGAAGAGTTAGGGGTGGGGGGCGCTTTACTACGGTGGTTCTCCTCCTTTCTCTCCGACCGGTTGCAGTCTGTGTTGGCAGGGGGGCAGAGGTTGACCCCGAGGCCCCTCATATGTGGGATGCCACAAGGGTCGGTCCTCTCGCCCCTTTTGTTCAACATTTATGTAAAGCTGCTGGGTGAGATCATCCATGGTTTCGGGGTGAAGTACCACCAGTACGCTGATGACACCCAGCTGTACATCTCCACCCCGGACAACCCCAACGATGCCCTTGAAGTGATGTCCCGGTGTCTGGAGGCCATGCGGATCTGGATGGGGAGGAACAGGCTCAGGCTCAACCCATCCAAGACTGAGTGGCTGTGGTTTCCGACGTCCTGATATAGTCAGTTGACACCATCGCTGACTATTGGAGGTGAATCACTGGCCCCCATGGAGAGGGCTCGCAACTTGGGCGTCATCCTGGATTCAGGGCTGTCTTTAGATGAGCACTTGACGGCCATGACCGGGAGGATTTTTCATCAGGTTCGCCTGATTCGCCAGTTGCGTCCCTTTCTGGATCGGGACTCCCTACACACAGTCACTCATGCCCTCGTCACCTCCCGCCTGGACTATTGTAACGCTCTCTACATGTGGCTCCCCTTGAGGAGCACCCGGAGGCTCCAACTGGCGCAGAGTGCGGCCGCGCAGGTGCTTATGGGAGCAACATGGCGCTCCCGTGTGACACCTCTCCTGCGCGAGCTGCACTGGCTCCCTGTGGTCTTCCGGGTGCGCTTCAAGGTTTTGGTTACCACCTTTAGAGCGCTCCATGGTTTGGGACGTGGTTATTTACGGGACAGCCTACTACCACAAACAGTCTCCCACCGGCCAGTACGCTCTCATAGAGAGGGGCTCCTCCGGGTGCCGTCAGCCAAGCAGTGTCAACTGGCGGCCCCCAGGGGGAGGGCCTTCTCTGTGGGGGCACCCATTATCTGGAACAAGCTCCCCCTGGAGATACGGAGGATCCCGGATCTGCGCACTTTCCGCCGTGCTCTTAAGACCCTCCTATTCCAGCAAGCCGGCCTGGCCTAATTTTCTCCCCTTTCTTTTTAATTTTTAAATTGAAATTTTAATTTGTTTTAAATTATTGGGATTTTTAATTGTCTTGGGCTAAATTATTTAATTTGGTTTTAATTATGTTTCTAACTTTTGTATTTATGTATTTTATTTTGTGCCTGTTCACCACCCTGAGTCCTTCGGGAGTAGGGCGGTATATAAATTTAATAAAACATAAACATAAACATCAGTATTGCCATTAATACTTTGTATAAGCAAATTGATCCAGACAATACATTGTTTATGAATACTTTTTCACAGCAAAGAAAATTGACTATACTGTTATGATAAAGTATTATTCAGATATTAGTAAACACTACACACTAGATATTACTATTTAGAAAACATAAATTACTATAATTACCGTATTTTTCGCACTATAAGACACTCCAGACTATAAGACGCACCTAGCTTTGGGGAGGAAAACAAGAAAAAAATATCTGCCTCCCAGCAATTTGCCTCCTTGCAGCAAACAGCAAACAACCTGGTCAGATTCAGCACAGCCTGATTTAGCACGAGCAGCTGATTGGTGGTTGGATCAGTCTCCTGGAATACCGATCAGCTGTTCCAGGTGCAGGGATCGCTGCTGTCCATAGCTGCTGCCACCTATTGCTGCCTCCACACGCCCCATTTTCGGCTTCTGTGTGCCCCATTTTTGGCTTCTGCGCATCCCATTTTTGACCTCCATGGGCCCCATTTTTGGCCCACTCCAGGCAGTGGGGATTGCTGCCGCTGCCACCTGGTATGGGCCAAAAATGGGGTGCATGGAGGCCCAAAACGGGAGTGGAGGGTGAAAATGGGGCGTGCAGCGGCAGCAGCAGCGATGGGCGGTGATGGTGGCAATGGGCGGTGACAGCGGCAATGGACAGCAGCAATCCCCGCAGCCAGAAACAGCTGTTCGGCGGTATTCTGGGAGACCGATCCAATCGCCAATCAGCTGCTTGTGCTAAATCAGGCTGTGCTGAAGCTGACCAGGCTGTTTGCTGTAAGGAGGCAAATTGCTGGGAGGCAGAGGCTGAAGGGTGGGGGCCAGCGGGTGTGCAGGGCTTTGGCAACATTCGCTCTATAAGACGCACAGACATTTCCATCCACTTTGGATGGGGGAGAAGTGCATCTTATAGACTGAAAAATATGGTAACTGCATCCTGTACAGCATCAAAGAATGTAGTCTATAAATTTTACCCACAATTTGGAAATATGATCTCATTGATATTCTTCAGTAGATATAAAAATATAGCTTGGATAGAGCTCATACAAGGATTGCAATAATTTTGAAGACTGGACCATGAACACAATGGTAAAACTATCAACATAGAAAACATACATTTGCTCACAATATTTTAAACATTGTACAGACCTGTTCCTTACATTTAGAACATCATCTTCACGAGCAAAGAAGTTTGTTCCTAAATCCCATGTCTTGCATTGTTTGGTATCATGGATAGTGAGAGCCTTGAAATAATAGTAGGAGAAAGGAATAAAGTAAACATGAAGTAGCAGTGATGCAACATCATAAATATACACACTATCACGCATATGAATTACAAGTAGTCTTTGACTTACAACTGATGACTTAATGACCAAAGTTACGAGGTACTCAAAAAAAGTTACAATCCATTCTCAAAGTTACCACTGCTACAATACCTCTGAAGTCACATGATCACATTTCAGGCACTTGGCAACCAGACTGCATTTATGACATTGCAGTGTCCAACAGTCACATGGTCATATTTTGCAACTCTTTTGTCATTTTTGGCAAACAGCATTTGGGATTCAGACTTAAAATTTGCTTAATGATCATGATAATTTACTTAAGAACCATTGTAAAAATGATCATGGTGACTCAACATGACCATAAATTTATGACCAAAATTTTGAGAACAATTATGGTAAAATAAAATATCTTTATTAAGGTCTTTGATCAGCCTTTATAGTAAAAAAGAGAGATAATTTGACAGAACAATTCATTATTGAAGAAAGGGTAATTATTTAAGAAAGGATAATTAAACAACATATCTAATTAAGTTTTGCAGAGTTTTATATCTTGATGAAGATATTTGGCCACCTGATATAGTGTAGGGTTAGAAACTCTTAAAAAATAGTAAACATAAAATTTATTATTGTGACTTTTAAATTTAAAAATTATTGGGATAATCAAAACACCATATGAAGACATGAACAAGAGTTTCTACTTTCTATATCCACAAGGACACAGTTTCTGAAAATAAGGAGTCCAATGAAATCTTCATACCAGTAAAGTAGATGGGAGGGCATCAAAGTGAGCTCTGGAAAAGGCCTGTTTATATTTGTTTAGGATTAGATGATACCCCAAATGATCTTAAGTGATTGGTTGTAAGTCAAGGACTACTTGTAATTCATAGGCGCAGTAGAAGGCTTACATCTGTCTATAGTTTGACAATCGAATTCAGAGGTATTGGTGATATCATTTTGACAATCAATGTCCCTGATTATCTCTTTTATTGTTTATTCAGCCTTCTCCAGGCTTAACTGGCCTAAATATTCTGGAGAGAGGCCAAAACTACAAGGTTCTGCTATTCAGATACAGTACCAGTTGAGATTGGTAGCTGTCTGACAATAGTAAGGCATCAAGTCTGTAGGGTCAACATCATTATAAATCCTTATTTTAGCCATAAACAATTACATTGCCACTGGAAAGTAATTTGCCCCATTGCGTATGAAATTGAATTATTGCTTGCATCCTCCTTTGGACAGTGGCAGTAGCAGTAGCAGTAGCATAATTTACCTGGATTATTCATTTCCTTGAAGTCTGAAATACTGTGCCCAGGTATTTAAAACATTTGATCTGCATTCTTCTTGGGAATCAATTCAGGGATGAAATGCTCTGAAGTCTGCTACCAGTTCACTTTGCTACCAGTTTGCTGCATGCATATCTGCATGGTGCACACCAAATGTGCACACTGCACACCTGCACACCGCAGATGCTACCGTGCAGCGCTGAAAAAGGAGGATTCAGAAGCCTTTTCTAAAGTAAGTAGAACAGCAAGGATTTCCTGCTTTCTAGCGAATATAAATCGTGCAGCACAGCTGATTGTCAGAAATACCAGTTCATCCGAACTGGTAGCAGTTTTTTTATTACCTGTTCACCCGAACTGGTACCTTTTATTACTACCGGTTCAGGCAAACTGGTCCAAACAGGTAGCATTTCACCCCTGAATCAATTGTCCACTTATGCTTTTGTTTTCTGTCAGAGAAAACTAGAACATTAGATTTATCATAATTGATTATTAATTCATCCTCATTACAGTAGGATGCCATGGTTCTCAGTGCCCACTTCATGCCAACAGAAAATAAGGAGAGAAGAGCTGCATTGCCAGTATAGAATAAAATGTTGGGATATCTGTTGTCTAATTTAGGTACATGGATATCAACTCTCTGGAGAGCTTTAATTAGAGACCTACACTTAATCATCAATCCCTTCACAGTGTAGTTATGTGGCAATGCTACATGCAGTTGCAAGCAAAATCAGTCTAAATCATGTGTCTTTTATATTTTCTAGTCTTATATATCAGCATCTGAGAATCAAGATACTATTTTTTTAATATTTTGCTGGTGTTTGTGTGAAATTCATGACAGTCTCATTAGTTTTTTAGGAAGCATAACACCTTAAAATAAGCATATACGAAATATTTATTCTTAAAAATTAGAATGTCTTTCTTCTTACCTTTATTCCTGCAAGAACTATGTTCTTAGCTGAAAAGAAAAGTGAAGAGTTGTAAGTTTCTAGTAAATATTAACCATTTATCACTATATACTGTACTTATTCATCCACTAAAGATAACCCTGAATTTAAGACAATTCTCTTATCAAAAGAAAACATAAAGTACAGTGTACAATATAGATAGACATCCTGTGCAATGCAATGTTCCTCATATTGTCAGTCTAAGATTGCCAGCTCCAACTGAAACTTGTACTGAAGATGTGCTTCTCCCAATCAGTATGTGTATGTGTTATACTTCCATGCAGACAGATCTGCTAAAAGTTAATTTTCAAAGAGTAGTGCAAAAGGAAAAAAACATTAATAACTACATCTTAAATTAAGAGCATAAAGTAAGATGGCCAATTTATAAACTTAACTGATGCCCATCTATTTATATCAACAATTCTATCTACACAATTGAAGCCATGGCGAGACCTTAGTTGCTATAGAATTTTTGCCTTATTTCAAGTTCTTAGTACTTTTAACATTTTTCTTCCTCCTAGGAATAGAGTGATTATTAAATAAATAATTTGTTAATTCTAATTCTAGTTTAATTAAATATTGTAAGGATTTGTATTCCATTAATATACTTAAAGAGGCACAATGGCTCAGTACTTAAAGACGTTGAGCTTGTCAGCTAGAAAACTTGACAGATCGGGTTCAAGACCCAAACACCAAATGATAGGGTGAGCTCCCATTACTCGCCCAGTTCCTGCTGACCTAGCAGTTCAAAAGTATGCAAATGCTAATACATAAATAGGTACCACTTTGGTGGGAAGTAATAGTGTTCTATGTGCCTCAGCATATAGTCATGCTGGTTACAGGACCATGGAAGTGTCTTCAGACAATGCTGGTGGCTCTCTTGGCTAGGAAACAGAGATGAGCACCGCCCCCTAAAGTTGGATATGACTGGGCAGGGAAAACCTTTCCCTTAGTATATTTAATGTATTAAAACTCTTTATAAATGTAAGCAATGACTTTATTTATTACTACAAAAGGCTACTGCTAATGTTTATGGAACACAAACCCCATGCTTTGTAGGTTTAAAAGAAAATTTCTTTTAAAATAATTATTATTTTATAGAAGATTTAAAAGAAGTATGAAACATAGATTTAGGAAAATGAAAATATGATATGAAGAGCCAAATATTATGGAAATTAGATGCCTTTCTATCTGTTTCAATACAAGAGATACAGTAAAAGATTGCTGGCATTTAACTCCGGTTACAAATTTCTCATAATTAGTTATCAAAATGTTTGAAGGGCTGCAATCAGAAAAGACCATTTTGTCATGTGGTGGATTTACAAAAAGGGACATAGTTTTGAAACAAAATATTCAAAAAAGCCAAAATACTAAGTAAACCAAAAATAGATTCTAATAATGATCTATATAAATCAATCCATCAAAAAAACTAAATGTCAGCAAGAGGCAGTATCTACTAGAAGAGACTACAACAGCAGTCTATGATTTCAGTCCAAACTGTGCAATATCTGTCGTCCTCTTATTCTATTATCATCTACATTTATAAGTCAGGCTCTGATGTATTGAAGACTAAACATTTTAAGAAGTTGTAATTATATCTCTACAATATATGTGGCTAAGGTGTCCTGTATTACTGATATAAGAATCCTTCCAAGAAATTCATGAAGCTTCTTCCCCAAATAATTGTAATTCATTTCACTTGAGTGATTTTTAGGATGTAAGTAATAGTTCTATATTTAATATATTCCAATTAGTAGAAAATATACATTTATCCTTGTTGTTCTTGTTGTAAGTCGTGAAGTCATGTCCGACCCATCACGGCTCCTTGGACAACTTTCCTCCAGGCCTTCCTCTACCATCCCCCAGAGTCATTTAATCTCACACCGACTGCTTCAGTGATTCCATCCAGCCACCTCATTCTCTGTCGTTCCCTTCTTCTTTTGCCCTCAATCGTTCCCAGCATTAGGCTCTTCTCCAGTGAGTTCTTCCTTCTCATTAGGTGGCCAAAGTATTTGAGTTTCATCTTCAGGATCTTCTAAAAAGCAGTCAGGGTTGATCTCCTCTAAGACTGACCTGTTTGATTGCCTTGCAGTCCAAGGGACTCGCAGGAGTCTTTTCCAGCATTATAGTTCAAAGGTCTCAATTTTTTGGCACTCAGCCTTCATTATGGTCCAGCTTTCACAGCCATACATTGCAACTGAGAAAACCATAGCCTATATGCTATGGTTAACCATAAACTATATGCACTTTTGTTGGCAGAGCGATGTCTCTGCTTTTTAGTATGCTGTCTAGATTTGCCATAGCTTTCCTCCCCAGGAGCAAGTGTGTTTTAATTTCTTGTCTGTAGTCCCATCTGCGGTAATCTTGGAGCCCAGGAAAATAAAATCTGTCACTACCTCCATTTCTTTCCCCTCTATTTGCCAGGAATTGAAAGGACCGAATACCATAATCTTTGTTTCTTAATGTTGAGTTTCAAGCCAACTTTTGCCCTCTCCTCCTTTACCCACATCAAGAGGCTCTTTAGTTTCTCTTCACTTTCTGCCATTAGAGTGGTATCATCTGCATATCTGAGGTTGTTGATATTTCTCTCAGAAATCTTAATTCCAACTTGTGATTCATCTAGCCCGCCTTTCTCAGGATGTGCTCTGTATATAAGTTAAATAGGCAGGGTGACAGTATACAGCCTTGCCAAACTCCTTTCCCAATTTTGAATCAATCAGTGATTCCATGTCCAGTTCTCACTGTTGCTTCTTTACCCGCATATAGCTTTCTCAAGAAACAAATAAGATGGTCTGGTACTCCCATCTCTTTAAGAACTTGCCAAATTTGTTGTGATCCACATAATCAAAGGCTTAGCATAGAATGAAGCAGAAATAGATGTTTTTCTGGAACTCCCTAGCTTTCTCCATGATCCAGTGTATGTTGGCAATTTTCTTGAAGAGATCTCTGGTCCTTCCTATTCTATTGTTTTCTTCTATTTTTTTGCACTGTTCATTTAAAAAGGCATTCATTTAAAAAGGCATTCTTATCTCTTCTAGCTATTCTCTGGAATTCTGCATTCAATTGGGTGTATCTTTCTCTTTCTCCCTTGCCTTTCGCTTCCCTTTCTTTGGGATGGTTTTAGTTGCTACCTCTTGTACAATGTTGTGGACCTCCATCCATAGTTCTTCAGGAACTCTGTCTATCAAACCTAATTCCTTAAATCTATTTGTCACCTCTACTATATATTCATCAGGGATATGATTTAATTCATACCTGAATGGCCTAGTGCTTTTCCCTACTTTCTTCAATTTAAGCCTAAATTTTGCAACAAGAAGCTTGTGATGTGAGCCACAGTCAGCTCCTGGTCTTGTTTTTACTGACTGTATAGAGCTTCTCCATCTTTGGCTACAGAGCACATAGTCAATCTGATTTCTGTGTTGACTGTCTGGTGATGTCCATGTGTAGAGTCTTGGGTTGCTGGAAAAGAGTGTTTGCTATGACCATCGTATTCTCTTGACAAAATTCTACCAGCCTGTGCCCTGCTTCATTTTGTACCCCAAGGCCAAACTTGTCTGTTATTCCGATTATCTTTTGACTTCCTACTTTAGCATTTCAATCCCCCATAATGATAAGGACATCATTTTTTGGTGTTAATTCTATAAGGTGTTATAGGACTTCATAGAACCGGTCAATTTCATCCTCTTCAGCACCAGTGGTTGGGGCACAGACTTGGACTACTATGATGTTGAATAGTTTGCCTTGGATTCGAACTGAGATCATTTTGGGGGTTGTATCCCAGTACTGCTTTTCCTATTCTTTTATTGACTATGAAGGCTACTCCATTTCTTTTGAGGGATTCTTGCTTACTGTAGTATACCTGATGGTCATCTGAATTAAATTCACCCATTCCTGCCCATTTTAGTTCACTGATTCCTAAGATGTCGAGGTTCAGTCTTGTCATCTCTTGTTTGACCATATCCAGCTTGCCTTGATTCATGGTTCTTACATTCCAGGTTCCTATGTATAATAAGTTTATCCTACTGCACAATAAATGTAATAAATTTTTCCCAATTAAAAAAAACATAGTAAAAAAGTTTATGTTATTTATAGTTTACTTGATTCTAAAGGCTCTAGACAGCTTAAAAAATTCTATTCACTTACCAATTTCCACTCCAAGCCCACCCATTCCACTTAGGAATACATGAGACTGAGCCATCTTGTGCATTGCTGTATCTCCAAGAACATATCTCTGCCGACTACATGCAAGTATTAAAAGAAAATCATAAATAATTATAATCAACAGCATAAAGCGGTGTAATTTGCAAAACTTCTCACTTCTGATAAACTTCACAGAAGAGAAAAATTAATTTGATCTCAAGAAATAACTTTTTGTAAATTTTGGATATTACGCAATTTCTTAGGAAAATTAATATATCATCCTATAATAATTTCAAAAGAACGTAATTGTGACCCAGAAAAGTGCTACAGCTGCCAAAAAAGTCAATCCAGTCCCAGGATGCATCAACAGATGGAAAATATCAAGATAGAAGAAATGATAATACTAGCCTTGGAATACTGTGTCATGATACCAAAAAAAAACCAAATAAAAATGCTTGAGACCCTAGAAAATGTGCGGAGAACAACAAAGATAATGAAGAGCCTGGAGGATAATCATATGAATGGTTGAGGGAGCTAGGTTTGTCTAGCCTATTGAAGAGAAGGTTTGGGGAGGGACATGATCATTGTCTTCTAGTAAGTGTCTTGAGGGGCTGTCACAGAGAAAAAGAGAATGACTTATTCTCCAAAGCCCGAGGGCAGTACAAGAAGTAAAGGGTTAGAAGATCATTAAAGAGAGATCCAACCTAGAAGTAAGGAGAAAGTTACTGAGAGTGAGAACAGTTAATCAATGGAATAACTTGCCTCCCAGAGTTCTGGGAGCTCCATCACTGGAGGTTTGACTGGGATGGTATAAGGCTCTTGCCTTGAGCAGAGGATGAGTCAATTCCCTTCCAGCCTTAGAATTTTATGTTCTATAACCTGCAGTCCTGCACATCAACAAGATGTTCACGTTTCGCTAACAATTCAAGCAGTTTCTTCATTTAAATCAAAATAGCTATGGCCTACAAATAGTGGGATTCCTTGGTTTGTACATCTCTGATTCTAACCCTATGAAATAAACATGGTAATACTCAAGTGTGAAAGTCCATAAAACTAAATTTAGTTTGGAATAAGACAGCACATACATGCTCATAATCTCCTAAATACAGTCAATATATCCTGGAAAAAAACTTTCATCAGAAATTAGAAATTTTATGCAAAAAATGGATTATTAAAATACAGAAAAGAGAAATGTAAAACAATTTCTTTGCAGTTTTCAGAAGAAACTTTTCAAGGAAATAACATTCTTTAAACTGAGCATAAAGTACATGTTAACAAAATAAAGTTTATGATAGAAACAGTCTTACCTTTATATTTAAATTCATTGTTTAATCACTAAAGTTTATTTGACATTAAAACTTCAAAATTATTTATAGTTTATTAAAACAAATTAAACTTTTCTTAAAATGCTTACCTATACAAAGCATCATCAATCTCCATAGAATCTGCTGCCATTACTAAACACTTGCTTGGGCTGGAAATAAAAAGACAAATAAATATTTTGCCAACAGATGACCTCCTACAATTTATGCTATTTCCTCAAGTGAGCAAATATATGAAAATGTATGAATTAAATAATTCACTGCTGAAACAAAAAGATAACAGTTAAGGCTAGGAATGCCTTTGAGAGAGTTGTTTTGCACCTCTCTCAATATGGGAGTAGAGACTAAAATTTCCTTTTAAACATGCAATATGCGTGTTAGCAGTTTATGAAACAGTCATATAAGCTTTGAGGAAAACATAGCTGCTTTATAGATTTAAAGAGAGATGCTCTCGGAATTCTGTTTTCCCTTTTGAAACACATTTTGCACATTCCTAAATAATGATTACTGTAGATTCACTACATAATGAATAATTAGAAAATGTATGTACCTCTAACTTCTTTTTACATAGGTCTAAGAGTTTTTAATTATATTTGTAATTACTGAATATGGAAATAAATATAAGTCAAATTGTGGGTGCAAGCATTCCTTACTTGTCAAAGTTCTAAATTTATTCCACAGAAATAAACAAAAGTGTTATATACACAGCTATTGGATACTTTTGTAAAATCAACAGTAGTACATGTAGCAACCATATACTGCATTAATATTTTCCGATAAAATGTCCCTACTCAGAACTTGAGGATTCCTAGACATTTAACAAATAACAGTTGGAAAGTTATGTTATTCTTGAAATTTTCAACACATTTCAGTTTTCATCTCTTTTCTTCTATTGGACCAAATTGCTCTATAGTTATATTTTTCATTTTATGTATTATGCACTATGCTAAATTAATATGAGATGTTTATCTGGAGAGAATATTTCACTCACAATTATTTCATATACTGTGCATACAACTGTAATGTTATGCTGGATTCTCCCCTGGCACAAATTACTTAACTAAATTTATATGTATCTCAAGTTGTTAAACTTATTTTTCTGATCTGTTTTCAGGTATATGCTCTTCGACAATCAATTCATTCAACAATTCAATTCACAAAAGTTATTAATGTTTTATATTTTATAAAATGTAAGCTCAGCATTAAACACACATTTATTCCTCTTACAATCTCATGAACAAATTCCTTTTGTTCAGATGGTCTGGTTTCAAGAAATCTGTGTCAAAGAATGCAGCTTTGGTTTGTGAGAATAAGTCAAATAATTATTCTACACTATATATCAACATGTTATGCTACACATTATACTAAAGCAAAGCACTGGTTTAATTCTCATTCAATACAATAAATGAAGTTCTAAATGTCTTTTTTAAAAAAATAATGTATCTTATGCCTAAACTTTAAACAATCTCAATACCTATTTAAAAGGGATAAATAATTGTGATCTTGTGGGAGTTTCTGCTCAATTTCTGTCATATTTCATATTAGATCTAGCAATAAATCTCCTTCCTCTAAACCAGGGGTGTCAAACTAGCGGCCTCCAAGCCGGATATATCACGTGTTGCCCTCCCACCCACCCCAAATAGTTTTTACTATTCAAAATATCATTGTTAGTCACAAAGTCGTGTCTGACCCATTGCGACCCCGAAGTTCCTCCAGGCCTTCCTATCCTCTACCATCCCCTGTAGTCCATTTAAGCTCACACCGACTCCTTCAGTGACTCCATCCAGCCACCTCATTCTCTGTTGTCCCATTCTACTTTTGCCCTCAATCGTTCCCAGCATTAGGCTCTTCTCCAGTGAGTCCTTGACTATCATATTCAAAATATGATATATATATGCACAATTCATCAGCTTACTGTAGAGCACAGGAATAAAGTTTTACCTACAGAACAAGAGTTTGAATTCTAGGCTTTTCTCTTCTATGTTTTCAAATAAACATAGAAGAATAAATCATTCATTTCTTTTCATGAAGTTTGATCCCTTTCTGTATTTACAAAATAGTTCTGTCTAGCCTTAGTTTCTAGTCAGCTTCAATCCTCATACCAACCCTTTACCATCTTCTTCCTTCCTGGACTTGGACATGTCAAACATATTTTCCTGACTTACAATTGAAGAGAATAAAGGGGTGCACTATCCCCTTCTTTCATTTCTATCACTGTCATGAACAGAAACAAAGTCTCCTTCCCTTTAAAGTATCCGACCCACTCTCTCCACCTAGAACTCTCAGAAGGAAGTTTCTATTAATTCTATTCTGTTTGCTGTTTTCGTCATGGCAAGAATGTGGAACTTCCATCTTTTCTACTTATTTTTTTTATTACTTATTATTTATCAGCAATTCCTCTAAGTCCAAAACTTTCCCATCAGGTAAAGCTATCTGATTAATCTTACAATAACCCCTCTTTGCATTCCAACCAGGTGCTTTCTTTCTTAAAATAAACACTGCTGGCAAGTAGGAATGTGTAGCCAAACATATGGTATGGGCTTATAAAGATATGCAAATGGAATTACTGAAGAAAGTGCAGAGCACATTTCTTTCTTTCTATAATCTGAATCTGAGTAGCCCTTCCAATTAATCATTCTCATATATCAAAATACCTTCTACCTTGAGTTTTATCTCCCCACTGCTCCAAGATGGATGGCTAGGGTATAAATATACAAGGGTATACTTTACAAGGATGTAAAGTTTTTACATTTTTACTTTTTTCCCCACCATTGAATAGATTTATTATAATCACAAGACTTCCCATCGTCATGATAGGACGATGATGTCCTGATGTTCTGATGTTTTTAGCATATTGTCTTCTCTTTAACATCTTTTCCTCCCTTATTTAATCTACCTGTTTTTTACCATCTCTAACACCCTTTAATAGAAAATGATCCTTCATCACTCTCAGCTCATTACTATTCTTTAATGTATTCAACTGTGGAGCTCCTTGCACTGCGAGACTCCCCCTCTCACAGGTTTGACCCTCTCAACTATCGAGGGCTGCCCTTGATGACGGGTTTTGGAACCCCGAGAGGTGGTACGCTAAAAAACGGAAACTCTGGGGTTTTTTAAATAGATTTTTAGATCCAATTTTAAGGGGATCCAGGAGGAGGGTGGTTTTTAATAATAAAAATGAGACTGGGGGGTCTCTTAAGGATCAGCAGCCATGCCATTTTGACAGTCCCGGCGGGTTGGGGAGATTGGGAGTCGTAGGAGATGCTCGGAGGAGGGTGGGACAAGCTATACCTGTGATGGTGGGAAGGAGCAGAAGAAATCGAAGTAGGGGTGGGGAGCATCACACCAGATGCATTCGGATGGTGACTTGCTCCCATACCTCCTGCTCACCCTGCTTTCCTGGGGATATGAGAGCGAAGGACCCTGGTTTCTGTCTGATATATGTGAATGCCAGGTCCGTGATGAATAAGGCTCTCCTCATACGAGATCTTATTGATGAGGAGTGTGCAGATCTGGCCTGTATCACGGAGACCTGGTTGGGGCAAGAGGGGGGAATCTCTCTCTCTGATTTATGCCCCTCAGGCTTTCGTGTCCTGCACCAGCCGCGACACCAGGGAAGGGGTGGGGGGTGGCAGTAGTTGTTAGAGAAAGTCTGAGTCCTAGGGAGGTCACTGTCCCTCAGTAGGCAGGTGAGAGTCTCTTGTATTGAAGTGGGACCTTGGAGTTCAGTCGGGCTTGTTGGTCACATACCTATCTCCCAGCTATGTTGCCACAGCCCTGCCCGCACTGCTCGATGTCTTGTCTGAGGTGGCACTTGAACTCCCCAGCCTTTTGGTTGTGGGAGATTTTAATCTGCCTTCGATTGGTGAGTCATCTGAGACAGTCCGGGAGTTCATGGCCTCCATGGCAGCCATGGACCTGACTCAGGTTATTCAGGGCCCAACTCATAGGGGAGGACACACACTCGACCTGGTTTTTCTCTCTGGACAGTGGATAAATGGTCATGGTAAGGGGGAACTTTCCATCACTCCCCTGTCATGGACTGACCATTCCCTCCTTAGACTGGACTTTCAATCTGCCAACCCTTGCCGCTGGGAGATGGGACCCATAAAATGGTTCCGCCCTAGGCGCCTGATGGACCCAGAAAGGTTCTTGAAGGAGCTTGGGACATTCCCCACCTCTCAATCCTGCGATTCAGCTGAGGCTCTGGTGGCATCCTGGGAACGGGTGGCTACCAACACCTTGGACAGAATCGCACCTTTGCGGCCTCTAACCCGACGCAATCCTGGATTGCTCCTTGGTTTTCCATGGAGCTCCGGGAAATGAAACATCAGAAAAGACGCTTAGAGGAGAGTTGGAGGTCCTTCCGATCTGAATCTGACTGAACACAGTTAAGAACCCATATTAGGTCTTATCTAGTGGCAATGGAAGCGGCGAAACGTCACTACTTTGCCGCCCTCATTGCATCTGCAGAAAACTGCCCAGTGGCCCTGTTTCGTGTGACCCGGTCCCTCCTCAATCAGGGAGCGAGGGAAGACCCTTTGCAGGGCAGAGCTGAGGATTTTGTACAGTTTCTGCATGATAAAATCATTCAGATCCGGATCGGATTGGACTCTGACTGGGCAGAATCCAACCGGGAGACTAGGGTGGGTCTTGAGAATAATATCTGGATTGAGTTTGACCCTGTTTCTGTCAAGGAAGTGGACAGGATTGTGGGCAAACTTAGTTCCTCCACTTGCTTATTGGATCCTTGTCCCTCCTGGTTAGTTTCGGCTGCCAGAGAGGTGACTAGAGACTGGATCCAGGCAATTGTCAACGCTTCATTGAGAGAGGGGAACTTCCACGCCTTTCTTAAGGAGGCGGTGGTTCGACCTCTCCTCAAGAAGCCTTCCCTGGATCCAGACTACTTAATAACTATCGTCCCGTCTCCAACCTTCGCTTCATCGCAAAGGTTGTTGAGTCTGTAGTGGCTCAACAGCTCCCACAATTCCTGGAGGAAACGGAATACCTTGACCCGTACCAATCAGGCTTCCGACACGGTCACAGCACGGAAACGGCATTGGTCGCTCTGGTGAATGATCTCTGGCGGGCTTGGGATGGGGGTTGTTCCTCCATCCTGGTCCTACTTGACCTCTCAGTGGCTTTTGATACC